CTGACGCCGTTGAGCCCCCAGAGGCTACGATGTCTCAGCTTTGTGTCACTCATACACGGTTGGCTAATCTTTGGTACTAGTGCGCGAGCGTCACCGAGTCCAAATGGAACGCGCAGAAGCACGCACAATGGAAGCGCTACAAAGCCCCAAATGGGACGCGAAACTGGTTGCCGAGCACAGTTTCCCCTGGCTTGTCCAACGCGGCGAGATCACTTTTCCTTCTCACTCCCACGACGACGACCACCGCAACGACAACACCACCAACACCGCCAGCACTCCCAAACACAAACACACCGAAGACATCAAAACCGCCGTCGGCCACATGCTACACCGGATGGTCCTCGACGGGGCGTTTGCAGCAGACCTCGGCCGGATGCTGGACCTGTGGAAGGCCTGGGCCGACAACGCTGGCATGCGCAAGGCAGATCTTGCCGCGTTGCAGGAGGATCCTGTGCTCTTTGCGTATGCGACGCTGCTGGTGGCTGTTCTTAGGGATGCGGCGACGGCGCTGGAGGGGACTGTGGCTATGGATTTGCAGGAGTGTTTGCGGTTGTGGCGGACTGTGAGGTTGGGGTAGTTGGGTAGTCTGGTATGGAGAGGGTTGAATACTGTATGTATGTACATAGTGTGCTTATTATTTACCTATTGTTGAGGTGATCAAGGGTTGATATCTCTCACTCTACTTCTAATGTACATCTTTTCTTTAACTACCTCGGTAGGTATATCCGTATGTGCAATCCCTTTCGACACACACCACCAAGCTGCCCGGTCTCCTCACCCAACCTTTTGCACCCCCAAAAAGTAATTCCCCACCTTCTCACTCCCCTTCACCTCTTTCCACCCCAGCCCAGGCACAAACACCACGCCCATCACTCTCGGTGCCCCCCACACCCCAAACCCCCCTTCCGTAGACGATGACGACCCCGTCTCAACCCCCCCTCCAGCAAAAAACTCCCTCATCTCCCCCTCATTAACATACTTGCTCCAATCATGCGTCCCCCTCGGCACCATCCCCAACACATTCTCCGCCACAAAAATCGTCGTGAACCAACTCATCGGGGTCCGCGCCATGGTACTCAGCACCAGCCACCCGCCCGGTTTCACGAACTGCCCCACTCGCTCGAGAAAGGCGGCGGGGTAGTCGACGTGCTCGATGACTTCGAAGAGGGTGACGATGTCGAAGCGGTGGGAGGGGGAGGCGGGGAGGGGGAGGGATTCGATGGGGGTGGGGAGGTATTGCAGTTTTGGCTGTTTCTGCTGTGTTTGGTTGTTATTGTTGTTGTCGTTGGGCCCTTGGACCGGGACCATAGAGGAGAGGGCGGGATCGCGCTTGGCGTGGGCGCGCGCAACGGCGAGGATGGTCGGGGACGGATCGATGGCTGTTACGGAGTGGGTGGTGGGTAGACGGGCGGCCGACTCGGCGAAGATGCCGCCGCCGCAGCCGACGTCGAGGTAGCGGAGGCCGGTTTCGTCTGCAGAAGTTGGGGAAGGTGTGGAGTCGAGACACGAGCGGATGAAGTCGTGTCGGAGCGGGTTCATGAGGTGGAGGGGCCGTGAGGGACCGTGGGGATCCCACCAGGAGGAGGCGAGGGCGGAGAAATGGGAGATTTCGGTTTCGTTGACGGAGGAGGAGGTGGAGGGGTTATGGAGGGTGGGGGGTGTGGTGGTGAAGTGTCGTGTTGGTGGTTGTTGGTGGCATTGTGATGTTCTCGTCGGGGTTCTTGTGGTGGTTATGGCTGTTGTGGTAGCGCATCGAGTCGACTGGGCCGCTCGGAGGGCTATTGAGACCTGCCGTAATGGTGGCCGCATCGTGAGGTTATTAGGAGTCCGGTTGTGCCGCGCGGATCGGACCGTAGCCGGCGTGGATTGTTCAATTCAGTCGGTACTTTTTTTGAGATGGTGAATTGTTCCAGCCAATTCCCACAGCTCGGGTCACAGGGATTGCATCGGATCACAACCCGCGCGGGGTTCTCGAACGGTTCTAGCGTCTCCTGATCGGCCCCACAGCACCTGCTGTGGCACCGGCACCACGGGAAGGTGTGCTGGCCCGAGGGTCACGTCGCAATGCCGAGCTCGGCCCCGGCGGCGCTGAGAACCTCAGCATGGACGCTCAATTAGGGGTCGTTTACAGTTGTTTGTCAGCGTCGGTCATCGATTGGCAATGGGAACGTTTTTCAAACTCTGCACAAAAATTCTCAGTGTTAGTCAGGATTTGGGATTTTTCTCTAAGAATTGAATTTTATCATCCCGAGGGGGATATGTCTAGCAGCGTAATATGTACAGACATTGCATCATTGTCCGTTCCAGAGTCGCATCCGAAGGCTTCTGACTCCCAACAAAGGCGAGCAAAGCCCGAGTTTTCGGCATCCGGGCCCCACCAACGCCGAGGGTGAAGTGGGTGATCCCGTCCCTGGCCGACTGGACCCGTCCATATTTGGGGTCGATCTGACATTTGACACTTGATAATTCGACTGCCCCTTCTTGTCAACTTTCTTTTTGAAGACGCAGACAGTTTGGTGAACTCGAACCAATTCATCTCGACTCGACACCTAATTAGACGAGACGAAAAAGCTGAGTCATCTGTCTCAACCTCGACTCGCCGACCTCGCTCGAATCCCCAAAACGCCCCAACCAATTCGTTGATTTTTTTTTTCTCCTTGGCCCTGTCTGTCTGTCCCTCACCATCCACATTCCCGTCCCACACGATCAACACCACGGACCGTACACCAAACCGCACCGCAATCCCACCGCCCACCATGTCTCCTACCGCCGCAGACGGCCAAATCCCCGCCTCCCAATTCGACTCCATCCCCGATGTCATCCAAGCCTTCCGTTCGTTCCGTCCACATTCCCCCCTTCTCTTATCCTACACTGTCCCACTAACCATCCTCCCTCTTTATGTCTAGGCGCCAACGAATTCGTAGTCGTCCTCGACGACCCCTCCCGCGAAAACGAAGCCGACCTCATCATCGCCGCCGAATCCATCACCACCGAACAAATGGCCTTCATGGTCCGGCACTCCTCCGGTCTCATCTGCGCGCCCCTCCTGCCCCAGCGCACCCTCGACCTCGACCTCCCCCAAATGGTGCCCCACAACCAAGACCTCCGCACCACCGCCTACACCGTCTCCGTCGACGCCGCCCACCCGGCCGTGACCACGGGCATCAGCGCGCATGATCGTGCGCTGGTGTGTCGGGTGCTGGCGGACGGTAAGGCGACGGCGGGGGAGTTTCGGAGGCCGGGACATGTGTTCCCGTTGAGGGCGAAGCAAGGGGGGGTGAGGCAGAGACGGGGGCATACGGAGGCGGCGGTGGATTTGTGTAGGTTGGCGGGGAAGAAGGAGGTCGCGGTGATTTGTGAGTTGGTGGAGGATGGGGAGGAGGTGGAGGGCCAGGCAGTGAGGAGGGAGCCCGGGATGATGCGCGGGGAGCAGTGTGTGGCGTTTGCGAGAAGGTGGGGGTTGAAGGTGTGTACGATTGCGGATATGGTGGCGTATTTGGAGAAGACGGAGGGGAAGTTGGAGGTGAACGGTCACTGAGGGTAGCTTTAAGGGTACGAACGGTGTAGGTCGGTGGGTTTAAAACCAGGTACGACGGGATATAGTTAAGCGGTACTACGGAGACGGAGATATTTTGGGTAAATATGGTCCGGCATCTAGCGCACTGCTGCATCCGGTGTTGATATATGCACCGGTATACCGATAGAAAAAAGGGTTATTTTGTGTTACTGTCCGAGGCTGTGAGCCCTGGACGGAGGAGGTGGTTTGTCATCTCATTAGTCGATAGCATTAGGATCACTCCTTTCTCTAGCTGTTGTCCAATTTTATATCCCACATATCTAACCGCAGCACGCCAACTAGTACATCGGCTTCGACATGGGCGCAATGACCCCCTGCTTGACAATGACCCGCGGCTTCGTCGCTTGCTGGAACGTCTCCTTGGTCGACCACTCCGGCCCGACCGGCAGCCGCAATGACCGCTCGTACTGCTGCTGCGACTCGAACGGGTGCGGCAGCTGGGAGGCGAGGTACTTGTCGTTCTGCATAGATGCATTAGTCTCAACTTCTTTCAGCTTTGGGAGAAACATTCTCTAACGAAGGGGAGACCCACCTTGCGAATTCGCTTCTCGCTGATAATCACATCCTTCAGCTTATAATCCTTACGGTCCTTCTTCTTGACCCCCTCCACCTTGGTCACAAACCGGCCCTGGTGCTTCTTCTTCTCCCGGTTGCTCACACCGTCGCCGACCCAGTTGCCCCACCCCGGAAGCGTGTTGTCGACCTCCTTCTCGTCGTCTTCTTGCTCCATCTCCGCTTTCTCCTCTTCGAATTGACCGTGGACGTCCTCGCCAGCGAACGCCCGCTCGATCAGGTGCTGGTCGCGGATAGCCATGGGGAGGTGAAGGGCGTCATCTTCTTCGGAGTCTTCAGCCGCCGTGGCGACTGTGCCATCGGTGGTGCTGGTGGTGATAGCAGGGGTGGCATGGGACTTGGCTTTGGGCTTAGCGGCTTTGACGACGACTGCAGCGTTGGAGAGGTCGAATTCCTCGGCTTTGGCCTTGGGGCCCTTCTTGCTCTTCCGGCTGACTGGCTCGGCTTGAGCCCAGGCACCCGCGGCTCCGGGCGCTGATGGTGTCGCTTCGGAGGACCATGCACCTGCAGACAGCGAAACAGCGGTGTCTTCAGTGCGGCCCTGGGATGATGGCTCAATACCCACGGACGACCCAGACAGCCCACGGGCTTCAGCTTTAGCTTTCCTTGTCGAAATGTTCTTCATCGTAGTGGCCGCATTGCCCATGCCGAACTGCTTGCGCCCGACTTCCGCTTCTTCATCACCCGAACTTGCAGCGTCCGAGTCGAGCTCGCGACGGAGCGCAGCAATGGCTTCCTCGTTTTCCTTTTTCCGCAGCTCCTCGCCTCGCTGCATGAATTTCATCGCCATGAGCCCAGATTGCGGCTTCTCGTCGTCGTCGTCGTACGCAGCCGCACGCTCAAGATCCGCGAGAAGGCGACGACGGGGATCCCCCCCTTCGTTATCCGAGGCATCGGAGACATCAGAGCCTTCATCATCATCAACATCATCGCCGCCATCACCGGTCCGTTGGCCCTCGATCCGGCGCCGCAGATCTTCCTTCCGCCGCGCCATGTCGGTAAGGCCGGCGCGGAAGTCGTCGTCCCACACAGCCCGGCCAGCTTTCTTGCCCAGCTTGGCCCACTTGCTCTCCCGGTGTCGGGTACCCATGCGCTCCATTGCGCGCCGACGGTCCAAAGCCTCTCGCTCATCGTCCGAATCCAGTTCGCCGGCCGCAAGGGCTTCCTCGCGCTCGGCCTCCTCTTCGCGGGCCAGTTCTTTGCGGTGGATACGACGGTAGGCTTTGCTCTTGATCTTCTTGATGCGTTTGGCCCGGGCCTGCTCGCGCGAGTGCATCTCTCGTTCGCGCCGCCGCTGCCGGGCTATTTCTTGTTGTTCGGCTTGTGACAGCCCTGGCGGACGGTCATGTTCGTTGCCCTCTTTGTTCTCTGTCTTGGCGGTAGGTCCCAGGCCACTTTCCTCCATGATTGCCAGAATCGTTTGCTCAAGCTCGGTACCAGATGTCTTTTGGGTGATGGGCATCAGCTCGCCGCTATCTAACCCACGATCCTGGGCGTTTTGAGCGAGCGGAAACACCAGATGGTCGGCGCGTCGGTTGTGTTTGACGGTGTCAATCCACTTATCGAGGGTCTCGTTGGTCTTTTCGTAGGCGGCACTGCGGAGTAGACGGTCTTGCTGGCGTTGGGCAAGCGGGATCTCGAGCTTTTTGGACGAGCCTGGTTTAACAGCCTTCTCCTCCTTGTTCATGAGCCGCAGAGAGCGCTTCATGTGCGGGTCTTTCACACCAGCCAGCCCAAGGTCCTTTAGGCTCAGCTTCACCTTGCCTTGCGCCCCCGGCTCGTCCTCCACTTCCTCGTCGTCCTCTCCAAACCCGGCAAACACATTTTCCAGGGCCGCGAGTTTCGAAGGATCATTATCATCATCATCTTCGTCCTCCTCGCTCTCGTCATCCGCGTCGGTCGATTCTTCATCCTCTTCGGACCCAGACTCTTCCCCTTCCTCCTCGTCCTCCTCGTCCTCCTCAAATTGATCCAGCGCAGTCGCCAAATCAATAGCGTCCGATCCCAACGACTCCAAATCCTCATCATCATCTCCCTCTTCCTCCTCATCACTTCCATCCCCCTCCCCGCTTCTTTTTTTTACCTTCCTCCCCTTCTTCCCCTTCCCCACCTTCCCCGGCAACGCATACCCATCAAACTTCTCCTCATCACTCTCCCCAAACGCCTCATCAGAATCCAACTCCGAGTCCTCATCCTCCGCACCCACACCAACATGCCACTCCTCACTATCACTCCCCCCCTCCCCATCATCATCGGAAAACCCATCAAACCCCCCATCCCCATCCCCATCCCCATCCTCCTCCCTCCTGCCCCTCTTCTTCGGCCCCCCACGCCCAGCAGCACCACCACCACCACCACCACCACCACCATCCCCATCCTCCCCACCCGCTCCAAACCCATCCTCGCCATCATCACTATCATCATCATCGTCTCTGCCCCGCGGCCTCTTCAGCAGCCGCCCGCCGTCGTCATGACCTTCGAGACCGCGCGTTCGTACGCCGCGGGTGGAGTCGGGGAATTGTGAGGATGCGAGGGCGAAGGCGTCGAGGGCTTTGGCGGTGGATTTGGCGCGGGATTTGTTGTTGTTGTTAAAGGTGCGGACGTGGGATTTGCCGGGGGGTTTGGAACCGCTTCCCCCCGGTGTTGGGAGGAGGGGTCGGCCGTGGGATTGTCGGCCAGGCATGTTGGGTTTTTTTTTGCCCTTTTGTGGGCGGAGGTGTGGTGTTTTCGTCGGGGTTGGTGGGTTGGTTTGGTGATCTTGTGGATTGGCAATGTGTCGGGGCTTTATTACAGTGCTGAAAGAGTGAATGCCCTGTTTTCCCAACGTCCGGCCGCAAGAATGGACTGGGAAACCGAATTCTTTTTCTGCCGGAAAATTGACCGAGCGAACTTTTGGGCGGTGAAATCGAGGTGGAGCTGTGAGCTCTGCTGGGAAACCAATCAACGTAAGTCTTGGCATCCAGGCACTTTGCCGGCCAGCTCCCGGCAAAGTTATCCAAGCTTTGTGAAGAGCCGCAAAATTTCCGGCCCACCCCGCGCTCTCCAACGACGACAACGACGACGACGACGACGACAATCACCACCACCACCATCACTCCTTAAACAAACCGGGGTCCGAGAACAACCACCACCCCACCAACATGCAGCCGACACGCGCACTCCAGGTGCTGCGCTATCGCCGCTTGCGGCTCACAACCAAGGACGTCAACAAGGGCTACTACAAGGGTACCGGGTCCGGGTCCATGGGTCGCCATACCAAGCATGGTGGTTATATTATCGAGTGGAACAAGGTGCGGACGTATGTCTGCCCGCCGTTGGATGGGTTTAAGGTGGGTTTGAAAGAGTTCATCTGAATTGTTGGTTATGACAAAGAGGGGTGGGAATTGGTGGGGGAAAACGAGGAATGTTTGGAGAGGGTGGTATTGGATTGGCATTGAGGTGACAGAAGCAAGAGTCGGACTTGAAGATGGGTGGTTGTGTGGATTAGACGACCTAAGGTTAAGGACGGGATACAAGTGCTCAGGATATTGTGCTAACCGTCTTTGATCACAGCTCACGCCCTTTGTTACAGCCACCATGCCCCGCACATACGGCAAGTACGATACCAAGCTTGGGCCGAAGGACGCGACAATGTATCTGGAGCGCTGGAAGGCGGAGAACGGGCTAGACTAAATTTTGCTCGACATGGATTGGGAGTGATGGAGGGGCGGTGATGACACGTCGGGGTGGTACTATGAAGACGAGACCGCATTGAGTTCGTCCTTCGTCGTGATGGGCGAGGACAGGGAATGAATGTATCGGGGGCCGGCGTTTCGGAGTGGCTTTAATCGAGGAATATGTAAAAGATGTATACAATGTAGTATCAAACACGTCGCAGGATGTCAGAGAAGCCGGGTATCTCATGGGCTGTTTACGGCTGTAAATACAACATCTACGCGTTCTATATCCAACTCTCGACCTTCAAAACTATCCACTTCGACGCACAAAGACAAACCACATAATACACGGGTATCGAACTGAAACCACCTATCCCGCTCCACAAAACTCTCCCATCACAGTCTGACCTAACCCAACCAACCCCTCAAGCACTTTGCTGCACCCCCTCATCAGCCGTAACAAACCTCTCCAAAATCGGTCTATCTCCACCCAGTGTCCCCGGGGTAAAAAAGGGTGTAAACGGCGTTGTAACCCCCGGCGTCGGGTCGTCATCACCATCTTCACCATTACCTTTAATACTCGCATCTTTAACACTCGCCTCCTTCATAGACAAGTCCGCCGTCGATAGCCGCATCGAGGACCGATCTCCGGGCGAGGCCAGGGTAATCATGCTCGCCGTCTCGGGCTCCTTGCGCAGGCTGAAAGGTGTGGCCAGGCCGCCGATAATGACTCGCTTACCGCTAACGCCTGTGTCGAGCGCGTCGGAGGGGGAGAGGAGGGTGTTGTTGGTGATGGTTTCGGCGGTATTGGCGGGGTCGGTAGTGGGGATAGCGGTTGTGTGGGAGGGGGAAGCGGTGGTGGTCCCCATGGCAGGGACGGAATTGGTACCGGTGGCAGTGTCGCGGACTGGACCTGCGGGGCGAAGATCAAGGCCGGGTTCTTCACCAGTGGCACCCCCGATATCAGCCGCCGTGGCAGGACCAGCGGTTTCGGCAACGGTCCGCTTCCTACTAACCATACCCCTCCATGTCCGGGCCTTGCTCCCTTGACTAGGTACCTGTGCACCCCCCTTTTCACGAGCCTCTTGTTCCTGTCTCTCGATATCCGAAAAGTGCCTTGCCCCCTGGCCCTGATCCGGCCCGGCAGCTTGCAACTCCGGCGTCTTAACAGCTTGCTTCTCGCGCTGCATCGTCGCCTCGTCATGCTTGGAACCCCACAGCGCCCACAGCGACATCCCCAAACTCTTGGCCTTCTTCCGCTTCCTTTTATCCATCTCCTTGCCACCAAGCTTCCTGCGCCCGGCCAGCGCGGTGGGCGGCGGGACCTCTCCCTCACCGAATACCTCGTACCCGACGGCCATCTCACGCAGGCGTTGCTTGTGCACGGAGGCCTTGGCCTGCTTGAAGCGAGCATCCCAGCGACGCTTCTGTACGAGCCACTTCCGCACGGTGCCGACCTTGACGACGCCAACGAGGTCGCGCGCCATGAGGCAAGCCGGAAGCTCCGAGGGCTCGGGGAGAGCGAGGATGTCACCGTGGCGGGTCACCCGCTGACGGATCATGTGGTCGTCGAAGGGCGGTAGGGGATCGCCTGCTTTGCCGATTTTGGTATGATGACTCGGTTTATCAGACCCATTGGGGGTTCGTGGGGTTTGCTTGGGGAAGGGGAATTGTGTTAGTGCGCTGATTTCCATGGGTGTATGCCATATCAAACTTACCGGCTGGCTATCAGTCTCACTCGAAGAGGTCGAGATAGAAATGATAGAGATAGCATCGTCGTTGAGGATGTCAACCTCAACCTTCTGGGCTCTTGCGAGAGCCCAGGCAGAGAACTGGGCCACGCTCTATAATCATATTAGTCGCTCCGCTCATTCCAAAAACGGTTCAAAGACCAAACCCACCCGGTACATGTACTTGGCCGGCCTAGTAAAGCTCAGGGTCGGCGCAACATGGCACATGTCGTCCCAGACCTGTAGCTGCACATCGGTAGGCTTGTACCGGTCGACCATAGCCCGCGCATTGTCATCCATTAACGCTTCAGGCGGGAGGTACGCTGACGGATTGGCACATTTATGGGCAAGATAAATCTGCTCGTCACGCAGAAACTCGCCGCCTCCAGCCATGATGAGCAGCGGGGGAAGACCACCGAGGGAAGGCTGCATGATGGGGCTAACCAGAGGGTGGGCTAGGAGCTCGTTGGTCGTGTACATCTACACGCATGTTAGCGGCGAATGTGGCCCACAACAAGATCGGATCCAACTAAACACCCACCTGGATCTGCTCCTTGATCTCTACATTCTCACCATCGATGACAAACTCCAACCGATGAGTAGCCTCCGCAACATCCTCGGCAGTCGGTACACCGCTCCCTTCCACAGGCACTTCATTCTTCTTCTGCGCCAAAGCCGCCTTCTTCAGCTCCTCCAGCTCGTCTTCATTAGGAGGCGGCCACGCTGGCGACGGTTTATGGTGAAACCCAGACGCCGGGATGTAATCCAGTGGACAGTCGCCTGCTACACTTGGGAACGAGTGCGTGAGATCCACCCATGGGCTGATGAGCACGGCGCCCGCGGGCAGAGGAATGCCCCTATCGCGGAGGACGACCAACAGCGCCAGGACCATGCCACCTCCCGCAGAATCACCGGCCAGGACAACAGTGTTCGCCGGTTGCTGTGTGAGCAGGTGGAGGTAGGTCGCCAGACAATCCTGGAGGCCGCACGGGAAGGGAAACTGTGGCGACAGCCGGTACCGCGGGGCTAGGGCGCGTGCCTTGAGTTTGCGCGCATGGCGCTGGATCTGGTAACGGTGCTCGTCTACACTCCCGAAATAGTACGCGCCACCGTGGACATACAGCATCACGCGGTTGCCCGGATCGGTGTTCTTCTTGCGCTCCTGGTAGTCGGCCTTCATCTCGATCCATTCGGCCTTGAGCGGGTTCTTGGGCCTGCGCCATTGCCACCATTCCCTGCCGCCGACCTGGCGGAGGCCATCAGGACCCAATTGCTCGGCGAGAAGGTCGGCTGCGCGCGTGAGGTGGCTCGCGGAGATCTCAATGTGGTCAACCCTCACCCATTGCGGGTGTGGTACCCACTGGCTCGTGAAGGCTTGGAGTTCCTCGACAGTGTGACGCGAGGCGTGGGCCAGAAAGGAGCGGATGAGGTGCAGGCCCTCGTCGTAGGACAGGTGCGCAGTGGGTTTGTGGGCCACGAGTTTCCGGTTCAAGTACTGTGTCGTGTGAGCTTCAAATCTCGATGGGTTCCGTTCCGTCTTGGATGCTGTGTACGGTATTCCGTCCTACAGATAGAAACATAACATACGTGACCCAGAAACGTCGATATGACGGTTGGCGTAACCGCCAGGCCTACACCCGCGGTATTCATTGTAGATGATATTGCAATTGGTTTTTGAACTCCCACTCGGACTCAATGATCCTTCATAAGATCATGGTCCCCGGTGAGCAAGGGATGGTGGTGGATTTTAGTGTTTTCCACAAGATCGGAAGGGAGGGTATTCGTCTGAAATATGATGTCATATGGCACGGCAACGCAACAGCGGCGTGGCAGGGCTGCACACGAACTGCCAACACCAATTCCGGCTGCCCAAGGGCCAATGGCAGCAGGTGGTGTTACGGCGCTGATCTCGCCTGAAACCGTTTCCCCCTGCCAACGAGTCAAGTCGATAGATAAAGGCTTTAAAATAGAAAAAGGTTATGTTGTACAAGGCCCGACGTTAGTAATTACACTACACCTATACGTGTATGTTGTGTTTCCTCCAACAGTCGCGACATTGGCATGCAAGCAAATGGGTTTGGCGGTTCGCGATTCATGTGAGAACACCCCGGGTCTCGGTTGATTTTGATGGACATCTGAAAATCAATTGCCCCTGAAATCGAATTGAAATCCACTAGAAAAGTTGGGATGGTCCACCCCCAACGCACTGGCCATGTGGGCTTCTGCTGCGAACCGGGGCCTACCCTTGCTCGCTTGTCGCTGCCCGTTATCGATAAGCCCATCGATAGCGAGCTCCCCGCGATGCAAGCTCCGCGTCACCTGGAGTTTGCCTACGCATCGGCGTAACCTTCAAGGTCTTCATTCTACCTCACCACTAATTTCGAATTCTCGACTTTATTCTTCACCGCAGTTTGGAACCTTCGAATTCGCAGTCAACAACGACGAACCGCCCACCATGGCGACTCAATATGAAGGTAGTTCCCCCTTCAGCATCAACCCCGAGATCCAACAGCCCACCCCCATCATCCCGTACCCCAACTCACTAAAAGCACCCTCACAGTCGAGCACAACATAAAGGCCTCCGCGGCCGCCCCAGCCCGCCGCCGCCAAATCGATATGTCTACATTCGCCGCCCACCTCGACAACCTCCTCCCCGACTCCTCCTCCACATCCCAATCCCACCACGAGCCCCACAACAACCCGCACGCCGTCCCCAACCCCTCCGACACCTCTGCACTCTTCCGCCTCCTCCAAGACCAAATGGGCACCCTCGCGACCACCGCCCCTACCGACACCAACCGCGCCTTCCTAGAATCTCTCGTCGACGCCCTCGAGCTAGACATTGCGCGCCCGCCACAACAGATCGAAGGCGTCACGCAGGAGTTTCTCGACGGGTTGGACCGCGTGCCGCGGAAAACGCTGAAGGGGAAGGAGGCCGGGGAGGATGCGGACACGTGTCCGATCTGTGCGGAGCGGTATCTGGATGATCAGTATTGTTTGGTTGTGGAGCTGCCGTGTAAGGGACGGCATCGGTTTGATTTGGAGTGTGTTGGGCCGTGGTTGAGGGGGAAGGGTACGTGTCCGATGTGTCGGGCTGAGATGGGGAAGAGGAAGGTGGTGGTGGAAGAGAAGAAAAAGGAGGAGGGGGATGAGGAGGAGGATGATATGGATGGGTTGTATGCGTGAGGCGGCGGCCGGTGGACTGGCAGGTCAAGGGCGAGTACTATGTAGAGGGCATGTCACAGGCGTTGGGGGGTTGTTTTGAAGCTTCCCTATTTGGTGGCGGGCGGTCTCTCGCAAGGACAATAGTGTGATCTATGATGCAAATTATGACAGATAGCCAACTGTCCTCTTGACTTAGTTTTGAGGCTTATGCTGGTAACTTGCAGTAACCAGCCCCCCCTCCGGCTCTCTCCCATCTGACACGAGCCTTCAGACTTGAACATCTTCTATCATCCATGCTAATAGCACTCTCACATCGGCGCAACCTTCCCAGCCTTCTTCCCGCCACTACCCCCGCTCTTTTCCTTCTTCCCTTCCTCCCCAGACCGCTGCTGCGACGACGATTTCGGCCTCGACAACTCCTGGTTCGCCCCGCTCGCCTCCAGCGGGTTCCCGTTGCTTTCTTTCCCCGCGCTCTCGTGCTCCGCTTCAGGCGATGTCTTGCGCGGGTTGAAGGCTGCGTCGGATTTCTCGGCCACTTCGTCGTCGGACGCGCTCTTGGTCCCCTCTGAGCGGCGTGGGTTGAGGCTTTGGCGGTCTTGGTCGTCTTTGTATGGTAGAAGGCAGCGCGCGGTGAGGTGGTATGGTCGGTGTTGTTGGGTAAAGGAGGAAATGGCTGGCGCCCGGAAGGAACGCAGGGGAAGGCGGAATGAATGGCTGGTTGTTCGAAGCATCGTGAGGAACTGAAGTTTTGGTGTTTTTGGTTAGGTTTTTCTTCTCAGTTTTAGGAGTCTTTCAAGTGATGCTCAGTTGTAACTAATTGAACTACGAGAAAGTAAACACCACTTCAAGGTGTGTGAACCGAGTGCAGTTGTGACGTCATGACGACTTATCAATAATACAGCATCAAATGTACAAAAGTGGGGCAATGATCAACTTCATACCTTAGCACCTTAGGTACCCTTCCCTACTAACTAGTGTACTGCCGAGACGGACAGCGTTGGCTGTGTTTGACTCTTATAGAAAAATGGCACTTCTTTCTTTCCTGACTATCACGCTCTCCTCCAGTTGCAAAATTGAGAAAATGGGAAGTAGTGTACGACTTTTCTCATCAAAAATGACGTTTTTCCCGCTGGCCTGTCCAAAATGATTGCTTGTGGAAAATAGTCCGGACTTGCCAACCTGGGTCCTGGACTGCCGTATGGTTATTCCTTACTGGATTTGAAGATGTGGTGGGAAATTAATTAGCAGGTGTATCTAGTCACTTACAGTGTGTTAATTGATACTCAACTAAGTACTCAAGTCAAGAAAGAGCAATTGGTTGCACCCCATCGTCACTTGTTGCTCTGCTTGGAGGGGCATAGTTGTGTCGTCTGTACCACATTCGACCGATAAATTTGTGACAAGGAAAAGAGGTTTCGGCACCTGTTGCACTGAGTATTCCCTCTCCATTTACACTGTCACTATGATGATTCTGACCAAAACCTCCGTCCCTCACGAAACTCGCCGCCACGATTCGCGGCCCGGCAGAAAACTACTCGGGGATCAGCTGGCTGAGTTGTACTTGAATGGTCACCACTACCAACCAACGCGCCCTTATGCCCCCAAACCGTCACCAGAGAACCGAGCCCATCAGGAGAGGACCGTGTTGTGGGCCGTGTTCGACACGTCTTCAGTTCCTTGTTGGCCCATGGCGGGTCGAGTCTGGGGCAGAGGGCGTGCGGATGCTCGATTCGATCGCTGAATTTGAATTCAAACGGAAGTGACCACGAGTATAAGGCGGGCGCAAAATTTGGTCAAGGTAGGGTCTAAAAAGCCTTCATCAGAATTCCTTGCTAGTAGAGGAAAAATGAATATCAATCCAAATTCCGAAGATCTCCCTGGGAAAAAAGAGGCCATAAATAAAAGCTATAATCTCGTCCACCACAACTCGGGGCTTCGTCTCTTCTTCGTTGTACTACTACCTCCTAAAAAGAGGAGAAGGACCAAAAAGCTCACCAGCCGACCTCCATCACCGGCTGATGGAGGGTGCTTGGTTACGAAAACCCCGATGGGTTTTTCTCCGGATTGAACTGGAGCCTCTCGATCGGTTGTCGAGGGGTGAGGCAGCCCCTGGGCCGCGCCACCCAGCCAACTGCGCCATGCAACCAGTTGTTGGTATTGCTGGGGGGTTTGGTGGCAGGAGGTCCGTGGATCTTGTATATATGCCCTCGGTGAGGGGGGAGGGAAGGAGCATGAGAATGTGGCCTTGATGTTGGCCGGAATCTGCGGCACACCTCCTTCCCTCCTAGGAAATCGACACCTCGCTTCTATGAGCCATGGCACCTTGAGGACCATTCACTGTTGAGAGTCTCTGCCTTGGCGCAACTCCCGGGTTGGTCCTCTATCATATCCGTGTTCTGGTTCTCGGAACCGCATCGGATTACGTTTGTCCTTGACTTCATAGAAACATCCTCTCTTGATGGAGTGGAATTGGATCCCTTCGATGCTGGCCCATCTGGCACAGCACCCAGCTCGACCTCACCCACCTAGACGCTTCTACGGCTAACATAAACACAAGCGGTCAACGACGCTGATAACGACAGATACACCAATATCTAGTATACCGGACATCTCGGCGCCGTCATCCTCATCAGCCCCTTTTCCAAACCACTCACCCGCTGAAGGACGAATATCGACATCTAGGCCAGGTGACTGTCCTTACCTCGGCATGGCATTGTTAATGAGAGCCATATTTACTCCCTGGTACGGGTACGTCACTAAGTCACCCGCTTCCTTGGGCCCACCACAGACAAAGCCACCTGCGTAGTAGACTCCTTGTTCGAACACCTCGTCGATGCCCATAACGCCGGGTCGGGTGATCTCAAGAAGTGCCGAGATACAGTCCCGTAGCTGTCGGCGGCGGGGGTTATGTACAACAATAGCTTGAGGGTGGGGGGGGGGGCGTTTCTTGGTTACGACCGAAGGAAATGTGTTTTTGTAGGGGTTTGATGGGACGCTTGAGATGGGAGAGGAGGCTTCATAGCGGACCTAGAGGAATTGGGGGAAGTTTGAGAACAAGAGTAGTAAGACCATGGTCAAGGCTTTAGTATCTGATGTCATGTTGGTGGGCTGTTAGATTTCCTGATTGGGGGCGTGTTAGAGACCGTAGTTGCGTTTTGACTTTTGCGCAGACCGCCCCTTTCGTCTGCTTGTTTGCGTATATGCTCAATGTTTTGGTCTCTAGCTCCTCGCAACCATTGAAACAACTACGAAGGCATGGCAATCAAGGACGAAGAAAGCATCATTGACTGAGTAATTCCCAGCCTCGGCGGAATTAATGGAGCAGCCACTCGAGTGTACATAGTAGCAAGGCCCACAACACAGAGCGATCGGGATTGTCGTAGAGGACTAGCCCTAACGAGTACAGGCGGGGTTCTTCTTGGTGAACGCATGTTGGTAGATATTATGACCGATGTGGCAACGAACTGCGAGCAGTGTATACGCCCCAGTGTGATAGCGTCCGGTAGCAACTGAACTGGCGGCTCATGGCGGCGGTAAGGGGACCGATTTTCAGCCTGACACCTAAAGTATCACGATACGCAAAGCTGTGGCGGACATCGGACCTGGGACAACTCCGCTAAGGTTATACGAATACGTTCTCGAGAAACCAGGCGTTGTTTCGTCACTTGGGGGTAGGTCCTCCGTCAGGACTTGATACACCGCCTTCTTGACCTCAATTTGCCTGCCGCTTCGCTTCCATTTCCCCAATCTGCTCGAAACGAGATCCCAGCGGTCCAAGAGCACGGCCATCGGGAGTATACGGAACGCGTTCTGGAGGAATGTATGGGGGTACGAATAACTGAAGTAGTGTCGAATGGGCGACGCCTCCCGGCTTCCGTCGTCGGCGCCGTTTGGTGTTGTTACAGCGGCTTCGAGGTTGCTCCGCTCCGGGAACGCAAACGGGATCCCGTCCCAACACAGAACTGTGCCTGTTGAGTCAGCAGCCGGTGTCGCACAATGCTGGAGATTTTGCTGAACGGTGAACCCCCATCTTTCTGCATTGACCGGGATCGCCGGCTCTGACGTAGGATTGTGGGATGTTGTCATTTTTGCTCGCGGCATCCCTGGATATGGGTTGACCGCCACGCCGTGCCCGGCCGCCCCGGAGATGTGTTGTGTCAGCAAAGGTTTTCCTTTGAGGGGGTTTGTTCCATGAATTGGGCGAAAATGAAACATGACACGGCCCGGGCGGGAATTTGGGGCTGATGCATGCCGTCGGGACACGTTGTTCAGCGCTGTGCGGGCGGGTCGAGTGGGTGAGCAGCTCACACGTGGGAAAGGCTGGGCGCAGGCACAATCCCCCCGCCACATCCCGGCTGCATCTGGCAGCCAGTGCGAATCAACAGTGTTTCTTGTTCGCTTAACTCGAAAGCAATGTCGAATCTTGACGACCCAGGGAGCGGCCGGAGCCTGATTGAAATCGCGGTTGTTGGCCATGAATATACGCGAGTAGTAGAGTGTAGACGATAGTAGCTGACACTCGGTTGCCGTTTGAAAGAGCCGATGCCTTCTCTCACGATACAACCCAACAAATGCGGCGTTCTCCAAGGCGGTGACAAGTGTGGGCTGAAGTTTCCAGGATTTCCATGCTCTTCCGCCTTTGAAACAAACAGGATGGAGCCCTTCTCCCACATGCCACTTCTCATTCGGCTATGCAGAACACAGTGCATATCCCGCTAAAACCCTTAGTGGGGCGGTCCCTCTTCCCATGCGATGGCACGGCGAGCACGGGTGGATGGCTCTCGTCCCAACTTTTGGTTCGACCAGTTTAGGTGTCGAGGCACTTCCCCCGCTCCCCGCTACTTGGGACTGGGTCTCTGGGTCTGCTGACTGACAATCCGTTCCTCTCGGCTTTCCCCTCTTGTCCTACCACGCCGTCCATCTGGTCGGGCCCAAGCCAAGTCGCAGGGCACTTTGGACACCCGCATTTGTTTATCTTGTCGGGTCCCAGTCGTTTAAATCGATGCCCACATGCGCGGGGGGAAAGGAAGCGATGTCTCTGATCGTATCAGCACCACCCGCCGTGCTGCGATCGAAGGGAGGAACGCGCCCGAAATGACCGACCGGGTGTCTAGCGTTGTCGCTAACCCGGCCTGGCTTAAATTGCCGCGCTCAGCCAACCTGGCCCGCTCCGCTTCACACGCCAGCCGTGGCCACGAGGTCGCCACGCGCAAGGAGTTGAGGGAGGGGGGCCTTCAGGGGTCTAGCCACTGGGGAGGGGGGCTGTTTCTTCCATCGGGATCTTTTTTTATGTCGGGTCACAGGTTCCTCCATCTTCCCTGCTCCCACGATCCCACAACAGACCACTGCCGACATCAGCACTTCGCTCCTCCACCCAATCAAGCACCACCCAATTGGCGAGGACGGCGAAGAAAAAGAGGGTTGGGCTGCCCGGCGCTGACGATGGCTGCCATGTTTCCCCATTGACCGCTACGCCGCACGTTGTACGCCGTGTTGCCATGTGGCATTTTAAATTGCGTCCTGTGAGACCTGCGAGACCTACGTCGTGTGGTCAAACGCTGCACAAAGAAAAATAACGTTAAGGGTTTGTTGTGGCATGCGACTGAAACCGCCCTGTCCGCGCAGAACTCCTTTCCCCCCCTATATCGTCAGGGGCGCGACGGAGATGGAGACGATCTGAAGGGGGAGAACCGACAGACGACGCCATGGCGGATGCACCATTTTGGGGCGCGATCTGCGCTCGCGAATCGTCGAGAGCCTTCAATTGGCGTTGCCCCTCCCCGCTCTCCTTCCTGCTCTGAGACATGCAAGCTTTCCACACACATCGAAAATTCTTGGTTTTGTGATACCTTGGGCCTAGTGTAGTGTAAAAAAGGAAGCATGTGAGGTAAAGGGTTGCTGGGCCGAAGCAAATATTTAGAAATCACCAATGTATAAAGCCCAATATCGTTTCTTCGTTGGTCGAGATTGGGAGTGCGAGGAACCGGAAGTCAAATGGATGATTCCTGATTTGGCCAGGACAGGAGAGCGCAGAACTTTCAGTTATCACGATATCCGTGTTGCTGGGGCCTGCACCCCTGTAGCCCCAGGCCGCCAAACTCCGTCCAGGCCCGTTTCTTGGAGCCGTGACCCCCAAGCAGCCTCCACCACCTCACGGACCAGCCTCCATTCCCTGTCTTCCCTTCCTGGGTTCATCAAGTGACTTGCTCCAGTCCGAAACCCCTGACGGACCCCTTCGACGCCAGAATAGTTATCGTTGTTCAACTGAACTCATCCGACGCGACTTCGGCTGTCAGGTGTTACTTTTTCTCCTGAAAGGGTAAACAACCACTTGCTTTTTTGCAGGTTTGCCATCAGCGCATTCTTCACCCTTTTCCCACCTACCTTTGATATTTCTCTTTCGGCATCGGGCCCTTCGATACCCCTCAATCGCCAAACCGACCGACCGGAACTCCCGTTCGCTTGTCTACCCGACCGAACCCCCTTTCCGTCCCGACCAAAGGCTTCGATTCGACGTCCGAGTATCCCCATATTGGGTCGAACAAATAAACCAATCCTCGGCTCAAACCGAACCACTTATCCCTCCTTTCGAATAAGCCGATCCCATAGGAACAGCAGACAAGATCAGACCGACCGTGGTCTGTCTCGCTTCGTCCGTGCCGTACCGCCCGTTTTGCCAGCGCGAGCCCCGGATGTCGATCGGTGTTGGTTCTGTTCTATCCGCAAACCGCCAAACCTTCTCTCCGTCCCGACTGCCCAGGTGGCAACTGATGTCGTGTGGTGTGCTGGACCCCTGAAAGTTGTTTGACGGGCCAAAAGGGAAGAGGCCACAAGAGAAAAGAAAGAGGAAGTGAGGAGTTTGTGCATAGCAGTGGTGGGCGGAAGAAAAGGAATATCCCGTGATTAATTTCGGCCATGGGCAACAGCCAAGGAAAGCCAGTCGAGCTTGACGGCGAAGGTCAGTCCGGCCCAGTTGTCTCGGTCTCGTTTTGCTCTGCTCTTTTTTCCACCTATCGGTCATGCTAACGCGAGCGTCGTGTCATAGCGAATCTTAATCATTTCCGTCTTCTTCGGGTCGTCGGCCGGGGTGCCTTTGGCAAAGTTCGAATCGTCGAGCGGAAAGACACCGGCCTGTCCTTCGCCTTGAAATACATTCGAAAAGATGAAGGTGGGATACTACTGCTAGACATGGAGAGGGAAGGAGAGGGATACAGAGGCTAACGCGCCCCCCTTAGTTGTACGCTCGGAAAGCGTCCGCAACATAATACGTGAAAGGCGCATGCTCGAGCATGTGAACCACCCGTTCATCTGCAACTTGCGCTACAGCTTCCAGGACATCGAATACATGTATGCGCGCCCGTTCCTATCACACTCGATACCGACTAGGCCCCGAACAGCTGGCGACGGAACGGAACCAGCTAACAAATAAATAGGTACCTGGTGGTCGACCTCATGAGCGGCGGAGACTTGCGGTTCCACATCTCACGAAAGACATTCACCGAGGATGCGGTAAGGTTTTGGATATCCGAACTCGGATGTGCCCTGAGGTATGTCCACGGGCAAGGAATCATTCACCGAGATGTGAAGCCGGACAACGTGCTCCTCGATGCGGACGGGCATGTGCATTTAACGGATTTCGTATGTGCTCTCACACCCTTCCCCCGTTTCTGCATGGCGAAGGCCAACTAACGTGTGCCAGAATGTCGCTTCCGATATCGTCCACGGCAAGGTCCTCACGAGCAAGTCGGGTACCCTGGCATACTTGGCGCCCGAGGTCTACGCTGGGCATGGTTATGACGTGCGCGCAGACTGGTGGTCACTCGGCGTGTTGTTTTATGAGTGCATTTATAACAAGGTATGCCTTCTTTGTAGCCGCACTAGGCATGGCGGACTCCCCATTCTTGGGCTCGAGCATGCTTCCGATGCTAACAACCACCACAGAGGCCATTCGAGGGCAGCTCTGAGTCGTCCCTGAGCACCGTCATTCAGGCCGCCCGGCCAAAATTTCCTGTAACCAGCCCGCCGGTATCTCTGCCCTGCATGTACGCCATCAAAGATGCTCTCGAACTCGACCCGAACAAGCGCCTAGGCTCAACATGGGAGAGCTTCACCCAACACGAATTTTTCGCGCCCATTGACTTCATCGCTCTAGAGAAGAAGGAAATCGAGCCGGTATTTGTGCCGTCTTCGGAGAAAACCAACTTCGATGCCACTTATGATCTGGAAGAACTGTTGCTGGAGGAGGCACCGTTAGAGGCTCGCGCGCGGAGACAAAAACCCCGTGAGAGGTTAAAGGATGACGCTACCGATAAGGAGATCCGTGAGGATGAGCTATACCGCATGATCGAGACCGACTTCCGACCGTTCGACTACACGCTCGCAGCATACAAGAAGTGGGCCTACTTTCCCGACGCCACCCCTTTCCCCTTTATGATCAGCACTAACTTATCCCTCCAGAATCACACAACAACAGGAAGCTCAAGCCACCAAGGAAGCCACCCCATCTCCAGCCCCCAACGGAACAGCCCCCACCCCACACCCGCAACACCCGCAACACCCAAACAATCAACCACGCCCGACAAGTAGCGGCCAACGCCGCGCCGGCGCCGCACCACCCGGCCGTCCCCCTCCGCTCCCGCCCTACCCGCAACCTTATTCCTCCCGGAGCGCCAGCAACGGCCCAAGCAGTAACCCTAGCGGCGGCAACGGCAGTGGGAGTTACCGTGCTGGGCGATCCGGCGGTCCGGGCATGATTGTGGGGAGTTCGACGGGGGGCGTGCAGGTCACGCTGGATGGGGGCAGCAGCTGGAGTGATCTGGCGCGGCAAGACGCGACGTTGCCTGCGGACGCGAGCGGGGCGAATAATGAGTTGGGGAAGGGTGAGGGAGGCTTGGGCAGTGGGAGCGGCAGTGGGAGTAGTGGGGGTGTATTTGGGTTCTTGAGAGGGAAGAAGGGACGCGGGAACAGCCCGAAACCGAAGGAGAGGGGTGTGCTGGGGAAAGAGGGAGCGAGAGTGGTGTTGGGATAAAACTTAATGTGGATGGATGGTTCGTGGCCGCCTTTTTCCCACTGGCTTCCCAAATTGGCTAGGAGTAAAGGTTGAGGGTCTTGGGCATGGATGAGGAGGAAGATTGTTGGGGTCATATTTGCCATTTTTTCCCTTTTCTTTTTTTCCTTTTTTTTTCCTGGTTATTTATCGCGTCACACTGAGCAAGCGGGCCGGCGAGGGGTTCAAAGCACTACAAATCAGCGAGTGAGCGATTCAGCAAATGGGCAAGGTAAAGTGGAAGTCGAAGCGGGACTGGAACGCGCGGAACGGAAAGTTTGGGAGGGTTGCATATCTGCGATACTATATGCCTTGTTATTTTGTGTCCTTGCCATCATTCCTACTACATATTGTCGTTTTGCCCCTTGTCATCATGTACATTTCCCATACATAACCACCTACGGTTTTGTCGTTGTTGGGCTGGAGGGGGCCCGGAACAAACCAAACAAGCAAGCAATGCATGGAGGGAGGGTTGGGAGAGGAGGATTCAGGGGAGGGGGGTACTATGTCAAGGGGGAACAGGGTTGGCCTTGACACTGGGTAGCCATCATTTGTCATCATCAGCCTTGTCATCGTCATTGTTGCGCTTGGTGCTATCTAACTATCATAGGAGCGTTTGTCTTTGGATAGGGTGGGTTTGTGGGGTTTCTAATGAATCATTTGGCTCCTGTCTGGTCGGTCCCTGTATCTACCTGTCGATCGCAAGCTCTGGCTACTTACTGACTGCATGAAGCAGTGTACTTTCCATCCCAATTTTCTCTCGTTGCAGCTCTCGTCAGATCAAGAATGGCGGAACGTGGGTAGCAGCTAGACTATTGTTGTTTGAGTTAGTTGAGAACAACAAAGGTATGGTTTGCCACGCCCGGCAACTACGTGGTCCATCATACAGCGGGGTCAAGGTTATTGATATAGTGTTACGGTTTATAAGCTTTTGTATACAGCCCACAAGGCAGGGAACACATAGAACATCTGACAACGAGTCACTTTGCTTCTTCGGCCAGTCAGTAAAGCTCAAAGTAACATTTCGTTGCCTAACCTCAACCTCCAACTACACGAGATAAAAATGAAACGCATATCCGCCCAGGAACGTGAAGGAAACAGAAAAGGGGTAAGGAAGGAGTTGCGTTTCGTTGAAAGCCCCGATAATAATGTACGTGTGAACGAACGAGCCGCCTAACCTCAACGACAGCCAACCGCCTCGTAACAACACCTGAGGTAATCCATTATGAAATCAAAGCAAACCATTCGAGAGGAAAGGGGAACTGGGAAGGAAAAAAATACACAAGAGTCAATCACTATCAAGTCAAACCATTGTGGTGGTTTCGTTCCCACCCTTTCTGTAAGAGAAGAAAACAAGAAGGCAGGCCGAGAATAATAAGTTGTCCCACCCTAGTTACTCCGTTCCAGTCCGACCAGTTGCCCATATTCTTTCATATGCTCCACCCTCCCTATCTTCCCTCGACATCAACCGACATAATCCGCAGCAGAATGCCCATACTGTACCGCCGTGTGGCAGCTGAATAAACCGTCCTCCATCAGAATTCCTCAAATATGCCCTCGCCATTTTTAGGCTTGTCCCATTGCAAATGCGATTTCCGTCTGAAAGTTGCAACTTAATAACTCCGCCGTTAAACACCTGGTCGAAGGTCCTCGTTTTTCGAGTTACCTCCTCAATGATCTTGCCCAATTTCCGGTTGTTGTACATGTTTTGTGTAGTGGACTTCCTCAAGCTTGCTTCTGGGGTTGAGCTTGACCTAGGGCTTGCGATTTCTTTGCCAATGCGTCGAGTTTGGCTGCGGCATCTTCGTCATTGCACAGGTACTTCTTCAGCGCATTTTGAAAATCCGTCTCGCTGACGACAGGGCCGACGCCGTCGCACTTGGCCTTCTTTTGCAAGTCGGCACAAAGACCATCCAAATCGAAATCGCCGTCCTGAGCCTTGGGGCAGTTCTTGATCTTCTTCCTATGGGGTTGTTAGTAACACCGCAATGAGTAGATAATTCCAAGTCTTTCGACACATACCAAACCTCCTCGCATTTCAGCACCACGGGCGTTTCGTCCGAGTCCTTAGCAGCGTCGATCTGGGCGATCAGATCCTTCTTCCCGGCAGGTTGAGCCTGTATCGGTTGATTGAATGGCGTGAGGAAGTCAATATCCAACGCTTCATTAAAGAAAGTGTCGTCGAGATTCTGCCCGAAGATGTTGTCTTGTGTGTCGCGGTAGCCGCCGAAAACCTGGGGGTCAAATTGGAAGTCATTCTGGGGCAGCCACTGAGAGAAATCATCCAGGCCAGGTCCCGTGAAATGGCCGAAATCTGCAATTGGCATTGTCAGTCATCATGTTTTTCGTCGGCGATATCAGACAAGGCCGACTCCTTGCAGCCGAGGTCTACTTACCATTCGACTGATTGTTGTTTGAGTAGTTCGGATGCTCTTCCCCAATGGTGCTCAATGTGTCAACGGGCTTAAAACCCATCGGAGATTGAGTAAAAGGCTCGGGTGACGTTCCGCAGGAAGAATTGGGGCCACCCATGTTGGAGTTGGACGAGGCGGAGGGCGAGCTTGTGGCGGTTGCACCGCCCACATTATAATGCGCGTCCATGCTTGCTGATGAGCTGCCTGTCCCTTGACGGTTGCTGAGGGGCGGGGTGAAGAGACTAGCTGAGATGTTGGCTAGATCTTGCTTGGTTTGACTGTCGAGGCCGACTTGGCTGTAGGTGCTCGAATTTCCCGGGCTAACACCGTCCAGTGAGCTCTCACTCGGGCTCCGGTGATCCACACTGTTCTTAGATGACTTGGACGACTTGGAGGCCTGAGACGCCTGAGACGATGAGCCTGATCCCTTCTTGTTGATAGGGGGGCCCGGCAGGCTGCCGAACTTGGGAAACTCGAACTGGAAGTTGACATCATTGAGGTTGTTGACAAATAGACTGCCAAAGGGCGTCGCAGGTCCTTGCGAAGGCCGGCCGTTCGTGAGGGCAGAGAACCGCTTCTTGTATTCGTTCAACTCAACCGTCATCTTGTCCACCTTGGCGCGGAGATTTTCGTTTTCATTGTTGGCGGCCTCAGACATTTTTTCCAGTTCCTGCACTTTCTCCTCCAAGTCTTTCAGATGTTTCTCCTTGCGCTCCCGGAACGCCCGTTGCGCGGCCCGATTTTGGGCTTTCCGTTTCTTCGGATATGTTAGTGCTATGATGAACGCATATCGTTAGAGGGGTAGTCGGCTTACCGAGCTTGGTTCTGTTGTGAGCGGCTTCCTCCCGGGCTTCTTGGCGACCTTCTCCTCACTCTCCCGCCTTTTGGCACCGGGACTCTCTTCGTCATCGGGATGGCTCCTCTTTTCCGGCGAGTCGGCGTCCGCCGAGTCGGACTTGAGCGACCGCTTAGATCCTGGCAAGTCACCGATCATTTTGGCTTGGTTGACGTCGTCAAACGAGACATCAAAGGCAGAAGAGTCGGCGCCGGGAAAGTCGTAGTCGTACTCGAAATCCGGGCTGTTCTGGAAACTCGAAATACCGCCACCTTGGACGGGCGAGGTATCGTACTGTAGGGGCGCCGGATTGAAACCATTGTTTGACTGGCCATTGCTAGGGCGATTCGAATTGAGAGCCGCAAACAGCAAGCTCTGCTGCTGCGGCGTGAGGACAAGCCCCTGGAGCGGATTTTGTGATGATGCCATTCCTGCTGAATGGCGCCAGACCGCGTTCAGATACTAAGCGGGAATGAAAGGAAACGGAAACTGAGGCGACAACCGCAGTGACTACTGTAGAGTAGTCGCAGTCGGAAAGACGACACGACGGCTTAGAGCCGCAAGAGAGAAATGAACGTTGTGTTCAAACCCCGAGTGCTGCGTGGCTGGGGGGCGAAAAGTCGCGATGGGAGCGAACCGTTAAGTCCGAGCACCACCCGAGACAAGGGCGGGGTACCTATCTGGCCCGACAAGACGGACAAGAGAGACAGAAGAGATAAACACAGATCGAGGCGGCTGAGGGTTTGAGCAAGCGGGTGCTTCGAGAAGCTGAGAGATGGCTGTCGTTGTTGCAAAGGTTGGGTCGATAAAGGGGCGAAGAGTTGCCCCCCAGACAAGGTCAGATTCTTGGATGTCGGGGAGGTTGACAACTGGCGAATTGCACAGGGCGCGGAGTGGGGAAGGGAAAAGTTGCGGCCTTTCCGCGCGGTTGGCTGCCTGGGTTTGCACCTGACAACTCGAAATTGGTGACGGTTCCTACGGCTTTTCGCTCGCCTCCGGACGGATGTCGACGGCAATGGGGGTTTGGGGGCTGCGGCTTGGGTCAGACCGAGGGGCGCTGGGTGGATTTGTGTGGGAGGGGTTCGATGACCGCTGTGAATTTGTCAGCCGTCATGGAAGGCTTGGGAATTGCTGTGACTGGCTTCAAGCAGGGGTGAGGTGCGACCCCACAAGACCCGGAGCCCGCCCCGCCGACGATGCGAACAGCTGTTCCAGCCCCTTCTTTCTGACAGGAGAACAAGTTGATCGCCGTGACGTCGGGCTGTCAGGAACAGGGGCACGAGGGCGCAAACTGCCGAGGCGACAGCCAAAAGATCGGTTGTGCAGTGGGACGAAAACTCTACGATGAGGACGTCATATTCGTCGTCAATCGGAAGCCGACATCGCAGCTTGTTCACTCTACCTTTCGTTTGCCTCCGTTGCTTCACAAACAGGCCCTCTCCCCGAATCTAACAGTTTTTCCAACTAATGTAGTTAGTTATCGGATCTCTTCCATTTTTGTTGGGCTAAGTATCTGCCGTTGTTCCCGTCTGGCCTCGGAAGCCCATCAGGCTGTCTTGAGCGCGGTGCTGACTCAGACCCAAATGTCTCGCTGCGAGGCAAGGGTTGCCGTCACCTCGTTATTTGTGCCGGACGGTCGCCATATCAAACCATTTCGGCAGCACCGCAGCACACTGGAATGCAGAGTCCCTTCCCCAGCACACACACTTCTGAAGGCCTTCAAGTCGGATGTAACCGTTCATAATTTCGAAAACTATATGGCCGTTTTGGTCGCTGATATTATATGACACAGTGGATGATGAACGCTAAGGTACACTAAGTAGTTAACCTTGGGACCCCGAAAATTCGTCGTTTGGGCCTACTGCCATGGGGGCAATCTGATAGACAGTCGGGGTCTCAGGGCCTGTGTGGTCTGTGCATACGCTCTAGTGGCTGGCAGCGGGGTGACCACGGGACCCCGCTGCTGCATCTCCGCACCGCGGCAGGCGACCCGACATGATGCCATCAGCCTTGTCCAACCTAAATCGAACCTCTGCAGGCCCAAAGTGACCGATCCAAACTACGCCGTGGCCGACGCGATACCCTGATTTGAAGATTCTGGGTACACGGCGGTTGGACGAGATACTATTCCGAGATATTTGCGTTAACGACGATCATACCTGCCTGCAGCGAACGCATTGCAGCAGGCTCTCGCCCGTGATGGACATTGCCTACGACCACATCCAAGAATCAAACTTCCCAGAGGAGCACGGGGAATCCCCGCAGGAGGAGACAAAGGAGACTCCCCAGGCGAGCTTGAATGCCGATCTGCAAGACGCTTACCGTGCCTTCTCCTCGAGCCCTTGGGGTGCCCGGATTGGTGGCTTCTTCGGCAATGTGGTGAAGCAGGTGCGTCGTTTTTTAAGCTAGAGGGTCTGATTTGCTATCGCCCCCCGCACCGACTGACCATCTGGTGCAGGGAGAAAATGTTTACCGCGAAGCTCAGCAAGAGCTTTCCGCGGTGGGGCAAGATGCCACTCGCGGCTTCACCGGCCTTCGACAGACCATTATTAGCCATACGCGCAACCTCTCGTTAAACACATCCTTCCCCACCGTCGGGGGCCCGTCATCGGACCAAGCGGCAAGGGAAGTAGACGGAAACAACGAAACAACGCCGACCGCGTCCAAGAACCCTTCCTCGGACGAGGCGCTCCAAGACTCCGAGACGGTCCTCTCCCGGCTTCGGGGCGAGGCGGCCAAACGTCTCAAGGATCTCCAGCGGGCCGAGGACGCGGCCGACGAAGCTCTGCTCCGGTTCGGGTCGAATCTGCGGGATTTCTTCCGTGACGCCATCACGATCGCACCCCCAACCGGTGCCCAGGTGGACGGCGAAGGTAACCCGGTGTTGTTTGAGAGCAAAGATGCACAGGGAAAGAGGGTCATCCACGCCTCGCGCTTCGATGCGCAACTGCACGTCATCCACACTTCGCCCGAGAGCTTCACTCAGGATGGGACCGGGGCCGAATTCGAGTCGTGGACGAAGGAGTTTGATGTCGACAAGAAGACCGCGGATATTAGCAGCGACTTGGATAAGTACCCGGAGCTTAGAGCAACCATGGAGAAGCTCGTGCCTGATCAGGTTGCGTATGCGGATTTCTGGAAGCGGTACTACTTCTTGAGGCACGGTATCGAAACGGCCGAGGCGCGGAGAAAGGATTTGCTCAAAGGTACGTGACATGTTTTGTTGTTTGACCCCACCGATCTGTTCTAATCATTCAAATAGCTGCCGCGGCTGAAGAGGAGGTGGGTTGGGACGAGGACTCGGATGAGGAGGAGGAACAGAAAAAACAGAAAGCCCCAAAGACCAAGGCAGCCCCGAAGACTGCAACTGGGAAAATAGAAGAGGAAGAATCAGACGAAGACGAGGAGGATGACGAGGACGACGAAGACGAGGACGATGACGATGAAGATTCCGACGATGAAACTGAAGTGGGACCCAGTAAAAGCGCCGCCGCACCGAACCGGCCCGGCTCTGCCGGTTCGTCCACCACCATCCACCCCCCAACAACCAACAAGGCCGTGAAGCCGTCTGAGCCGCGAAAGTCCAACGATGAAAAGTCGCAGGCTGATAGTGACGCGAGCTACGATGTCGTGGGCCAGCGGTCCGGCGTTCCCAGCCAGGCACCAAACAGCCCTAAGGAGGGGCGGAAAGGCGATGAAGAGAGTGATGACAGCGAAGAGGATAGCGACGAGGACAGTGACGAGGAGGATTGGGAGTAGTTGATATGTTCACAACTTTATGGACGGAGAGCCTTAGCGTGGCTCTCCTTGCTGTTGTTAACCCCGACTTACATCTAGGGGGGGATTGGCTTATGCTGGAGTTGGATTGGCTTTTTACCCCTTTCATCCTAGGCTCTGGACATACGGAGTCCTGTGAATTTCCTCGCCATACTGTGGATAGCCTTCAAATCCCCAAACGTAGGGGCAGTAACACGCTCGCTGTACTTTTTCCCGTATCTAAAAAAATGCCAGCAATCATGTCCTATCATATAAAATGGACCTCCTCTTCCCGTATTCTTCACCTCTTCTTCCTCGTCACCTTCGTAAACCCATCCTCATCCACTTCCGGCTCTTCCCTCTCCCTCCTAACCAACGCTGGCGCCTCTCCCATCTCCACATCCCCGTTCTCCTCGCCGCTCTCACCATCCTCCTCATCATCATCCGTGTCCCAATCCGTCTCCCCGTCCCCTTCCGCCTCCTCCACCTTCTTGAACACCACTTTATTCCCCTTCTTCCCTTCCCACCGCCGGCGCACAGCATCCACCCCATCAAAACGGCCTCGCAGGCACTCACTGCGTAAATTGAGGATCTGATCGGCGATTTCGTAGCCAGAGTCGTCGTCAACGTTAACTTCGAACTCGTCGAGCATGACTTGCAGAAGCACGGCTTCGACGTCTTCTTTGTCAGGCTCTTCGGTGGACGAGGCGGCTGCTTGTGTTGTTTGTGTCTGTGATCGGGAGCTGTTTTGGGGCTGGGATTGTTGTTGTTGTTGTTGCGGTTGTTGTTGAGAGGAGGCGGCGATCTTAGTCTGCAGCTGCGCAGCGGATAGTTGTGAGATGTCGGGAAAGAGCTCGACAATGGCGCCTGCGAACCAGTCGCGCTTATCGGCTGAGTCTGGGCCGCCCCAGTTGTTTTGTACGGCTAAACTGAGAGCTTCCCAGAGGTGTAGCGTCAGGGCGACGCCCTGCTCGAAGTTGGATTGGCATGTCGCTATGTGGTGGGGGCGGGTGTCAGTATTGGGATTCGGGCTTAGGGATGTTAGGGGGGGGGGATTGGCTGCATACCAGGGCTGGGAGAGGATGTGCTCGCCATGGCGGGCAGTATTATATGTAGGTTATAAAAAAATGCAACATGAAAGAAATACCGGTAAACGGGTGATCGCAAACCACGGTGATATGAGGGGTGATGGAGGGGTGGTGTTTGTGGCGTAGATTTTTTTCGGGCTAACATATTGATAAGGGTTAGGGTTATACGATGTCCCGTCGAGTCTCCAGTGCTCCACACATATTGAATGCCGCTTTGGGATAGTAAATGACATCACGGCAAGTGATATCGTGCAATTTTTGCCAGGCCTAACGGCTCTTGGTTTGAAACCTGAAGACGCAGGGAATCGTTTTGATTCGGATCCGCCCGTTTCCGGCAATTAACCCAACCACCCAACCACCCCCGGAGAGTTTTAGAAGGTCTAGAAGAATCGGAGCTATCAAACGTGCCGTCACCGCAATCCTCATAGTTATCAGGAGCAACCCCTCTCGATTTTATTTTCTAGGAGCCTTCAACAGAGCTCAACACACAAAACATACTCATACAAGTTTATCATTAGTCCACAAAAACACACACAATGGCCACAAACCTTGTCATCGGCAGCACCGGTCTGGTCGGATCGCACATTCTTTCCACCCTACTCACCGACAGCACCGTCAGCGCGGTGCACACGATCTCGCGACGGGCGCCCAAATCCACAGGCTCAACCTTGCACGCAACCGTCGAGGCCGATTCGACGCAGTGGGCGGCCAAACTCTCCGCCATCCAGCCAACCCCCTCCACCACCTTCTCCGCACTAGGCACCACACGCCAGCAGGCCGGTGGCATCGCCAACCAGTGGAAGATCGATCATGATCTCAACATCGAGCTCGCGCGCGCCGCCAAAACCGCCGGCGTGCGCAATTTTGTCTTTGTCTCCAGCGCCGGCACACGCGGCCTGCTAGGCGGCCGGTTGCCCTACGGACAGATGAAGCAGGGCGTGGAGGACACAGTCAAGGAGCTCGGGTTTGAGACGGCTATTGTCTTGCGACCGGGGATGATTCTGGGCGAGCGGGAGGTGCCGCATCAGGGCGGGCCACTCCTCACGGGATCAGTGAAGGCGCTCGGCCGGTGGTTCGGTATCGGCGTACAGGACAGTTTAGGGCAGGAGGCCGAGGTGATTGCACGCGCTGCGGTACACGCGGCGAAGATCGCGGAGGAGGGCAAGGCACCGGAGAAGTACTGGGTGCTGGAGCAACGCGATATTGTGAGGTTGGGCAGGACCGAGTGGAAGAGTTAGGTGGACCGGGAATGGGGATTCTGACTTTGAAAGCCTGGCAAGCTGTTGTGTCACCGTCGGAACTTGTGCTGAATGGGGCGATTCTCTCGCATGGTGATGAGACCCGACGCTGTGGAACACTCTTTGTGTAAACAAGGTCATGGAACATTATGCAAACCTCACAAATCGACCTTTGTTCTTCTCTCTCTCTCTCTCTCTCTCTCAATCCTTGAGTCCCCTGACCGTTTTTCGCATCTCAGCAAAATGCCCAGCTGCACATTCGGGGATTGAGTTCTGCCGACTCGTCGGGGTTCGGTGTCGTTGAAGGTCCATTGACAAATGGAGGAGGACCCTGAAATTCATCCCATTTCGGTAGCCAGATTTTATCTTATCTATAGGCCCCCGTTTCTCTTACAGCTACCCCACTACCCCGCTATCGAACGAGTTCACTCCGTTTCCATCCCGATTCCTCGGTCTGTGTCAGCACCGGCTCGATTTCAACATCAGACCCGCAACTCACCTCTCACTCGCGTTTTCACAAATTAAGCATCCCATCCCCCTCCATACCCCGTCTTGGAATTCTCGATCACCGCCTCAACCCACCAAGCCGCCAACTACCCATAGCCCCCACCAAAAAGGGACAGGACAGGAAAAAGGAGGCGTATAGAGTAAACCATCTCCAACATGGCCTCCCCAACTCCCAACCGCCCCTCCATCATCGGCGACCCCTCCGGGCCCTCCGATCCCTACCCCCTCCACATGTCCGGCCGCGTTATCAGCGGTTTCGGCCGCGGCTCCAAAGAACTCGGCATCCCCACGGCCAACCTCCCCGTCGACGACACCCAAACCCCCTGGATCTCATCCACCCCTTCCGGCGTCTACTTCGGCTGGGCCTCCATCCGTCTCCCCCCTTCCCACCCAGACTCACCACCACCACCACCACCGCCCTCACAAAACGAGGCAACGCCAACGCCCACCGCCCTCCCCCCGACAAACGGCTTCACAGTCTACCCCATGGTCATGTCCATCGGGTACAACCCCTTCTACAAAAACACCGTGCGCTCCGCCGAGGTGCACGTGCTGCATAAGTTCCACGCCGACTTTTACGGCGCCGAGATGCGGTTGCTCATCGCTGGGTATGTGCGTAAGGAGTTGGATTATTCTGGGCTGGAGGCGTTGATTGCGGATATCAACTTTGACTGTGTCGTGGCGAGACGGAGTTTGGCTAGGGACGGGTGGGCGCCTCGGGGCGTGGAGGTTGCTGTGGAGATTGATGGGGAGGTTGATGGGGAGGTTGATGGGGAGGTTGATGGGGTTGCTGCTGGTGAAGGGGGGGAGAAGGCGGTGAAGGTGTTGAGGGATGGGAAGTTGGAGGCGGATTGGTTGATACGACCTAGTGAGCTGGGGGGGGAGGTTGAGGATGCGGAAGGGAAATGAGAGGAAGGGGGGGAGTAGCATGAGGTTGTCGGGGAAGGGTTGGTTAGGTAGGGTTGGAGAGATACTAGCATGCAAGCGACAGCGGCTCATTTTACGTCGGGAAGAGCTCACCCACAATAGATCAAAGACCGTATTTCAATTTGGCCAGCACGCTGGCAGCCTCCACTCTATATATGTACCGGATTCCCCAACATACACCCAAAAACGGGACGTATGGAATTCAAACCCCTGAGACGCCCGCCATGACACCGCCAATAACTTTGTTTTCCTGTCCTTTTGCTACCCCGTCGCCCCAAATATCTTATGTTCATGGCCCCTCTATACGGCGAGCTGGTTGTTACTCCGATAATAACATGGTAGGAACTGCCGAAGGAAAAAAAGGTCATCATCAGTCTCGTTGCCCAATCCCCAATACATGCCTCGCCTCGCATCGGACAACAAAATACGAGGCAACAGCAGGGTCACGTACTTACATTGATCACGAACAACATCGGCATGTCGAACATGTCTCGCTTGATGGTCCACGTGTAACTACACTCGAGCTTGCCGTCGCGCTCTAGCTTTGAGATCCCGTGCGCCCCGTCAATCTTGGCTACACGATTGCTCAGAATGCTGTTCCGAGTATCCTTTTGGTGCTGCGCCCGGTCGTCGGTAGTGTTTGGCCCTTCACCGCCCTCGCCGCCAGTATTCCCGGGCGGCCCGGCGCTATCCTCTTTGTCTGAGGCACGGTATTTGAGTAGCCGACACTTGCGTGTCTTGTGCCCGCGGCTGTCGTTGAAGGCGAGCTGAGAATAGTCTTCATAGAACTCGACAACGCTGTCGTGGTCTAGCAACTCAGCGAGAAACACGGGCTGCGGAGCGTCTGACGCTCCGGGGGGCTCTGTGTTGAGGCTCTTGAGGCGTGGAGTTGCGAGGCCGGCCCGCCCCTTCGAGCTAGAACTAGTCGCGGCGGAGCCACCCAGGTTGACATTTTCGTTTGGCTGCTTGCCGAGGAGTACATCCTTGGTCCACCCTGTGAGAGCGGTGAACTCCTTGTTCACAATCGCCACTTCACCCGTACGTCGGCATGCAAGAGTAGGGCTGGAGCATTGGTGCATGAACTCCTCGTACTCGAACAACGACCGCTGGAAATACTTCTCCATGAACACCAGGTCTTGCCTCGTGAGATTCCTCGTTGTTGCCATCAGAGATGGCCGAATGCTGGCCAGAGACTTGGCGATACGTGACGTGTGGGCTGCCGTAAACCGACCCTGAATTAGGCCAAAGAGCTTGTGGAAGCTTGTAACATATCCAAACGGCTCCTTGACCGTATCATAGATGTAGGAAGGGTCCCGCTGACGCTTCCCCAGGATCGATTGTTGACCTAGTTTTGACAGTGCATTGGCCTGTCTTGTGCTGGGCCGGTTGGCCGCCTTGTTCCCTGGCGTAGGAGGGTATGTGGCCATGGTGGGAGAACCGTCAAACCCTAGCGAGGTCGGCTGCGGGCTGTTGGTATCTGTGCTGGGGCTCTGGACGCTAGTTGGGCCAGCTGCAATAGCGTAGGCATGGGGAAGCCCGTGTTGTAGGTTCCCTTGGGAGTACATGCCGTTGTGGTTGGTATCAAGACCCATAAAACCCTCGAGTACGTTGCCGTCGTACACCTTGTCGAACTGGTTGACGCCATTGCCAAACATCCCCGGCTGGAAGCTGAGACTGCCACTTGCGGAGCGCGATAACGAGGCATCTTGCGGGGGTGTCTCTGCCGCCCCTGACGACATGTGCCCGAGCATGCCGAATTCCATGGCACCATACTGGCTGCCAAAGTTGAGTCCTTCAAGATTAAAGTTGAAAATGTTGGGATCGCTTGGATCAAAAGGGAGGGCTCCAAAATTTCCCATGGGGCTCGACACCTGGGGAACGGCCATTCCGCTTATTTGTGGAGTGCCCGACGTTTGGAAGGACGGCGATACCGGCGACTGCTGGCTGGTGAAGGGAAGGTTTTCCGCCATATTCCCTATTGGGGTTTGGGAGGCGGAAAACATGGGAAATTGAGAGGTGCTTGATTGCGAGAAGAAAGCTCCCGGGTTCGTAGAGGATTCGGAGTTTGGAATACTCGTCTGTCGGTTACCGTTCTGCCGTTGGGCTGCGTTCGGGTTGTAGCTTGGTCCAAGAACCGGTCTCAACGCCTCGGGAGGCGCATCATGAAGATACTTGGCCTTCTTCCTCACGCCGTCCTGGCACGTGTCCATCAAGCCGCGCTTGATGCACCGTTGACACGGCCTCTCATCCCCTGGCACAGAAGTCAGCCATAAGCCAGACAATTTGCAGACAAACAAACAATATAGCCAACAATATAGGTAGAAGGAAGTGTGAGGTTGATTCCAACACTACCCACACCAAGGTGGCCGAAAGCAGCTCGTGGTGTTGGTGGTGCGGATGAAGAATTTGGATACGTACCGCAAGTAAGGTGCGCTCTCTGACAGGCGTAACAGGCTCGCCTAGCCTTTTTCCGGCGCGGTCGAAGGGGGTCTTTCGGGTCATACTTCTTTTTCGGCTCACCGCTGTTGTCGGCACCTTCGGAGCCCGCTGGATGGTCGGCCATATTCTCGTCTTCGTCCTTGATATTATGGTCCGTCTCGTCGTATTCGTTGTCACTTTCCGACATGGCACCCGAAGCCTCCTGACCGGAGTGCCCGCTATCTTCCGCCATCATGGAGCAGATTTATATACGAGCCCCTCTCTAACCGTTAGGTGGACCGAGCGGCGTATGGCAACGCAGGAACCCTCAACACTCAACGCAGGCTGGGCTCAATTCCCACGGAACAAGCACCCTGACGGAAGAGCAGTCAGAGGATAAACGCTGGAGGCTCCTGCAGCAATATCACAACGGTGTCACCAACACGGCAAATGATTGGCACGGCACGTCTGAGCTGGTGGTCAGAGCAGGGCCTGGCAAGCTGAGAGGGTGGGCAGCGGAAGCGGGAAGCAGATGCCCTAGAACGGTGTCTGCCAAGGTCGAGTGAGCCACGGGCTCCCTGTGGGGTGTCGAATCGAGGCGTGTTAGGTGCGGTAACGAACAGGTGTGGAGGCTGTACGCAAAACCCCACGTTAAAACAGCAGAAACAGTAGCAACGGCCCTCGTGTGGCGTTTCTGGGGCTTTTGCTCTTCGCTGTCGCTTCCCGCAATAAGAAGCGTTGATCGACCCTCTTGCCTAAAGCAGAGAGCAGGGGCAGGTTGCTGATGCCAGGTAATGACGTCCGGGACACAACAACAAGTGGCCTATCTCGTATTCCTAGAGGCTGCTCGAGGAGGCATACAGCCGGCTATTGGCCCCCGGAGGAAATTGGCTTCGGAAGGTCGTGGTGCGACGAAGGGCGCCACCGTCCGCGCGGGACTCGCGGAATCTGGGGCCGTTGGGGTCGACGGTGACTGGCGGGTCCGTAGACGGCCTCTCAAGTTACGCGACGGCGGATAAAGCACGGGTGCGGTCCGGGGCAAGTATCGAGCACTGGTGGGCGGGTGTCGCACAGGGAGTGAGTGAGGAACACCCACTCTGCAGGTAGCCGTTCGCTTGGTGGTTGCGCAGGCCCTCTTTTTGCTGCGGCGGCGACGACGGCGACGGACGGCAGCGGCAGAGCAAGTGAACTGTTGGCGCGGGCTTTCCTCCAAGACGCAATGACGGTGTTCGGAGGTTGGCCTATGGGTGGTGCGGGTGTGGGACGTCGAGCCGGGGTGGCTTTCTGGTCAAGATTGATGTCGGCGGCCAGTCGTCCAAGTATCTACGATCTCGGCTCGAAGTGCGCTTCGAATGTATCTCCTCGTCGCTGGGCCCGGTTCACATCCCCGCGCTATCCTCTGCTTTCGTTTCTTTTCTTTCCCAATGTCCACCACTTTTCTGGGGTCGTTCCCTCCTCGTTGTCTACGGCCGTCCACGTTCCCCGTGACACTGCCTCTCGGTGCAATCTCCGCGGCCTTGTTTTCGTCGGCGTCAATACGGCTTGTGTGGGCTGCTCGGCACGCGGATTCCGGATCGTGGTGGTGTTCGAAAAGCAACACGTGCTCGCGAGTCAGGAAGGCGTTTTGTGATGAGAGGCCGAACAAGAGACGAAAGGTGGGGTGTGGATTTTAGATCGCGCCAGGACTCCCGCCTGCCAGACTGTCTGTATGGTAACGAGCTGTATTTCGTAGGTCGTCAATGCCGTCTTCGAGACTCGGCGGGTCCGCTGATGTTTGCATGGCAGTTGTGGGGAGCACAATGGCCCTGTGGGTGCGAATTGGGATGGGGGGGTTGGTGGATGCCCACGCTTTCCCAATTCGATCCCGGGGTGTTAATCCAGTGGAAAACCTGCCAGGCTTGCCAGGGCCTCGGTTGTGGCTAGAGTCGGTGTGTCTTGCAGGGCGGATGACTTCTGGGCGGCCTGGGCAAACTGGGCAGTCACGGTGGCATCAACCAAGCTAAAGAATGCTCTTCTTCCGCCACAGACAACTGCGGGGTTTGTTCGGATGAAGATTTCAAAATTTTCATGATTCTCGCTTCGCACCCATGCACTTTTTTCATTCGCAAGCGAGCGGCCCTCAGCGCAATTTCACCCGCTCGTAGCGACGCTCCAACTGCTGACTCAGCAATACATTCCCTTAAAAGTGCTGTTAAAGAGATGCCGCCACACCGAAATGAATACGCTACAAAGTACTCCCAGCTCCCTCTCATGCTCTAATTAGCACGAAAGTGTTAACGTTGTATTTGGAGGCGAATACCTTATTGAGGGACCGAAAGTATTCACATAGTAATCGAGCTAATTAATTCTCTGTTTGAACTGCAACTCCAAACCCAGTGTTTTGTTTCAAAGGACTCGGTAATCAACTCCATCGACCTCGCCATTCCAGCGTTTTAAGCCAGGATTATCGGTAACAACCCTTTGCTGGCCTGTGGCTAAATTCCTGTGGAGCTAACCATTCGAGTGGTACGGATTAGAAGGTGGCTGACTGCCCCGTTGTTGTTGTTGTCCAAATACCTCGATTTAAGCACAGGTGAGATCAGGGAACACGAAGGCCGCCAAACCGGTGAGTTGCCGTCATTGACTGTGTATTGGCAGAACGAGGTTCCGAAACCGTAGGAAAATGCATAATCACCTCACCCAGGTTCTCAAAGTGGACGACTACGACCGAAACCTTTTGAGTGTAACCAAGAACCCCGTCAACCCGGTATCATTACCCATCTCTCGCGAGACGGACACACAAAGGTACTAAAGAGCCTCAGGCATGTAGTAACGGTCTAGAGTATAAAACATCATGACTTCTCCGTTTGTCCCCTGCTTGTCTTGTAGACTGTGACACATCACTTGCATTGTCATTCGCTGACAAGTTACTGACAGACGGGTCGCTTGAGCGAACCAGATGCTCGACGGTGTCTCTTTAGTAGTGTATTCCAGCGCTGGATACATTTCTGATTTAAAGAGCCAGAGCAGCCACCTTTTTCTTTCTATGATTTCCACACAATGATCTTAGCTCTTTCTGAACCGGCAGGGGCTAGGTGAGCAAAATGAACTTCACGAATGGCAATTTACACACTAATTACTATGTATAAGCCAACTTCACTTACACTCCTTGTTCCGCTCATGGACCAGTCATCAAGTTCCTTCGAAGCATGCGGCTCGGCGATGCAGACAGGGGTACTTGCGTGGCTCACGTTGTTGGCTGCAGAGAAAACGCCTTCTCATTGGTGACTCCCTCGCCGCCATACCCGGGTCTCGTACAACCTGAGATGATGGTTACCCGATGAACTCGACTGGATGTAGCCGGCCCTGCCCACGACGGATTGCCGGTCGCGGCCGGCATGTCCGAAAAGAGAGCCGACCGAGATCTCTCAAGTCACCAATTTAGAGAGACGCAGAAAACAACCGCACCTTGACTTGTGGCCACAGCCAGGTTCAAAATCCTTCTTCTAGACGCCCGCGGTCCACAGCATCCCAATTCCAATACAGAGTTGAGAGGCAGGGTGCGGTTTCTCCATCGGCTCGACTCTGGGCCATTCTTACCACCCGCGGCTTTGCTAGGATCACCTGCTTTCAATGCGGGACCCACCCAACCGAAGCCGAAGATTTTATAACCACGCCGATGGCGTGATTCTACTCGCCAGCCGAGGTCCACGCTCAATAAGAGATAGTTCTGTACCATAGTAAATGCAACTCGACTTTCTATCAAAACTCTCGGCTTGGGAGATCCCATTCTAGGCATAGAGCTCACGTACTACGTAGTTTCATAAGGTCGTTTAGGCAGTCTTCAGGTGCTCACGACATTCATATGGGCTGGAGCTTCCGGTCCGTTCGGGATGTACACAAGACAGGCAGGTCTTACAGGTCTTACTGCCCCCTCACCTTTCACAAGAGAATTATGGAGGACGATGCCGCACTAACGTTACCTACACAAGTATTCTTAGTTCCTTCTTATGAACCCCAAACTCATCAGCCGAAATCTCAGACATCATCGATCGTAAACTGCCGGCTCCAACTGTGGTGGCTGCTAGGCTTACGGATAAGGGGCGTGTCGATGATCTTAGCCAAACCAACTCATACCGGGCAACAACAAATCGCCACCAGATGGGCTTGCGAGACGGCATCACTCCCCGCGACATAAACGCGCAGACGAAAGGTACACCTCTGGAGGCTGGGTTCGCTGGCGAGACGTCGCTTTTCCCCGAAATCACGCAATGTGTCTGTTTCTCTACCCCCCAAGCAAGACACAAGATCGCTCGCGAATCTGATATGGTACACCCTATCATCCTATTGCACAGACAGTGCTAGATGATCCATCGGGATGGGGGTTGTGTGTGCCGTCAGATATTATCCGCGGTGGGCTAGGAAGGTTTAACATCGACTGCGAGGGCGGCACTGTCAAGAATCCGGAGAAGCAGGTCAATGAAGCGATAGCCACCCAACAGTTTGATCCCCGCTGATACAAGAACCTTGCGGCCTGCTCCCCCTTGCAAGTTGGGGACACCGATGGGTTCACGACAGAGCACGGCCGAGCCCAGCGCATGCAGCTTTGGGCATCAGAACGCGACACACAGCCATTTGGCTGATCCAGGGCGAGCTGGTGCATTTCTTTTCTTTATTTATTTGGCCGATAGCCCCCACGGTCATATCGCTACGTAGCGGTTGCATATCTGCTCTTGGCTCGTATCTTCTTGCCGTATCGGAAGAAGATGTAGGGAAACGGCATTAACGCGAGCGTGATGAAGGCGAGGAGGCCAGTGGCCCACTGGAACCCGAGGCTCTGATACATCTGGATGCCGAACAATGGGAAAGCCGCTGTATGCGCCGTTAGTATGGATCCCTTGAACTTGCCGTTGGCATCCACTATGTGGTGTAACAGCTGTTGAGAAAAGGAGCTTGCCGGATTGCTTACCTGCAAAGGTGCATCTCACCAGCGCGTTCGATGCCAGAGCGCTCGCAGCGTACCGTGGGTATGCGTCGACCTAAGCCGCCACAATAAAAAAGCTCGTATTAGCAACAGCCTTTTCTTGCCACCTTTCTGCCTATCCCGCCATATGCTTTTCTGCACCGGGGCCGGGGCCGCCGCGGCCGGGAGCATGTCTGTGCTCCGCGAGCTGGAAAACGGAGGAGAGAGAGAGTGAGAGGGGTACATGTTACACTCACCAGAAAAGTAAATATGCCTGTGAAAGCGAAAGACATCCTGCACCGAGAAAGCGGGGCATGGTTAGCAACGGACTTTGACATGGGGCGGCTTTTCCTAAGGTCTTAGAGCTTGCGGAGGCGTCAATCGCCTAATCGAGCGGGCTTGACGGGAATCAGAAACAAGCAGGCTTGACGGGAATCAGAAACAAGCGGGCGTTGGCTGTGGCTGGCGTTATAGATCGACGTGGCTGCTCACCGGTCGGGCAGTTTGTAACCGTGATCGAACGAGTGAGTCGTTGGATGGGATTCTCTCGACAGAGACCGACTTCACGTCCACGGCACACCTCGCCTTTCACAGACGCCACACCGATTCGACACCAGATCTGCCGTCCGAGGGCACACTGAGAAATCCCCGAGAAGCAAACCGAGACCGAGCCGGGGGGACAGAGAAGAACAACAATCACAAAAAAAAAAAAGAAAGGAGATTTATGCTCACCCGAGTCCAAATATGCCAGAACCGATGATGGGCACAATCCAATGGATATTCGGGTACGTCGTAAAGCCAAACCAAAACAACCCGCCCGTGATCAGCGGCGCGCCACAAATGACAGGCGGTAGCTGATCCTCCGGCTCATCTTTGAGCACACCCGTCTCCCTATGCCGCTTCGCCACCATGGCGCGACGCAGCCGAGTCCAGTACGGCGTGCTCAGACAGGCAACAATCATGGCAACGAGCAGACCCATGAAGGTGAGGCCAATCTGCCAGAGGTTGAAGCCGTGGTTGGTGCGGAAGACGAGCGGGAAGGCGCCGAAGAAGAGATAGAGCAGGCCGAGCAACACGGCTGTGTAGATGTTGAGCACCAGCGCCATGGGCTCGAACATGAGGATCTGGAAAGGCCGCAGCAGGGAATGGGCCACCGTGCGGGAGACGGATCGGGTCATCTTTTCGATGGGCGCACGCCACCGGTCATCGCCTGTCGTTTTGCGCAGCTTTTCGGCTTTGCGTTTGAGCAAGACGGGATCTAGTAGCCGGTTGGTTAGTGCCCTGTCTTATGGGGAACTGGCTACCCAAAACGCAATGAGGCAGGAAGAAAAGGGGGAAGGGGGGGTTAGGAACTCACGATACGTTTCGGGCACAAACAAGGCGATGGTCACCAACAACACACTCGCCCATATCAACAAAACATAGTGCGTCCACCGCCAGTTAGTGTACGTGTTGATCAACCCTCCCACCAAAGGGCCCGTCGATGGTCCGATGAAAGGCGCCAGCGCAAATATCGCCATCGGTGCCAGCATCGTCTCACGAGTGAACAAATCCCCTACCGTCCCCCCTGATACAGACAAAAAGGCACTCCCTGCAAGCCCTTGGAAGAACCGTGCTATAATCATGGTCTGGATGTTTTGAGCGACAGCGGAAGGGATGAGCCAGATGATGAAGCCAGCGAAGGAGCAGAGGTAGATGGGCCGGCGGCCATAGAACTCGGCGAGAGGTGACCAGAAGGGTCCCAGGGCGATGCCTAACACGAAGGTGGACAGGCCGAGAGTGGCGACGAGCTGCGTGGTGTTGAACTCGGCGTTCATCTGCGCATAGGTTGCGGTGTAGGAGGCTGAAGCGTTAGTTCTGTGGGACATCAGCGTCAACTCCTGCATGTTCACATGCTACCTTTTTCCCTTTTCATCCCCTGAAAAGAAAAACGACAACCGCCGGATCGGAACGTACACGCAAAACGACCCCACACTCGTGATCGCGATAATCAACCACTTCCTCCACGTCGGGAAACTACGCGGACACAACGGATCCGCATCGCCGCCTTCCCAACCGACCTCAAACGGGTCTCGCTCCGCAACATCGTTGGCGCCAGCAGCAGCAGCAGCTAACCCGGCCTCGGGGTCCTCTGGGCCCCCGTTGGCCAGATTCTTCCCTGCGTTGGAGTTCTTCCGGGACGAAGAGGAAGCCGGGTGGTTATACGGCGCGATAGGATTCCCTGCGTCGTCGGTCGCGATGTTATCGCAGCCCCAGCCGTTGGTGGAACGCTCGCGGTGGAGGGTATCGAGGGTGTCGGCGCTCAGCCGGCGTTTTGCGCCATCATCGGCGCGGGATGTTGGCCGGCTGTTGGCTGGGCGGATCGGCTCGAAGTTGGGGGAGGAAGAGGTGGCGGTGCTGAGTTTCTCGGGGTCGTGGTCGAGGTCGGAGTCGTGGTTGGGGTTTTCGGGGGTGGCGAACCCGAGGTTGAGGTCTTTCTCGTCCATGGCTGGCTGGCTGGTGGTGTGTCGAGGGTTTGTTGTTGACTTGGCGATACTTTTATTCCTCCTCAGCCGGTGGATGAGTGCTCTCGGGCTATCTCAGGCCGAGGGGACCAAAGAGAAGATAAACCAGGTCCAAGGAGAGAATCTTGTTTAGAGGAGGTGGGTATCACTCAGCAAACGCTCATTGATGTCAAGCGACCATTCCACAAAGGGTCCTTTTGTTTGCCCGTCTGTTATCGGATGACACAGCATATCAAACAAAACACTCACACACGACATGGAGAGAAAAGAAAGTTAAAAAAAATCCCGACGGGGATACCATGACGTTTATGAACCACACAATACAACCCCATCCACCCACCATGACTCCAACTTACCCCATGGCTTCAGGGCTCATGGGGCTAACAAAAAACCCAACACGGCCTTACCAACCAACAACCCCTGATGCTTGTCTCCCTCTTCGATCTCCGAGCGCGGCGAGAGGAACGGATGGGGTTGCAATTGTTACGGATGCGGGAAAGGCGTGAAATGGGAAAGGTGTGCCGATGTTGCCGTGGGGTTAACTACACTAGTGTAGGAAGCGCAAGGGGCAGCGTCGCCTTTGTTCGGCCGCCCAGCTCGGGTTTAACGCGCCTTTGAGAGCGAGCGAGCAACCCCCTGCTGCGTTTTGCCGTTCCATCCATCCATCCATCTGCCGCGTGAGCAATTCTCGATTTCCCCTGGTATTTTTTTCTGGGGACTACTAGTAGGGGAACGAACGACTCAGGGGCTCCACGCGGCCCTTGTCAGTGCCGACTTGCTTGTTTCGAGCAAATACGTTGGTGGTGGAGTTGGGGATACTGTTCGAGACTGTGTAAGAAGGTTTCCCCAAGATCTGGGGACTTTGGGACGATTTTCCTGTCGGAAAGAGATGGAGATGGATGTGGCACTCGGCCCGGGTTTGTCAACCTTTGAGATCCATTCGTCACGGCCGAAGCTTATCGCTCATGTGTAAGTCCCCTGAAAGGCTATTTTTGCTTCGTTGCTGTCTCGAGGGAAAACTCTTTCCCATGCTCTGTCAGCAACTACAGTAATAATCCTCTCCCGCTTCTCGCGCTTCGTTCCTTCGAGACGAGACCCAATCCCAACGGCTGCAGCATGCCATGCGAGAAAGCTTCCAGAAGCAGAGGTGCTAAGCAGGGGACTTCAAACTTTTGCGGGCGGCCCCGCCAATCGCGACGGCGATAGCTCGGGGAAAGCGGAGACGGCCGGCAGCGGAGACCCGCTTGTGGCGCTCGGGCGACCGCGCGTGGTGCGGCATACTAGACCTATCCAGTTTTGATATTGTACTTTTGGCCGCCGAGCCCACCCTCAGGTTTTCATGCTTTGTTTTGGTTGAATTTTAGCGTTCTATTCACTTGTTGCGAGCGAGTTATCCCATGCATCTGTGGTGCGTACTCAGCGTTCTAGGCTTTGTTCATTCGGGGGAACAGAACGGCCTCGCTTGGTTTTTACGGATTTACGGACCCGCATAAGCCTGCCGAAGACGTAAATCGTCGTCCTGTTGACAAGAGAAATCATCTCCGAACGAAGTCCAACAGTCCCACTTCTTCGGACTTTCGACTCACACCAGTCAACCAGTTCGGATTCAAGATTCATCATCCCAATCTATGCCAACCGTGTATATTCTAGGGAAAAAAACCCTCGCGTGAGCTCTCGTGTTTGTCACCCTCTTTACCATGTACGTTGGTGGCGCTGCTCGCTTCTCTCGCAGCCAGGGCCCAGTGTGACAATGCAGCTGAGCGATGTTCCCGATCAATACCCGGCCGAGCCAGGCTGGGGCCGGCCTGAGCCGTTGGTGAACGCCGATCGTTTCGGAGTAAGTCTCACCCAACGCGTTTCGGCGGGTGTTACAATTGAGAGGTGTTATTGGTTGATAAAATACGCCATGGCAAGCTTCACTAGTTTGTCCTAGTGGGTGAAATCGATATCAACCTACAAGTAAACTATTCATAGACGGAGACTAGGAAGGTATCACACGTATTAGGCAAGACGAAGATGGTGTGAGGGCATAGTAGTTTTCTACGTATGGTATGTACTTGTATGACTATGTTTTCCAATTAAATCCAAATGGCCACCTGATATCACTCACTTTGTCGATGTTATATGCGTATTTACATTGAGACAACCCCCATTACACAACTTCCCAGTTTGCCACACTAATGAACGCCTTGTTGAAACAAATCTACGTATGCAAAGTAAAATGTCATTCACCTGTTAATATGTTTCCGGGAGACTAGAAAAGCTGGGAATCTGCGACAAGTCACAGTTGAAATCCCGATCATACGCCTTAGCCGGTAGGACGCCGGCCGCGAGCCCCTTTTTGTAGCTCCATTGCGGTCTGTGTTGACAAGTTCGTTAGTAAAAATAAACACCCCGATTTCCGCAATATCACAACGGGTCAAGGCACGTAGGTAAAGGTAAACTCACGCATCCTCGGTATCCCACACCCAATAAAACCACCCCCATCCCTTCTCAAAGCTATACATCTGCGCTTCCGCAAACATCTTGAGAAACTGCTTATAGTCGTTGCTCCACTCGCTCGCCGGTGCGTTCGCTTGCGCACAGCTACACGAGGTGTCCTGCGTCGGACACCTCGGCGATGTCGCAGCGTTGACCCCATCCGGCGTGATATACGTCCCCGTCCAGCGGTTGCCCCAGCCGACGTTGGTCAAATGCTTCGCGCAGTCGGTGTCGGCCTGGGACCACTCGGCGACCAGGGTCGGGCCGAAGCCCGTGGCGCGATCCATGCTCTCCTCGGTCTGCTTCGTCCAGCCGGAGCAGGCATACTGGATCTTGGCGGTGTGGTTGTAGACGATCTGGTTGGTGTTGAAAATGACGTACTGGTGCACGTCGAGCGCGGCGTTGTCGAGCCCTGTCAGCTCGCCTTGCCAGTTGCCTAGCCCGCGGAAACCGTCGCCGAAGACGATGATTGCGTCGGCTACGCCGTTCTTGCGCACTAGATTGGCCGCGTCGGTTGTCCACTGTAGGACTTCAGAGGACTGCAGGTAGGTCATGCGCGGCTCGTTGGCCAGGCCGTAGTGGCTGATGATGTTACGGTAGCGCGGTTGGGCGAAGAACTGCGAGAGGCGGTCGTGGATTTCGAGCGAGCGCTTCGCGTTGACGGCCCCGTCTGTTCCGTTAAGCCAGCCGATAGCCCCGAGCTGGCCGCTGTGGTTCCAGCCGTTCTGGCTGCCGGGCACACCGTGCAAGTCCAAGTTCACCCGCAGGCCGTACCGCCGACACCACTCGATGGCGCGCAGTAGGTACCGCCATGAGGTCCGAAACAGGTACGGGTCCCCGTCGTAGGTCTCTACGGCCCAGTACGAGAACGGGATGCGCACATGGTCCAGCCCGGCGTCCGCAATCTCCTTGAACGTGTCCTCCGTCACGAACGTCGCGTAGTGTTCCTCTAGCACGCCGGCGCATCGCTTGGCTAGGTACTTGCACAGCGTATACTCGTCGACGATGCCCAGTCGGGAATCATACGCGAAGAGCGACGGCGTGATGAAAGGCTCGAGCGATAACCACCCACCCACGTTAACACCCCTCGCGGGCCGTTTAGCGTAATCCCCCCACGCCTCGTTTAGGGCCGGTACCTTGTCGTTCGCTTTCGCTGAGTCATCCCAATTCGTGTCGAGGCCCATCAGGGGCAGGTCGCCGACCGCTGCCGCGGTGTATGTGAGGTTGAAGTCGGTTGTGTCTTGCCAGACGAAAGGGTTGAGCCAGGAGGGCGCGCCCTTGGGGATGCTGTCGGGGGAGATCGAGGAGAGACCGCCGTTGTTATCGCCGTTACTCTCACTATCGCTGCCGTGACCGCCGTCACGTTTTGCTTCGCCTGACTGCGAATTGGGCACTACCACCGCTGCTACGATGATAATGATGATGAGCAGAACGGTACATACGCCGATGAGGATCCCTGATGATGATACTGTTAGCTGCCGGCCGTTTTCTTTGTGGTTGAGGCCACTTACACAGCTTTTTCTTCTGCTTGTACCACGGCCTCTTCCCCCCCTTCCATAACCCCTCACTCCCTGTTGCTGTGCTGTTATCGCTCCCCCTTCCACCACCTCTCAATCCCATCCACCCCCCTCCCCCTCTTCCGCCTCCTCTTCCATTGCCCCTTCCTCCTCCTCCTCTTCCCCCACCCCCCTCTTCTAGCAACGGCCCGCTAACCACCCTCCTCTTCGCGCCTTTCCCGGTTTCAAGCCCACTATACTGCGCATACTGCCCATGATATTCATCCACCGGTGCAACACCCACAACCTCATACCCACGACTGCGATCTCTTTGCCGCTGGCGCTCCCGGTCCTGCTCACGCCGCCGTTCCCGACGCAGCTCTCTTTCCCGCTCCACATCCCTCTCTCGTTCCCGTTCCCTTTCCCGGTCTCGCTCCCTCGTCCTATCCCTCGCACCGCCCTCTCTCGTCCGCTCTCGCGTCCGTTCCCTCACTCTTTCCCTTCCCCCGCGCCCTACATTCTCCTTATTTAACTGTGCTAATGCCTCGGCCGACAGAGCAGCAGACCCCGAGCCCTCATCCGACGTCTGATATCCCCCTCCTCCTCCTCCGTACGCAGCAGCCGGGGTAGTTGGCGTTCGCGGAGTGCGCGAAGCACTCGGCGGCCGGCGGGACCCGCGGCGCTTTTGTTGGAAGGCAGCTGCTGCTTCCTCGGCGGTGGGCGGGACCCGGGCCGCTGGGGTCGAGGAAGAATTGCGCCTGGAGCGCTGGCCGGCGCGGTTGGCTCCGCTGTCTGGGGGCCGGGAGCGGGAGCGCGAGGGTCGGTTGGTGGAGGGGTCGCGGGGCATGGTATTTTTTTATGCGAGTGGTTTGTGTCGGTTTTATGTTCCTGTTCCTTTATCTTGAATATGTTTTTATCCCCGGTTTTATTTTGGCGGTGGTTTGTCGAGCATGGGCGGCCCTGGGTCCTGTGTTATTTAGCGTTCAAACGTGGGCGTATGTGGTTGGCTAGTCGAGTGTGTTTGCGTTTAAAGATCCATGATGAATATGGAAAGCCGGAGGGTCGGTAGAGTGTGCTTCGATCGTGCAGTACAAGGTGTTCCGAAAGGAGAGAGAAAAGGACGAAAAACTGTTCACAAAGCGCTGCCGCACCATTCCCGGGTTTCGATTGCGACGCTGCGGCCGTTGTGCCCTGATCCTGCGCATGTCGAGAAATGCGCGACTGTTGGCTGGGCAACGGTGTCAGACAGGGGTCTTGAGCGCCGAGACTGGTGACTGGCGCGAGAAAAGGTGGGCCGACGTCATCGCGAAGATGGATTCCTCGTTTCATCTCAACTGCTCTACCAATTGACAATCCCTTGACTGCGTTAAGGGTCAAAACCAATGAACCGTTCGTCTGGAGAGCCTCCCCGGGCTCAGCTAAGGAAAGAACCGACACAATTGACCCCTGAATATCGAGCAGGGGCAGTTTTGCACCAGCGATTCCCACCTTGTCCGGGGCTTGCGGGGCCCCGCAAACCCGCCCAGGACAATGGAAAGCCGTCGCAAGCCGACACGGCCGTCATCTGATCTCCCAGCTTCCACCTGGGGCAGTCCTCATCGGTCCTCGTCCTCGACCGTTTAATCTTGCTGGCAATGCACGAAATTGGTCGTTTTAGACTTCTTCGCGTGAGAGACGGCCTTTAACGCTCCCAATTCCGCACCATGAAACGTTCTTCACTCCGCGCTCTGTCGAGAGCGCTTCCACGAGCATCCCCTCGGACCACCGTCGGTCCCTCGACTACGCTTACGGTTGCTTCACCGGCGCTCATCTCGTCCAGGCGACAGTACTCGACACACCCACCCAATGCACGTCTGAACCTTCCGACCGACTACGCAAGCACGCCACTACTATCCCACACTACACAATCAGCTCTAAACAACCCAGAGCTGCCGCCCGAAGTCCGCAATGGCACGACGAAGCGCATGAATCTGTTCCAGGCCGTCAACGATGCGTTGTCGATTGCCCTCGCCGAAGACGAGTCGGTCATGATCTTTGGCGAAGATGTCGCCTTTGGCGGCGTCTTCCGCTGTACCGGCAAGCTGGCCGAGACCTATGGTGGTGACCGCGTTTTCAACACCCCGCTCTCAGAACAAGGGATCATGGGCTTTGCGATCGGTGCCGCAGCCGAGGGGATGCGGCCAGTGGCCGAAATCCAGTTCGCCGACTACGTCTACCCGGCCTTCGATCAGCTCGTCAACGAGGCCGCCAAGTTCCGTTACCGTGACGGTGCTTGTGGACGCAGTGTGGGCGGGCTCACGGTGCGTATGCCCTGCGGCGGCGTCGGCCACGGCGCGCTGTACCACTCGCAGTCGCCCGAGAGTTTGTTCACGCACATCCCCGGCCTGCGCGTGATTATGCCGCGGTCGCCTCTCCAAGCCAAGGGACTGCTGCTCTCGGCGATCCGCAGCAATGACCCGTGCATCTTTATGGAACCCAAAATCTTGTACCGCGCGGCTGTCGAGCAGGTGCCCACGGGTGCCTATACCCTGCCGTTGTCCAAAGCTGAAATCCTCAAGGAAGGGTCCGACGTAACTATAATATCGTACGGCCAGCCGCTGTACAAATGCGAGGCGGCGCTGAAGCAGGCGGAGAAGGACCTCGGCGTCTCGATCGAGCTGATCGATCTACGCACCATCTATCCGTGGGACAAGGAGACGGTGTTCCAGAGCGTCCGCAAGACGGGCCGGTGTCTGGTCGTTCATGAGGCCATGGTCAACGCGGGCGTCGGCGCCGAAGTAGCAGCGGCCGTGCAGGAGGATCCAGAAACGTTTGTGAGGCTAGAGGCGCCGGTTGCGCGGGTCGCAGGCTTCAGCATACACACCCCGTTGCTGTATGAAGCGTTGAATGTGCCCGATGTCGCGAGTAAGTCCTAATACCGCAAGAGAAATTTTAAACCGTCGTGCTGACTATGACGTTAGGGATATATGACAATATCAAGAAAGTGCTGGATTATTGAAGACATGGATTAGATGAGTGATCGGATTTTGACGGAAGACGAATTGATCGCATCAGGCGCGGCGTTGATGGGTAAATCAGTGCATTGAAGCGCGAGATAGCTGGTGTTTCGAGACCTGTTTTGACAACTATTTTTTATCAAGCCTTGTTGAATCATAAGCAATACGATTAGCCTGTCAAATTTGTCGCTCCGAGCTTTGCCCACATGTCTTCCTGTTCTTTGGTTGAGAATTTGGTTCGGAGGAAAGAAGTTGGGCTCTCAAACAGGACGGTTCAACCCCTGCCAGCCGCAGCGGTGTCTTGGCGTCTTTCTCGCATCCCACCTGTGCCCCGCACCAGCCGTTTCATCGACAACGCAGCCATCTGCAACTCGAAGATACCACCCAGATACACGACCGTGAAAAGCTCAAGATTGCTATCTTGGTGCTTACTGGCGCGGTAGAATTACACGATGTCATCACACAAAGCTATTGTATCCTCCTTCGTGGAGGGAGCTCCCCCAGGAGAGGTGAGTTTACCCCCTGCCCAATCTTGGGCGATGCAAGCTCCAAGCCCGCCGCGACAGCACCCAGCTAAAGGATGTTGCTAACATGTTGTTTGCCTTTTTCTAGCTCGCAGATGTCCTCGCAGGCACGCACATCCTCCCCCGATCCTTGACCCGGATACAACCACCGAATAAAGTCACCTAACCGATCCCCATGACACAGACATCAAGAGCCTAACTATCTCGAGCCCAAACCTGGTCGAGGAGCTCGGCCCAGCGTTCCAAAAGTACAACGAGGAGCAGTTCACGACAGTAAAGCTTCCCGGTAGCAGTCAACAGGTCATCGTCAGCTCCCACAACTCGCTAGGCGACGGCCGGTACTACGACCCAGAGAGCTCGGTGAGCTTTGCGTTTGACCATGCGACCCAGAAGGCGAGCGCCGTAGAGAGCTACACTGCGGAGGGGGATACCGCGGATTTAGCGTAGGGTTGCCCAAGCAAGGTGTCTGATGGGGACAGTAAGGGAACGAGCCGCTGACGGACTGTTGCAGGAAATCAGTACTTAAGGGCCTCTCCACGTATGTCAGCGAGCACTTCACCAACGCCGCGTACGGCGCCTACCCGACAGAAAATGACTCCAAGCTTGCTGTCATCATCGTGGCAAACAAATACAGCCCAAACAACTTCTGGTGTGTCACACCTCCCGACCAAACCCCTTCCCGCTTCACATCCCCGCTAACCACACCTGGCAACTCTTAGGAACGGCCGCTGGCGCTCGCTCTACATCTACGACCCCGCCTCCAACACGCTCGAAGGCTCCCTCAAGGTCGACGTCCACTACTACGAGGACGGCAACGTGCGCCTGCTCACAAACAAGGCCTCAACGGCCACGGTACCCTCCTCGGGCGCCACAGGCGCGGCCATCGCGCGCGAGATCTCGACGGGCGAGCGCAAGTACCAGGAGGAGCTCAACCGCAGCTTTACCAGTCTGAGCGAGGGCGCGTTCAAGGCACTGCGGCGGCAGCTGCCGGTGACGAGGCAGAAGATTGAGTGGGATAAGGTGGCGAGCTACAGGCTGGGGCAGGATATTGGTGGTGGTGCCGGGAGGAGGTAGGCGGTGCTGATCGATATGGGGAGTGGATGGGAGGTGCATCGTTATTGGAGATGCGGATATGTTGGCGTTGGGGTGGCGGGCGAGGGCCTTGTTGGCATTCACATGCTAGTAAAACATGGAGAATCCAAAGAATGAGGGGCTGAGGTTGCCTCCGGAATTTGGCCTGTTATACATGATCGTCTTTACCCTAGGTAGCCCCGCGTGGGTACGCCGGCCTTGTGTTTCTCCTCCTTTCATGACGGATCGGATCCTCTTTCGAGTCTCTACTTTACCGGGATGGTATACAGGCTGACCTGCCCAGCGCAAAGACGTTTTTATGAGAACGCGAGGTCGATTCAACCTCACTCGGAACCAGTCGGCTTAAATCCCGGTCACGCCAAGCCCCGGTCAATTCATGAAGCCGATTCCGTGTTCAACCATCGAGACTCAACGAGGTGAAGCGAGTTCCAGATAAGCTTGAGATACCAAGATATGCCTTGACGTCGAACCCTGATGGGGAAAACAATCCGCAATGGGCCCTGCCGATGTCCGACCAGCACCGCCTTGGCATGGAATGAGCTGAACTGCCGCAAGGCATGGGCTCAACCGGCCTTAGAACACCATCGCTAACCATTATTGTGTGTGAGGCTTCGCAAAAGCATAGTTTAGGTTGAAGGCTTAGCTGAGCCGTTACACAGTCAAATTACGGTCTTACAAACACCCTTCACCGTCGACGTTTCTTGCCTGTATCCAAATTCCAATATGTATGGACCGGATAACGGTCTCCGTGGCGCAGAAACAAGGACATCCCCACGGGCGCCCAGGTGCAGAAAGTTTGCCCATGCGGCCCGAGCAGCGGTCTTCTCCAGTTGCGGTTTCAGCCGCCACATGCACGGGAGTGATGGATAAGGTGGTGCGCAGGGCGGCCGACGTGGTCGTTCGAGGGCTTTCGTCAGACCGCACATGGAGATTCATGGGTTCCTCCTCGGGCCCCGAACAAACCGCAAGTCTCCGAATCGGACGATGGTCTAATGTGGCCAATCAGAAACCATCCGGCACGATTTGGTTTCGTGTCATTGGCCACCGGCTCTCGCCAGCGGGCAATCATCCTTCAGAGGATCCGCAAAACGGTGGGACACCCCAATCAGGCGTTCAACTCAACACAAGCAGCTCGCTGCCACCTGCCCTGTCCGAGCCGGGGGCTTCCTTCTCCAGGGAGTTGTCGCGCCGGGACCTTTTTTTGACATCTTTTTTTTTCTTTTCCCCTTTCTCTCAACAAAACTGTCCTAAACCAGCCCGTCGCCGTCTCGAGCTCATCGTCGCCCGTCCGTCCTTTCAGCATCTCCGACTTTCTAGTACGCACGCCCCATCCGGCCCTCCAATTGCGCCGAGTTCTTGCGCCGCCCTTCGCAATTCCCTTATCCCTGTGCTAACGTTACAGCTGTCCAGAAACCATAATCCGCCTTTTTTTAACGAACACCGAACACAACACAACACAATCGTCAAGATGGCTACTCAGGAGCTTACCTACCAAGATGTGGCGGAGCACAACACCAAGAAGGACCTTTACGTCGTGATCCACGACGAGATTTACGACATCACCAAATTTGTTGACGAGCACCCGTAAGTGTTGACCCTTGCCTTCTTCTTGGAGGTACCTCGGGTCCATCCCGCCTCGCTTTCGCTCTCGCGTTGCCGGTCACCCGCAGACCTTATTCCGACACGGGAATCCCCCGACCCCCCGCACCGAAGGCCATCCACCACGCCGTAAACACGCGCTAACAACAATGCTTTGTTTTCTACAGTGGTGGTGAAGAGGTCCTTCTTGACGTTGCTGGTCAGGACTCCACCGAAGCCTTCGAGGATGTTGGCCACAGCGACGAGGCCCGCGAGACGCTCGAACAGCTCAAGGTCGGCACTCTGAAGCGCAACGTAAGCAGTTCCCCAGATATCGCTCTCCCTTAACTCCGATTTCTCATCGAGTTACACAACACTTTTATGATGACGCCTGGAAATGCTGACGAGCTCCCGTTGCACACACACAGCCCGGTGACCCGAAGCCCAAGACACCCCTTCCCGGCGCCGTCGCCCCGTCCGCCAACAATGAGTCGGCCGGCTTCGGCGTGGGCCTGTACGCTGTCGTTCTTATTGGCGGTCTGCTCGGCTACTTCGGCTACCAGTACCTCCAGCAACAGCAAGCTGCGGCGGGCAGCGCCTAAGTCTAATTAATCGCTATTTGTTCCTTGATTTTCTGGCTGCACTTTGAGGCATGGGGCGGCGGTTACTATAGGGAGTTTAATTTACGGCCATCTTTTGGGTTTACTTGACCCTACTTTGCTTTACACTTCAGAGATGAGGGTTGTCCCAGGTCCCCGGCTAGTTGTTCTTCCTTTGTGAGGTTATATGTCGCCTGTGGTGTGTTTGGACGAGATGAAGATTTCTCTAAATGGCGACGCAGCAGCGCACATGACGCACATGAAGGATCGACCAACCCAACGCACGACTAGGGCCCAGGCTGCTTGTTCTTGGCTTCACAACGGAGAAAAGCGATATTATGGGCGGATAAGGGAGGGTGTAGATGGCTAGGAGGGTGAGAAGGCCTGCACTCTGAGGACACTGGATGGGCTGCACTAAACCCGCGTGTGTAGATTTAGAGAGTTCTACAATCCCCCTAAAGCGGGCACGTTATGTGCCAAGTGATCCGTTAATAGCCTAACTATGATGACATTCTTTGTGTGCACAATAGGTGGTCGGACCCATATAGTACGCACCGGGCTCCTTGTGGTGCACGATATGAGATGGAATGGCTCAACGCAGGTGCTTTCTGCTGGCTGTGTGCCTTGATAAGGTTTGCTTTGGTAAAGAGCACCTCGGCCTTCTCTAATTGCTCTTCCTCTAAATCGCTTTCCTAAGGTTCCCGCTACTTTCCACTAATTAAGCGCACCGCCAATGCATGGGTTCGTACAATATCAATTGCTTCATCAAGTACACAACACCTCATTTTTGGAGCGACATCCGGATATTTTCGCGACGGGCGCCAAGACCCCTGTACACACCGAGACACCCTTGCCAACGTGGTGTGCCAGAGGCACCCCTGCTAGTCTGACAATGGAGTCCCCCCATTCGCCACTGCAACACTTGTTGCCGTCCTCAGGCATAAAACAACAGTGTAGCCTTGAACAACTACAACCTCCTGCATCCTCGCCTCCTTCATCGCTTCCGCCGCCCCAAACTCCCGAACCATCGCAAGCGCGGCTATCGACATCTCCGCAATCAAATCGGGTGTCAAAGAAAGGCGGAGACCGAGGCCAAATTTCGAAAGAAGGACGAGAAAACGGAGGGCGAAAACCGAACCGAGATCCGCTACGATTCCCGAACAAGAACCGCAAAGCGTGGATGACGGGTAATTATACCGGCGCTACAATGTCAAACAACTTCGATCGCCAGCAGGCGTCCTTCCTGTCGAGCATGTCGGCCGCAGCCTCTAAGCTCGGCAGTGGTGCAGGCACAAAGCGCTCGCTAGCCCCTCCTTCGCCTTCGCCTTCAGTTGGCTCAACCACCTCGGCCGCCGCCGGCAGTCTCACCCCGCGCAAGGACCGCGACACACCCGCTGCCGCCTCCAGCTTTGGGAACAATGTGGTTTACTCGCAGCCCGCGCTGACGGGCACCGGCGACAGCATCATTTCGCAGATGGCCTACGCCGTGTCGTGGCTGCGCGGCAAGGACGAGCCGCAGAGCTGTGTGGACGTGCTAGGGTACCTGTCCGCCACGGCGCGGGCGGAGTCAGAGCAGGAGTTCTTCGTCGAGCAGATGCGCCGGCACCCGCAAATCCAATGGATCCCCGACCCGGCGCTGAGCGAGCAAACCTGGCGGTCCGGCACATACGCGCACCGCCCGGCCATTCCGGGCGTCCGCAACAAGACCCAACTGCTGGCATACCTGCAGAAGAAGACAGACGCCAGTGGAATATCGGTCAAGGATCTGAAGGACGGCTGGCCTGAGTGCGAATCGGCGATTACCGAACTTGAGCGCGAGCACAAGGTGCTAGTGATTCGCGCCAAGAAGGATGGTGCTGCGAAAACGGTCTGGCTCGATGATGCCAGCTTGTTCCACGAGGTTGATCCGCAGCTGAAACTGCTCTGGGCCCGCGTCGAGGTTCCGAGTGTTGACAACATCGTGCAGAAACTGGTTGCGGCCCAGCAGAAGCCGGCTTCGGAGGATCCTCGTCTTAAGGCTATGCAGGCGCCCAAGGCGGAGAAGAAGAAGAAGCGCACGCAGCGCAGGACTGGCAAGTCGACAAATGTGCATATGGAGCATCTACTTAAGGACTACAGCCACATGAAGCGGTGAAGGGTCGGCGGACACGACAGGCAGGCAGGCATGGGTTTACTTGAGCGGGTGTTTGGGACCGGACGGGGCAAGATTTCTCGGGGTTTTTCCCTTTTACTCTTTTTTCTGCATTTGCTTGGCGTTTTGGTCGGGAAGTTGGGAGATTACGGGGAGAAGATGGTCACCACTATGTTGCCTGCGCACGGCTCGGCAGTATACTATCTATGAGCCTTTTTCGCGTCGTCTCCTTTCTTTTTCTTTTTCTTTTTCTAACACCAACTAGCTATTGGTTGGTTAGACCATGGGGGCATTGGGACACAGAAACAAAAACATGGGGCAGAAACCGGGGCAGGACTTTAGAAGCGGACACTTTACTTTTACGACTCGGCGTTGGGGTTTGATTTCAATCTACCTATTGGGTGGCTCCGGGGCCGCGGGTTATGCACCACGGAGAAGGTTCAATAATTTGCCTTTCGGAGGAAGATCAAGGGTTACTCCCTTGGGGTATGGTGGGAGTGCCTAGGTACCTAAGACTTGCTGCGGGAGAGTCGGAACGCAGTGATAGAACGAAAAACCATTTGCCTAAGATGGGCTAGGTACATAATAAACACAGAAAAATATCCACGCATACATCCATCCATACATCCAATGAGCTTCCGGGTTGTTTGTTGATGGTTCAATATAGCCTCCCTACCGCTAAGAAGATACCTATGTGAGATTTCCTGCCAATGTCCATGCCCACTACCAGATATCACGCCCTTCTCCCCGTCCAACTCTCTATCACCACCTATAACCCCCAATTCCCTGTCCCATCCCGTCCTTCAACAATCATTGCCACCCCCTTTCCCTTTCCACGATCCCATTCTTCCACCCATCACCATCCCCTCTCAACCTCCCGCTCCACCCTCAACCCCTTCCCGACACCCACATCATCGCCAAGGCCAACCCCGGCTTCGGTTTCGGCTTCCGCAGCAAAAGCAGCCCTCACCCGCTGAAAAACACCCATCCACACCTCTTCCCTCTGCATCCCGCCTACTTGCCATCGTCCTTGGACTATGTAGCTGGGCACGGCGGCTACGCCGAGGGCGCGGGCGCGGGAGGTGGCGGTGTCGATTATGCTGGTTCTTCTGATTTGCTTCTTCTGCTTTGTTGTTGTTGTTGTTGTTGGGTTTTGGTTTTGGTTTGTGGTGTGGGGGGTTGTTTGCTTTTCTGGGGTGTGGGTTTGGTTTTGGTGCTGGTTGGTGGTAGGGGGGAAGTTTCTGTTGGTAGCAATAGTAGGTTGGTTGGGCTGGTGATCGTGTCCATGATGGTGATGGTTATGCTCTTCTTCCTCGATGACTGCCTGGGTCTTGACATCGATGTTCATTACATCAGTCGTGTTCTCCTCATAGAACTCGTCATCTTCACTGTCCTCTTCGGAAAGATAGGCCATCGCATCGTCCTCCGACGCACATAACCCGAGTTCAACCGCCGCCTGTGCGAGAAAATCGCGAGAAGACGGATCAGCACCCAGCTGGAAGGCGGCCCTGAAGATGTACGAGACTGTGGCGTAAAGATGCGTCTGGTGGTGAGCTGGTGGCCGACTTGGTGTTAGCGGATTTGAGGAGGGTCGTCGCTGCTCTGGGTGTGGTGTTTCCTGCGTTCCTAGTGGTGGTGATGATAATGATGATACCGCGGTTTTGCCTTCGGCTTCGGCTTCATCCTTCTCCATGGCTAGCAGAACTAGCTTGTGGGCATCGCGTGGGTTGCCCGTTTTGCCATCCCATCTGAACGTGATGCCGTACTGCGCTCCAAGGAGGTCGAGACGCCGTAGGAGGGTGGGTGCCCTGGTGCCGAAGACGCGGCGGAAGGCTGCACCCCGGTTGTAAGCTGGGGGGTCGCATGTGGTCAGTTGATAGACCGTATATCGTCGGGGTGCCCAGTACAGAGGCTGCTAAGGCTGGAGATAATTACGTACCTGAAGCGCCGGCGTTGGGCCAAAGGATGTACGGCTTCCAGGTCAACATAAAGTCCACTTCTGGATGCTGGGCTGTGTAAATCGCCATCGCCCTGTCGAGCGCCTCCTTGCCGATGTAGCACCAGGGGCAAATCAGGTCGGCATAGACATCGATTTTGAATGTAAAGGGGGTCATGTTAGGTAGCTGGCTGGGCCTGTTCCGCACCCTGAGACGCCTAGTGCCTTCCGATTTCTCCTATCAACTCGCTTGCTGCTTCGTCTAATATGCAGAGTAGCTGTTGCTGAGTCCGACGCTGATGATAACGGCCTGGGTCTCAATACAGCGATGTCACGATTAAATTCGCCTCCTAACTCTGTTTTGTCAGCAAACCATCATCAATTATAGAGCAGCAGCCTCCCAGTGGTTTCTGCTTGTCAGCAAATCTACGCATGGATGCCCTCAAACAATATGGGTCAGAGGTTGGAAAACGCTCGTTACCTTTCTCAACCCAACACTTTCTCTGCGTACTAGAAGGAGAAAAAGAAGAAAACGATCACGAACATCATGAATATCACAACTTGCCATGAACAAGTGAGAAAATGTGCTGGTGATCTCGGTCTCCACTCCAACCAGCGAGCATCCGAAAACAATACGCGATTAGTGATCATGCAACCGACATTGTTGGACAAACCCCTCCCACATAAATCTAGGACGTGGGTAATCCTAGGGCAAGATTCCTGTATTGAGACAAAGAACAACTTTCTTCTGGCCCAATCTGAGGAAATTCCCATTTTCGGAATTTGGTGCATGGACTTATATGCAATGTGAACTTGGGCTCAGGTTGCGACTCCGCGAATTTTATACATCTCAAGAAACCAAACAAATATGTTCCTAAACATCCAACGTGCTTCTTGTGATTACGGGGGTACAATAATGCATATCCTTGTACTTTCTTGTCACCATCGTTGGTTAATACACTCATAGATTCTAGCTAAGAGCCATACTATTAACAATAGATGTCAAAATTATATGTTGCCACCCAAGTAAACAGAAGAAAGATGCAAGAAAAATATGTTAACCCTTGCTATAGTCTCCTATGGCCATCATCTCACAGTGTCTGACCGCCACTTGGAGCGTGATGAAACCTATTCGACTGTTTTACATGGAGCAGTGTGGGTAGATATGGAAGAGTTCTAGGCGAAAGATTTCTCACCTAGCTCGTGCTCTGCTACATAACACTGATTGCCATACCGTGTATAATAAACACAGCAGCCGACCCGACCGCCTTGTGGTAGAAGGAAACCAATAGAGAGAGATGCCATAGTTAACCCCCGGTGCTCCCCACCTCTAGGCGGTTAGGAATGAAGTGATGACTTCCCCAACAAACGGCCCAAGATATGTCATTCTTTAACCCTTTCCTGCCTGATATTAAACAATCTTACAAATTTGCTGACTTTCACCACGAAACATTGCCCTCGTCAGATACCATAACCCCCGGAAGCTGACTCCGAAGCCTGACTTCGTGTAAGGGAGGAAGGCGGCTGATGGTGAAGGTTGATCAGCCATCCCAGGTCTGATGTCAAGGTACTTAGTGTAGTGAGAAGAAGACGCTAATAGGTGGTCAGCAGGTAGGGAAGCTAGTATCAATATCATCGGCCACCCCGTCGTCACTTAACAACAATCACCGGCATGCCCTTATCATCGTACTGCATCCCAATAGATACTCCCATCGCACATCACACTCACACAACGCATCGTGGTAACTAACCTTCTACGTAACCTCCCAACTACATAGTATGGTTCCTACCAAGCTTCATCGCTTCGCTCTCCCCGATGTCGTTCGTGCACATCACATCATATCATACCGCAGCCCTGGGTCTCATCGGAGATGTTTCCAGAGGCGGCTTCCCAAGTCTGCGGTGGCTTCTTGCGGGGCGACTATTTTGTCAAAAAGGTGTGGGAGAGATGGCGACCCGTAGACCCGGCATCCGGGGATCTCCGGGGGATGCATGGAGGGTGTTAGTTCTGGGTTTTGCTTCCTGGAGGCTTCTGTTTTAGGGGTCTGGATTGTTGTGTAGAGGTGACGGCTGGGATCATAGGGAGAAAAATCGGTACACCTTTTTCTTCATCCTCTTCTTGATTTTTGGACGTCAGTCTCATTTTCTTGTCTTGTATGTTGTTGCTGTAAGAAGTGAAAGTCTCGAAATGTCGACAAAACCCTGGACCCACACTCGGCCAGCCATGGCCACCAAGCGGCCAAGCCGACATCGATGATGGCGAATGCTCCCTAGGGCTCCGCTCCGTTCCCGATTTGAACAGGCGCCTGCCGATCTCCGAGATTGGCGCAATCTTGGGCGACGGCTGGCCGTTTTGGGGTGGTGGGCGATGCTGAATTCGGTCGCATGTTGTTCCTCTCTGCCTGGTTTTTGGATTTCGGGATCCTGTCGGCTTTTGGTGCAGATATACACCAAAACAGAGAGGTGCATGGTGTTTGCATGCATAATCTCCGGCGGCTGTTTTGAGTCGCCTTGCATGCCGTTTCGGATGTTGTTGTTCTTCATACTGGGTTTCCGGGTTGTTTTTTTATGGTGGTGGAAAATAAGACAGGAATCTGACACTCGACTGGCTGGTGTGAACAGACAAGGCTTTGTTTTTGTTTTGCTCGGATCATCAGGTGGCCGGCGAGCACGAAACGAGATCAATCAAGCCAGTAGGTGGCTTCTCGATTGCTTGGAACGGGCGGCCCGAGCTCCCACAAGAGCAGGTGCAGAAAACGAGCTGAAGCAGCTGGCTTCATGGGGCTGGTTGTCTGCTGGAAGCTTTGGAACTTGGACATCCCCCATCAGGAGGGTGGGCGAGCGGCCGGGCCCCTGCGGCGTGCATGAGCCAGGGGCCGCGAAGATCCACTGGCGCCGAACAAGGGGAGGTGCGGGAGAAGCTGCAGCGAAACATCATGGAAGTTGTGGCTTGGAGTCCGTTTTTGCGCTTCCAAGATGAGTTTCCATTCTGCGTTTCTGCGTTTCTGCGTTTCTGCACTTTTCGCGTTCCAAGTAGTCCTGTGTAGGCTGTTCTGCACTTGCTGAGAGTGTCAATACCATTAGCTCGCTTTAGATGATCAAGCTCAGACGTCTTCTCCGCTCTTGGGCTGACAGCTCTTGCCCTTTTCTTCATGAACAGCGTTTTCGCTCGAAGCCCGGAGCTTGTTCAAGGGTTGGAGCTGACAAAACCAGAGATCGTCCCAGGGTGGGAGTTTCTGAATTTCCAGGACCCGCACCACCCCGGTCTGCCCGTTGCTGAGCTGTGCTTCAAAATCTTCTGGAACGATCATGGAAGGCTTTCGGAAACCCCTGAGTGGCCTTGCTCCCCCAGTCTGGAAAGCATGGGTCTGGGATTCCTTCATGCACCGGCCATATCGGCGTGTCCATGCACCCAACCAGACGCGATGGTGTGCACTCCAGACCCTCTCAACATGAAGAGTTCAATCTCCGGATTGCGCCAATCTCGTGTTGAAAGGGATTCTCATCTGCGATGGGCCCTTTGTTGGAGAACCTTTGGTGGTTTTTTCGGATCCGCTTTCCTTCCCTGGACGTCGATCGCAGGGCCAGAGCCTGGGCCGTCGACGGGGCGACAGGGCCAGCAGAAGGGATGGCGATGACCCAAGGTTAATTTCAGGGGCAGCGCCCCGATGTGGGGTGTTGCAATCGAAGGGAAAATCGAAGCCGTGGAAGCTTCTGCATCGCCCCACGCCTGCTTCTGATCTCAACATCTCGTCCTCGTTTTGGCGATGCAAGCGAACTGAGAACAGACCAACTGGCCACTATCCCGGCTTAGGGGTCCTGATAGCGGTGGCGGCTGTCCCTGTGACTGAGATGTTTGGTCCCTTGCAAACATGGGGAAGTTAACCGTTGGCCTGGGACGAAGAGCATAGACGGCGCTTCCGTCAAACGTGGACTGAAACGGCTGGGTGCTTGTATCCAACAAGCCCTGCGAATCCCAGGACGTGTGCGAAATCCTCGCGACCTAACCTGTCTGCGTGCTTGCGTATCGCAAACTCGCTGTCTGGACCTGCCCATAAGCGTGCGAATGAAGACTGGACTTTGGACAGGCCTTAATCATGCGGGAGGCCGCCGTCTCGCCTTGATGGTCCGACAACCAAGAGGGCCGGCTGCTTGCGTTTGCTTCGAGGCTAGTGTCAGGGTGGGGAGCGAAAAAAATAGCAGATCTTCGGAGTACTGTGGGCTACAAGTGTCGATCCTCCAAATATTCCCTTGGTACCTGACGTCTAGCGAGGACTGGATCTCATGCTTCTCATGCCCCAATGATGTAGCAACTTGGTGGAAAACAGTGAAAAGTCAGGAATGTCGAGGGTCTCAACTAGTGTGAAGGATTGGCATCAAGGAAGGTTGTTCGGATGCTGCTAGAGCAGGAAGAGCAGGCAACACCGGACTAAGAATCGGTGATCTCATCAATTTAAGATGATCGAAACATTGCATTTGCTGAATCCCTACGCACCTTCCGAGACTTGTGAGGCTTGCGGCAGCAGGAGAATTTGCCCTCGTCCCCGCTTGATCTTGGTGTGATACAGGGCTGGTATCGGTACTTCGTTTTGGGCGGTGTTTGCCGCACGGTCCAAGTACCCGCGCCACAAGCACTAACGCGTGGCTCGATGGCAGCTGGATCCGCTCCTCTGCCGGGACCCCTACCAGTTCGTTTCAACGCGCCCCTGCACGGTGTCCCCAATCCTCACCTGTGCCGAGCCACGTTATTTTCCTTCTGTCCAGGTGCTTTAACTTTCCACCGGCTACCCCGTCAAAACATACGCCGTGACTTCTTTTTGTTCATCAACTTTACTCCCCCAACTTTGTCGACTTGAAGCCTGGTTGACGGCCCGTCTCCATTTCTGCGAGTATTTTCCCCGCCGACTACAAGCTGTGAGCGACGTCATCGGCGCGCCGAGTCAAAGGTCGCGAAGCTCGATCAGCCCTTGTCGCCAGCACAGCACAGCACCCTTCCTGAACCGTGCACGACGACACAACCACAGCGTCCCTCTAAGCTCCTGGACAAGCGACTTGAGCAGCTTCGAGCCAGGAACTCGACCTCAACAATCTGTATTTCTTACTTATTTAAAGGCCAGTTACGATTTTAGCCACGGGGCTTCGGACCACTACTTCGTCCCAAGTTTGAGGTGAGAAATTTTCCACATTTCGCCAGCCCCGCATCGCCTTTTCTTCACATTTCTTTTTCCTGCCTTACTCGGGATCTCCATCTTTCCCCATCAACCCACCAAAACCATCGCGTATCAGCCATCGCGATACGCGTTTTTCCCAATCAGCCTTTTCCATCTCATTGCCGTGCCGACCTAGGGGTTGGGTGGCTTGACTGCTGTCCAATTATCCCTGGACCGCTCCTTTGATCAGCTTCTGCCAACTGTTTCGACCCTGCTCACCGCTCAAATCTGTGCTTGGGCTGACCGTCACTTTCAGCGACTCATCTTGGCACACGAGGCTTGTTGTTACCCCGGTGCAAAGCTTCACCATGTCACAGTCGCCATCTTCGGCTGGCGCGATGGGTATTGGGAGCGTGCTGAACATTAAAGCCGAATCAGGGACCCAACAATCCCAACAAGGCACGCCATCCGATCTGCAGCAACCGCAACAGCACCAGCAGCACCAGCAGCAGCAACACCAGCAACACCAGCAACAACAACTGCAGCGCGCGCCCCAGCAACTCCAGCCGCTTCAGATGGATCGCCCAAACTCGCCTCACGGGTCAGAGCAATCAAGGTACTCGGGTCCAATGAACGCGTCCTACCCTTCGCCCACAGCTATGGCTGCCCCCCTGCCTCCTATGCCTGGTGGAAATATGGCACCTCAGATGGTTCCGCATGAGCTCCAGCAGAATCTTGGGTTGTCCCAGACGGCTTATCAGCCCTCCCCGGTTACTACCCAGCCGCCCACAAAGCAGTTTCCCTGCAGCACGTGTGGGAAGCCTTTTGCGAGGCGGAGCGATCTTGCTCGCCATGGTCAGTGCATTCGCGGTGATTTGTAAACGCCCTTGGCTAACGAATCAATAGAGCGTATTCACAGCGGTATCCGGCCACACGTCTGCGACTACCCAGGCTGTGGCAAGCAGTTCATTCAGCGGTCTGCTTTGACCGTTCACTCTCGTGTGCACACGGGTGAAAAGCCCCACCAGTGCGAGCGTTGTGGAAAGGTAGGGAGAAAACACCGGATCACTGCCCTGAAAGCGCTGTAGTCTAACATATTATGTGTAGCCTTTTAGCGACAGCAGTTCTTTAGCTCGCCACCGTCGTATCCATTCTGGCAAGCGGCCTTACAAGTGTCCATATGCCGACTGCCAGAAGACGTTTACCCGTCGCACGACCTTAACTCGGCACCAGAATCACCATGTTGGCACTGTTGAGGACTCGGCTAGGGCCCGAGCTGAAGCTTTGGCGCAGGGTGCTACTGTTGCCGCCGCCGCGGCTGCTAGGAGCAAATCGCGGTCCGGCAGTGAGCAGGCATCTAACCATGAGTCTCCTTTGACAAGCGCCACATCGCCAGGGCAGCGGCCCATCTCCATGTCTCCCGGCGCAGAGCTAGCTGGGATGAATAACATGCAGTATCTCAGCAACTCGATCCCTGCGCATCTTCGTGGGGACGTTCACGTCGGGAGCCCCTCTCCAACCACCCCCACGGCGTATAACAACGGCATGCGCCCTACATCCCACCCGAACGCATATGGCCCTCCCCAGACTCTTGAGCCGAGCATTGAACAACCGCAACAAGGCACCGGCAGTGCCGCTGGCAGCCCCCATATCGCTAGTGTCGGTTGGGCTTCCCCCGGTCCTGTCGGCTCCCCCGCCCAGAGCCCGAACGGCAACGGCTATGTCTACCCCGATCCCGAGTCTTACCCCAGCGGCACCCCAATCGCCCAGATGTTCTATAACAGCGCTGTGGCCGCTCGCCGCCCGGAGAGTGCGGAACCTGGAAACCCATCGTTCGACACGAAGGGCCGGCAGGGAGAGCTCTGGACGAACGCTCAGTAGTGGTGAGCGTCGCCCGGCGGCAAATTTCGACAAGGGTCGTGCAAGCATTGACCGGTAGTGTCCTCGACTAGAAAGCGAAACGGTGTTTTCCCACCGCGGTCGACACAAGCCAAGACCGACGATGGGCTGTTTTTTTTTTCTTTTTTCCTTTCTCTTTCGGACTTACTCTACACCTTTGTTCTCCATCAGGGGATTTAATAAACCGGCCATGTGTCAACAGGCCGACGGTACAAACTTTACGACAAGAACCTGCATCATGGGGGCTGGAAAAATAAATGCTTTTCCTGTTGGCTTTCCTTCTATACTCAAGATGGGCGGACCTGGACAGCGGCGCGTGGGGCGGTGGTTACTTAACCGACATTAATGACTGCAACAATTGGCGTGTTAGAGGGATCAATGGATTGGGGCATGGTGGTGAGGCGCCCTTGCTGTATTTCCGCTGCTTTTTAGGTGGGAGGGCGGGTCTCTGGGGGATGTCTTGTCTCTTTTCTTTTTTTTTCTTTTTCTCTTTTTTTTTCTTTTTCTCTTTTTTTTTCCTTTTCGCTCTTGGCCGCCTCCGGCTCCTGTTTAATGGGAGCGAACGCCTGATTACCGACACCAGAGATGGCCCATCAACCTTTCGCCATCACTCTTCGCCCGCTAACACAACACCTTCTAACCAAGCCTACCGCAAGAAAGGGAATCGATCACTCGACAACCCTCACCACACCGGGGCGGGCTTGACCAGGGTTTGACGGGCGAGCAGAAATTTGGCGAATAACAGATGGGATGCACAGCATATGTCGGTGGCGTGGATGGCCTGCCAGGCGACCGGATCAACAGGTTGGGGGAATAGAGAAATCCGCAAAGGAACGGGGGAGGGTGTACGAAAGGAAGTGGACGTGGAATGTACCGCGTGAAGAAGGGATGTGCAGACAGGGTCAGAGAAACACAAAGAAGACTGAGACTTTGTACGGGGCGAGGCCGAAAGATGAACGAGTATTCTGGGCCACAAAGCCACGGTAACGCTCGCATTATCATCATCATCGTTTCGTTTCCCCTCCCCGGTTCCCAACTGTCTTCTGTCTTTCTCTCACTCCTTGCACTCTGGGGCATCACATTGCCCTTTTACCGAGGGTTGGTCGATGCGTGTAACTTTATTTAGTGCGTATCGTGCGCGCGCGGCTGTGGAAACTAGCTTATTGTCACGCTATAGGTGTAAACTTGTGCTCACTTTTTAATCTGCTTGTTTTCCTTCCCAACGTGATAGAACTTTGCCTCGTATTTTCTCCTATTCGACAAGTAAGACTGCCCACGACTCATAATGGTTTACATGTTCTTATGTTCGTATGTAGACTGGGTGATCGCCAAGATATTCGACACATTCAACAGAACAGCGTAAATAACCATCCATATCCGCCTATCCAAATGCAAAAACAAAACTCACAAAATCAGATAATGCCTCGCGCCATCCCCGTCTGTTGGGCCACATCTATCTTACAAAACACAAAACAACGCTGGCACACACCTCTTGCTTTCTTATAACTCCTCACAGTGTCCCCGCCATCAGTTTTGGCGCGGTATCGCTTCGCCAGATCCAAGCCATACAGCCAGAACGTAGTTCCTTCTTCATCCAACCGGTGCATAGTTTGTCCAATCACACCAATGGCTGGTTATACACAAATATCGGCCAATGGCTAGTCTGATAAAATATTGCAAGGAAATATCCCCTAGTGTGGGGTATGTAGTTTGAATTTTAGTTGTTGGTGTTGGATGTTTAGTCCTTGCCAAGGGCATCAGCAGGGCTGGCCCAGAAGGCAAGTGCAATAATCAAGTAAAGGCCGAGGAGCTATGGAGGGAATTTGGTTAGCTATGAACGGACTAAAATAAACACGGATGTGTATCACATACCATGGCGCCTTCAAGGTAGTTCGATTTGCCGTCTTGGACGGTGTAGGTGACCACGAGAACGGAGAGGGCAAAAGCGATGGTTTCGACTGTGCGTGGTTAGCAACATGCAGATTATATGGATGTGGGTTTGGTGGTTTTGCTTACAGGTCTCGAAGTGGAGGGTCATGGGTTGGCCGATTGCCCAGCCGAGCATGACCAAGGCCGGGGTGACGAGCAGGGCGATCTGGATGCTGGACCCAATAGCGACGCCCATGGCTAGATCCATCTTGTTCTTGACAGCAACGACACAGGCAGTGACGTGCTCGGCGGCGTTACCGACAATGGGAATCAGGATCAAACCAATGAAGGTCTTGCTGATCTTGCCCGTGGCCACAAGCGCGTCGATGCTGTCGACCATGTAGTCGGCACAGAACGAGATGATAACGGTCACGACCACCAGCACAAAGGCCGCAGCCCAGGGTCCGAGCACCGGCTCCTCCTCCTCCTGCTCCTCCTGGGTGCTAGCAAGGCCCTGGGCGTCTGGGGCCTCAGGCTCGAACAGCTTCTTGTGGGTGCGCAGAGCGAAGTAGAGGTAGAGGACGTAGAGGAACAGTAGAATGACGGCTGTGCCGCGAGAGAGGACCAAGATGCTGGCCTTCTTGTTGTCCTCATCGGCTTGGCTGAGGACGCCGTACAGGGCGGCAGGCAGGATCATGGAGGCGGAGGCGAGGGTCATGAGCGAGCTCGTGGTCTGGGCAGCGCCGCTAGAGAAGCGCTGTTCGATGCCGTTGCCGTCCGCGCCGCGCATGTTGTAGACGCCGCCGAGGAAGAAGCACATACCAAGGACGAGCAGCAGGTTCGACAGAATGGAGCCGATCATCGAAGATTGGACGACTTCGATCTCACCAGCGCGCAGGGCAACAATGCTGACGATGAGTTCCACGGCATTTCCGAACGTTGCGTTCACGAGGCCGCCTAGCGTCTCGCCCAGACGGCCCGCAATCTCTTCCGTGGCAAACGAGAGAACGGCGGCCAAAGGGATAATGGCGAAGAAGTTGAGGGTGAATACCCACGGGGCGCTCCATTCCAGCTCGCCGGCGATGATACCCAGGGGTACAAAAACGAGAAGTAGGTTGATCCACGCTGTGTCCGTGTCCGACTAGTCAGCATGGTTCGTTCAACCATGGCCCAGGATGCTCCTCTCCCACAAATACAGGGAAAACGTACAGCTTAACAAGGTGACTTTGGTCACATTCCAGAGGTGGGCAGGGTAGCGGATGAAGGGGTTCGGGTTGTTAGTGCCTGGGCTGCTCCGGGTGTTGATGAAGACATGGCGCCAGAACCCAGGCTCGGGGTGCAGGATGGAGGAGCCCTGCCCTCCCAAGAGAGGTTCATGCTCGCCGTTCATGTTGCCGAGGGGGGAGAACGAATTGCTAGAGCTACCGTTGGCAAAGCCGTTGGTAGTGCCGTTGGTGGTGCCGTAGGACGTGTCTTGTGCTTTGCCGGTCTCAGCTCGGCGGAGTATTTCGCGCGACTTGGGATTGACGACTGTAGGGTTTGTTAGGTTTTCGTGGCTATTACTACTATTGCAGTCGAGGCTTTTATCCATGACGGGCGTTGGTATAAAGAGGGAGGAAGTTGGACCGGATAACGAGGCAACTCATCCCAGGCGCTTGCGAGGTTGGGAGTTGGGGGTTGAAATCCAACGGTTCCAGCAATGTGATCGTTGCACGGGACCTCAATTGCTCGAAGCGCGCGGGAGAGGAGGAAGTGAGATAGCAGATGAGTCCGTGACAAGTCCGTAGAAGAAACCTTAAGGCACCGGAGTAGGTGGTAAGGCCGGGTATGTCAAATATGCAGAATGACAACGGCTACAGGCGCGCCAGATGGCAAAGGCTGGCAGGCGGCCGTTGGCAATAGGTGATAGAGGGCGGAAGTCGTGATGAAAGGAGTGACATGGAGGGGTGCACTTACACATAATGAACGCGCAATACAGATCGCGAAGTCGGTAAGGTCGCACCAAGGGAGAAAAGAAGGCTTGGGCGAAGAAAAGGACGTTCCGGCCCCGTCTTCACTTTCGGAGGACCGTCTCGAAACTGTGGGAAATGGGGCAAACGCGGATGTTCTTGGTTTGCGCCGGACCGGTATTGGCACGCGGCCAGAACAAGGTCAATGTCTGGGAGGGGTGGGTCGCGTATCTGTCCCTCGTTCCTGTATTCGGCTGTATTGTAAAATTGCTTGGTCAGTTTTGAGTTCCGATTGACAGTGACACGAACAATCCTTCCAATGGGTTTGCAACCTCGGAATCTTGCCTGCTCGGAATACTCATCAAATATTCTCGCAGGACCTTTTAGATAATGGCAGACCACGCACTCTAGCAGGGCGCATACTTTATGCCCGCCACGAAGAGGCATCCGATCCCCTGGCCAACAGATCGATCCGCCCGCATTCCACTCACCGCACGCCGGGCACAGCTCTGGCCACGCTGAGAAGTTGTCTCAGATCGGAGAGACGACAAATGATCATGCAGGTGCCAAGCGTGGCAGATTTAGCTGGGCGCGTCTCCAGATGCTCGCCCTTAGTTACGCTTTTGGTTTGCGTGGTTGGAGCCACCCGTCTGTTATCCTCTTTTGTTACCGTCAGCTCACCCAAGCCCTCTCCGTGTTTACGCCGCAATGCGCCAGCGGATCGCAAAATAGAGCGAGCCATCCGAGCATCCCTCTCGTTGGCTTTGTTTGAAACATGAAAGGAACCAACGAACAAACCTCCAAATCTTCCCAACATTGACGGGTAAGGACCTGTAATTTACCCCGTCAAAGACGTAACACAACCTAAACTTTCAAGCTGAAAAGTGGAGATCTGCCCCCGTTCAACGATCATCTCTTGCATCGTCTTGGCGTTTTGTCAGTTAAGCTTGTGGGTCCCTGTCTCCCAAGTGGGACACATTTGCGTCATGTTCCATGCAAACTGTGTTTCTTTCGGTCCCTGGTCCAACACCGCCGTCCAGGACCGGCTCGCAATTGGCTTGAAGTGAAACACCTCTTCCCCAAAAGCGACTGTTTCGCGACTTGCACAGTTCGATCGAGGAGTTCAAGAGTTTGTCCGCGGAAACCTTCAATGTTGTTTCTCCCCCACCGCCCCATTGACCTACACTAATGTAGCTTCCAGCTGGCCCAGGGACAAATACTGCATCGCCGCCGCACATCACTGGCCAAGGAGCCAAGGTTCAAAAGCCAAGCACCTAACACGGATCGCACAGGTATTCGTACAGGTCGAAGTATCCCGTCGCCCTGGGGCTGGGAACGACTCAGCAGCACCGCCGACCGCGCATCGCGTGTCACGTTGATCACAGTATCAAAAGACGAGGAGAACCTGCCGGTTCAATTGATAGGTTGTGATTCTTTAGTCCGCGTGGTGTAAGACAGGGCGCTCGCGGGGGGAAAACGAAGTTTCGATGGTACGAAGTACTTCGTAACTTACAGAAATACTTGGGAGGCCTCCCGTTTCATCCCGCCAATCATCAAAGTGCAAGACTTGGCGTTGGAACCTTTTTGAAAGCGAGGAGAATGAACAGCCGGGTAAGATGAGATTTGGAATCCGAGGCTGGTCAATTGGATTGGGGGATTTGATCCTTCTTCCTGGCATTGTTCAAAGACGACCAAGGTAAGTACCTAATTTTCTGGCTTCGCTGAATTCACCTGGTAAGATCTCTTGATCCTCAGAGAAGTCAGTTCGGGTTGTGAGGTGTGAGTCGCTAAGTGGGGCTTGCCCATATTGGTATTACTAAAATGTAAACGGGAGACGACAACCTCCGAGAAGCATGCCCGCGGCCTGACAAAACAGCAAAGGTGCCTGACACTACACATGAACCATACATCATGCAAGGAAAGACGGGACCGGCGTGATGGGATGAAACCAAACAGGTCAACATGGGATGAAATGAGCCTTACCCCCTCCCAAGGCAGTTTCCCCTCCCGATCACAGCCGCAGTTCACACGCAGTTCACACGCAAACAGACGCAAACAGACGCACTCGCACTCCCACGGGACACATGACACCATATTGATTGAACAGCGGAAGAAGGGAGAAGGATTGGTAAAATATTCGTCATTCGTCTCATCAGCATCTAGACATGATTACACTAGGGTATACTTTGCGGACAAGAGGCAGCCCAGACTCCACAGCAGAAATGCAGAAAGCAGGAAAGAAAACTAGAACCAGGCCAAAGATGGACGATAATACCCTTCACCGACCTGCGCCGAGCCTCGAGAAAAACTAGCGCCGGACAACTCATGCTCCGTTTATCCCATCCCATGTCCCGGAAAAGAAAGTTGAAAACGCCGAGCCCATCGTGATTTTGTGACACCGCCAGAAGGCCTCCCGTATCAGTAGGTAGGAGTGAAAAGGAAGAGAAGGAAGAAGAGAACCGTCGTGGGTCAACCGCAGCATCCCCGTCCATCCACCGGCAGTCCATCATTCCTCCCTTAGGAACACCCAAACCGTCTCCCCTTATCCAACTCCGCCTCCACATCCACCAACCCCTTGCCCGACATCCGCATCAAATCATGCCTGCGGTCCAGGTGGTCAAAGAAATTCCCGCGGCCCGTAAAGATCTGATTCTCAAGCGGTTGCGTGGCCTCCTGTCTCTTCTTGACACACGCCTCATGGAAACAGACGTACCGCACGCCAAGCGCAAACGTCTCCCACCGCACCGTTGCGGCCCGCGCGCGGCGCCGCTCAACAAGCATGCGAGCGTACTGTGCGATTTCCTTTTTCTGGGTCTCGCCGGCCAACCAGGCCTCCGTGGCGTCCTCGATCTCGCGGAGGAAGAACTTCTTTCGCCAGCCGAGCTTGACGCCGGGGACTTCGAACCGGTGGTAGTGGGTGTAGGCAACGTCTTTTTCGTTGTGGATGGCGGACTTATCCGCCCCGGAGGTGCTGGTTGTGGAGGAGAAGGACAAGGAGCGCAGCTTTTCGTAGAACCAAGCATGGTGCTCGTCAGTACCGAGACTGAGGAGAAGATGGATTGGCGGCTCGGGTTCATCGAAGAGGGCAGTGATTTCCTTGATGACTTCCAAGGTTGGGTTTCGGACCAACTTAGTGCCGTCGACGAAGTGGCCTGAGCCCAGTTTGAAGGGCTTGAACGAGTAGCGTGAGGGTGTTGTGATGGCTTTGGCGACCTCGGGGATCGAAATAGGTGATTCGGTATCCGTTTCTTCCTCGGCGAAGGTGCAGAAAGCGTAGGGTCGACGTGATCGACGGGCATCGACCTCGGTACACCACGCCAAAGTCTGGCATTGATATACATCCTTGCGAAATACGGTCGAGGCCGATGAAGACTGTGTTGATGTTTGGGAAAGTGAAGGTGTTGCCGAAGTGCCCGTCAAGGTGCGCGCGGTGGCCGTTACCGCGAAGTTGGCGAAGGTGTCGAAAAAGGACCTAGTGCGTTTTGTCGGCCAGGTGTTGCGGCGGTAGAGGAGCGGAAACTCGACTGAGGCGTCGTCGGTGAGTGGGATGGCCTTGTTTTGTTGGTGGAACTCCCTGATACAATCGTCGACGCTCTTGCCAAACATGCCGAGCATGATGGCCACAAGGCCACCGACGCTAGTGCCGGCGATGTAGTCGAAGTAGTGGCAAGGCAGGTACTGGCCATCCTTCAAGACATCTTCGGGAATCTGATCGTTGGGTATCCTGTCGGTTTGGGTGCTGGCGGAAGCACGGGGCTCGAGCGACTTCTCGATGCGCTCAATCTCGCGCATTAGGGCGCGCAGGATGATGAGCGACGAGTAGCCGCGGACGCCGCCGCCATCGATGGTGAGAATGAGGCACTTCCATGTGTCCCACTTCACGTTGTAACTCGGCGAGGTGACGGGAACACTCGAGCGTGGGCTAGTCGTGGGATCGGGCTCGACAATCGAGACTCGAGTTGGGGCGCGCTTTGGCTTTGGCTTAGCCGCGCGGCGAGCTGGAATCGGGGCGGGTCCTGGAGAGAAGGATTCCCGTAAAGGGCTTTCGAGGTCGGTCATTTATGCCTGGCACTGATCACTAGGACTCAGAAATGACTGTGATGCTAACGTGTGGCTAATCAGGGAGTCAAATGGCAAGAAGGAGTTGTGAAGTTCGGTGAATGGAAATGGCCCGTCCACGACAAAGGAGAGGCTGGTTTGTCACATTATAAAAAATGACGTGGGGCGCGAAGCGCGAGGGCCGCGGAGAGCCTGTCGTTCGCCTTGCCTCAGCCACCTGTGCACCCCTACGAGGTATGAGGCGGCGGCTGCACGTGGCTAAATGGTGGTGGTCTGGGTCGGCCTGGAACCACTGAGCCTGTGGCTTTGGCGGATTTCCTGGAACAAGTTTCCACCAACGACCAAAGCGAAACTTGAGCTGTGAATGTTCGGGTATAGAGTCATATCTGCAAACATCTCACTACCTGTTGCGCTATTGTCAGTACAGAGAAGAAAACAACCTGTGGGAGAATAATTCCACTTGATTATTCACATGCTAACTCGGTACTTCGCACAGTACTTAAGTTTAAAGTTACCTAAACGGGAAAAAGAAATCTTTAAACCCACTTTCCTTTTTTTGTGATGACAAAACTTCCATCCCCTTTCACTTCATGGTGAACTTACATAATAAGACTTGCATCCAAAGCTAGGGATACCCCACGCGGACAAAGTTACTGAGTACCCGTGGTTAAACATGGTGACTGGCATGCAAGGAATTCAGTTTGCCCACGCTTAGGTTTTACACAATCACACCCGCCAAAATATCCACCACATTCTCCTCAAACGCCGCCTGCAGCCTGACTCCCACATCCGAATCACTCGTCTGGTTTGCCAGTTCATCCACCCCAAACCCCTTTTCGCCATGCGCCCACAGACACCGTTCCACCACAGCCCAGTAACGGTCCCCAACAATGTTCCGCAACTCTTCCAACGGATTGGGCCGGCCGGCCGCGACAAACGGCGCTTCCACTTCGCACCTGAGACCCAGCAACCAGTCCCGGACGGATTTGGACTGTTCCAGCGGGATGTTGGGGGCTGCTTCTTCATTACTGTTTCCGTCCGTCCGCCCACCCCCCAGATGCATGAGCACGTGTAGCTTCTCCCAGTGCGCAATCTCCAGAAGCACCAGGCCTAAACTGTACAAGTCATAGGTCTTTCGCGAGTTGCGCTCTGTCGGCCGCTGCCGCTGGATCCCCGGCCACCGGTATAGATCCCATACGATATCAACATCCCGCGCGGTGGTCTCGGTACCGTCGGGACGGGAGAATTCGAAGCCTGAAAGGAGTGGTTTAGAAGGGTCGTAGCCGAGTGGATTGTGGCGGCTATTTGTGGCCCCGTTTCCTGTACTAAGTTGTTGGCCGTCTTCCTGGTTACTGTTTCCGTCATCGCCGCTAAAGTGGAAGATAACATTGTCGCTAAAGATCCCCTTGTGCAGCCAGTTGACCGCATGTAGGTTCAACACCGTTGCGCACAGCTTCGCCGCCATCGCCACACGCTGGGACAGCGGCGGCTTCTTGCGAACATCGCCTAACACATCATACAGCGACGCCACGCGGGTGTCATAGTCACCGTCGTCCGGCATCTTGAACATCCATCCGTACCGGTCCATGCCCGATACCTCCCGGTCGTCAAAGAACCCGACACACTCCGGCGCGTGCAGCGACGCCGGCTTGGGCTGGTGCAACATCTCGGCCAGAGCCATGGTCCGCAATGCCGACTCCTCGTCCCGCAACGAGCCCGGGGGGATGTCCCCGATGGCCTTCCACTCGATCCACACCGGTACGTGGCCCTCCTCGGTGTTGAGAATACCGCGCGGGCGTGTGAGGAGCTCCGGCTCGTCACTGTCCTGCTCATTCCACTCAAAGACCCTGCTGAGGTCGGCGTCGGTGTACCGTCGCACTGTGACGTCGAGGTCTGAGAGGCGCTGATAGATGTTGTCGGAGCGCTTCGTGTTGCCGCGGCTGTGGTCCGCATGGAGTTTCGCAAGGATAGCATCGGAGATTCGGCTGAGCTTTTTGAGCTGCACGAGGTCTTGTAGGTTGTGGTCGTTGAGATGGGCTTCTCCCTCCCTGCGGGTGCCGGCTGATGTGGAGATCAGGCTCGTCACGGCGTCTAGCATGTCTCGCAATTGCTCGACATTGTTGCGCGTGAGGATCATCTCACGGTAGGTCTTGGCCGTGATGTTGTCGATCTCCCTCTCCCGGTAGTTTCGCATAAGCTCGTGTAATCGCTCCGTCAGGGTGTGGATATCCTTGAGGAGGCCATCGAACGTGTCCTTGTCCAACGCGATCCACCTTACCCGAACCGGGTGCGTGACGATATCCAGGGTTTGGTGGCCCGTCCTCTCAAAGAACTCGCGGATATGGTTCGTGCCACGGGCGTGTCGACGCTCTTTTTTCTTGGCCTCGTACGACATGGCCAGGCTAGAAATCTCCTTGAGCACGTCCATATCCGTCGGCTGTTTCTCGTCTCCCGTTTCGCCCTCCCTGATCGCGACAGGAAGCTCGTTGCCATAGCGGGCGTTGAGCTCACGGAATTCGGATAGCAGCCACTGGATCCTGGCTACGATCGCCACGAGTTCGATGCTATCGGTCCCTAAGGCGGCTCCCAGATTTGTTCCCTCTGTATCCACCAGGCCGGCCGCCTTTCCCCAGGCCAGTACTCTGTTGTACTCCATGATGAGCTGTAGCCGGCGTTGTTCAAACTCTTGTGGCATATCGACCAGGGCAGTGATGAATTTGAAGACTGCCCAGTAGGAAGTCAGTGATTCCGGGCCAGCGTAGTAGTTATTGGGGCTGCGCACTTACTCCTAACGGCGCTATCAAACACGTCCCACGCCAGGGAGATGACACCACCCGCAACTTCCATGTTGAGGTTGTGGCTTTTGTTGGCGAGACTGCATCACGACTCGTCAGGTTAGGCCTGCACAGAAGATATGTAGAGATAAAACGAGAAAGGGGGCAAAGTGCAGTAAGATATGAGACAAGAGTGTATCAATCCCTCGGTATATATCTAGAGGAACATGACAAGAAACGTCACATCGACAATGTGATGGGTAGTATAAACAACAACGAGAGTGACGACGACAATGGCAGCAGGGATAGCAAGAAGAATGTAAAACATAATTCATATAAATTCATTTGGAGAATTACTCACTAAAACCTTTACGTTGCCTGATGATTCCACAGTCAAGCAGTCCCAAAGACGTAGGTCTACCTAGACCGTCCCGCAACTTAAACCCACCGACTGCTGCAAGATCTGTTTGGCTCAATCTCCCGACGCTAACAAGCGAATCAACAAAGTTACAAATTTCAAGTTAAGGTCGAGAGGTAACGGCCGTCCGTATCACAGGCTAGGCGTATTGTAGGGTGGTCCTGTTGTGTTGAGGGATTGGGGGAGACGCATGTCGGACTGGCGATCGCGAATATGCATGTCCCTCAAGACCCACCTAGTTAGCGGCCAATAGTGTGTTGTCTCTTATAGAGGAGGTATATGTATCTCATTGTACATGTTTTTACATGAGATTGATAGTCGGTGATGAAGCTGGTAGATTTAACATAATTTCCCTCGTAATCTTTGTCGTGTTTTGAGTGGAACAAATGCATTTGTGTAGTTGTGTTGGTTTTGCCTTGCTATCACCACTCTCAACTTAACTCACGGTGATTTTGGCACTTGGCCTAAAGAGTGAATTTCAGGTCTTGAGTTACGGCCGTTGTTTTCCGGACTTGAAGATTGAGAATTCTGGGATGAGTAGTTCGGTTCCCAATGCGACTAGAATTGACTTAACGTGGAGATGGGTTTTAGGGGCCTCGCGTAAGAGACCTAGGCTAATCCATCTAAATGTCTAATTAACGTATCAAGTACAAGCACAAGATGGTACAGTTTATCCGCCGTCTCCCCATCTCACCCTTTAACCCAAACTTCGAGACGATAATCCAAACCTTGGAGATATCCTACTCCTTCCACTTCCACTTCGCACGTCGATGCAGTAAATAATCCTTGCTCTGAATACTCTTCCAGATCCCATAGAACCCCCCCAGCGGTGCCTGCCTCTTCAACCAATGCCGCTGCTTCGCCCCCGCACTCTCCGGATCAACATGCACCTTATCCCACACGCTCGGCAACGTCTCGGCGCGGTACTTTTTCCGCAGGGCATCATACCACCCGCGCCCACCGTACATGGCCCAGAACTCGTCCTGCGGGTAGTAGGTATGCGCGTAGAGCCACTTCATGCCGCCCAGTTCGCGGACCTTGTCTTCGAGCTCCCGGTTCTTGCGGACAAAGGCGGCCGGATCCGAGGGACCCCAACCCCAGACGCCGACGTTAAGCATCATATCGGGTTCCTTCTGCCCGCCTTCGGTCTGCTTGACAGACTCCGGGAGGGTGGTAAACGGGTGGAAAGTCGGCGGACCGCGGCGCTTGAGAGGACACAGCCACAGCGGCCAGATATCCAGCTCAGACGAGGTGTACTCGACGAAGCGCTCGGTGGTCTCAAACGGCATGGCGATGTCCTGGACCACAAACCGGGCACTCTCGCCCGACCCGTGAAGCGCGCGATACATCATGCGCGTGTGCAGAAAGTCGTCGAGGAACCAGCGGAAGAAGCGGGTGAAGGGGACGAAGCGGAAGTAATCAAACGCTGCCCGGCCGACCCAGAACCCGCCGCGGTCATACCGGAATAGGTACTCGGCCAGCGGGACATAATCGACGGGGTTCGCGCCGGATTCACCCTTTTCAGGTGCCGTCTTGTCCTGCGCGTGGAGATAGAACCAAGGATCCCACGGCCCGCTGAAGGTCTGGATCTTCTGGTCCGGCGAGGGCAGGGTGTCGGTCAACTGACCCGTAACAACAACACCATGGTCCTTGGAAAACAAAATCCCATCGACATAATCATTCTCCCCCTTCCGCATCTCCTCCCGCACCGCCTCCACCGCTTCCGCCACACTACTCGTCCTCCGATACCGCGTCCTCACAAACTTCCGCGCTTCCATCAGTTCCACCTCCAACAACGTCGTCATCCCCAACGTGCCCACAGCCCCCGCCGCACCACGAAACAAATCTCCGCGACCGTCCAACCCCCCTTCTTGCTGTTCTCCCCCCTCCCGGGGCCGCTCAACCTCCACCACCTCCCCATCCGCCAGCACCATCTCCACCCTCCTAACCGTCTCCTCAAAAAACCCATACCTAAAACTCGAGCTCTCCCCCGCCGTCCCCGCAAACCCGCCCCCCGCCGTAATCCCCGGAAACTCCATCACCACCGGCGGAACAAGCCCATGCGGCAGGGTAGCCTCGACGAGGCGGTCCATGGAGACATTGGGCTCGACTAGGGCGACGCGGCGGGCGGTGTCGACGGATAGGACGTGCCGCAGGGGGGAGATGTCGATTGTGGTGGTGGTGGAGGCGGAGGGGCGGGGGCGGGTGGAGTTGGTGCTGCCGTGGGAGATGCGGTAGGGGGTGCGGGAGGAGTAGAGGGCGCGGATTGTGGAGGCGAGTTTGGAGACGGTTGTTTTGTGGCGGTCCATTTTTGTTTTTTTTGGCGTGGTTTTGTTTTTGTAAGGAAAAAAGATGTGGTGGTGATGAAATTTTGTCCGGATTTTCTGGGGTGGATTTGACTACATTGCGGTATCTGGACTGGGCGAGACACCGGTGGTGAGGTTTACGGTCATACAAGAACTGGTGTTTGGTGTTTGGTGTTTGGTGTTTGGTGTTGAGATAAGTCAGTGCGAGGTCCGGGGTGGAAATTTTGCTGTGGGTCCGGTTCTTTATCAGTCAACATTCGTATGACCATACTGTGTACTACAGTGAGCTTATTTACTTTCGTTTACTGATTCATATGACGATAATACAGACCCATTTGAAAACCGGAATATTGAAGAAAATAGTCCTTACGTCTCTCGTGTACTATATACGTTGGTATCAAACATCAATCCACCACCCTAACCCTGATCATCACCCCTAACCCTCACATCTTCCCCTTTCTTTCTATTCCTCTATCACTAGCAGAACAACACCCCTCTCACAACTTCGCAAGCCCCTCCTCAGCAACCCCCCTCTCCCTAACCTTCCTCCACACCCTCTCCTCCACCACCTCCTCCCCCTCCTTCCACAACCCCTCCATCTCATTCCCCACCTCCTCCAACGTCCTCGCTTTCACAGTAACAAACCGACTTTCCACTCCCGCCTCATCATTATTATCACTCGACCCCTTCCCATTCCCCTCCTCAACAACCCCCTTCATAAACCCCGCCCACCCCTCCAAACACCTCCCCGCCTCCCTCAACCTTGGAAAAACCAACCCAAAACAATGCGGCATCGCCTCAAACTCCTCAAACACCACCTTCACCCCCTCCCTCCACATCTTATGCGCCACAAACCGATCCTCATCCGCCAACAGCTCCCACCCAGAGCACATATACACCGGCGGCGCGCCGCGCCACGACCGCGCCAGCACCAGCGTCACGAGCGGGTGGCCGAGCAAGCTGTCGGCTGCAAAGACGTGTTTGCGTGGCGGGTGGGCGGGCCAGGCTGCGCAGGCGGGGCGTTTAGTTTCGGCGGCGAGTTGTTGTGGGAGGGTGGGCAGGTAGTCGAACGTGGCGTTGGTCGTGCTGGAGGGCGAGGAGTGGGTGATGTCGAGCCAGGGGGAGTTGACGGCCACGCCGGCGGGGAGGGGGAGGGTGCGGGGGAGGTTGTGCCAGGTTATTGTGTTGTTGTTGGTGTTGTTGTTCTTCTTTTGAGAGTCACTGTTGAGGAACATCAACAACTGGAGCAAAGCCAGCGCTAGATTCCCCCCCGCACTATCCCCCGCAAACACGATATTCCCCGCCGGCACCGGCTCATGAAATGCCCCCTCCGGCGGGTACAGCAGCGCCAGGTACGAAGTCAACGCGTCCATCAGCGCAGCAGGGAAAGGGTTCTGCGGCGCAAGCCGGTACCGCACCGAGTACACCCTGCCCCCCGTAAGCTTCGCCAGTTTCTTGGTCGTCGCGCGGTGTGTTTTCGGATCTAGCAGGTAATACGCCCCGCCATGGAAATACAACACCGTCAGCGGCGTCTTCACCTCCTTCATCATCTCCCCGTACAACGCCTGCTGCGAGAGTCCCTCCGGCAGCCGGGACTCGGCCGTCGCGTTGGCGCGGTAGCCCGTCCACTCGGCCTCGACTGACACCGGCTGTGGCATGTCATACACCGGGACGGGGACCCTGGGATCGCGCAGCCCGTCGATGGCGGCGCTGATCGCATCTTGCAGGCCTGTTTCGCCGGGGGGTGGGGCTGGACAGGCGTAGGTGCTGACCCAGATGCGGCCTTTGAGGGAGGGCACTTTGCTGGTGAGCCGTTGGGTTTCTGAGATGCTGCGGGGAACGGAGGGGCTGACGAAGGCGCGCAGGACGGCGATGATGAGCTCGGTGCGCAGGTCTAGGTATTTGGACTGCTCGGATAGACGGAGGATGTGGAGGATGGTGGTCCGGAGTATGAGCGGGAGTTTGGGGAGGAGCTCGAGGAGCGGGTGGGGGTCTTTAGGCTTGGGGGTGGTGATGGTGTTGTTGCTGCCGGCGGCCGGGGCCGGGGCCGGCGTGGGTTCGGGGGTGCTCATGTCGGTGTGTGTGTGTGAGTGGTGTTGCAGAAAAGATGTGGATGAAATTGGCGACTCTAACTCCGGGGTGGGTTCTCATAAAAATGGTGAGAATGGGTGTGTGAAAGAAGTCAGGGAAAAGACATGGATATAACTATGGGGCTGAGTGAAATCGGGATGCTTGAGAACCCCGAAACTGAGGTGGGTAGAACCTCAAACTGAGGGAGGGTCTATCCGTGGCCAACTCCTGAACTCGACGGAGCATTTACTCCTTTCTGTTCATCCCTTTCTTCTAGACACCAACTCCACTTCCCACTGGCATACCCCAATCCAACCAAGCATACACCGCTTTCACTGTGCAGTTGGTTCTCCCTCTGATCCAAGCCGCGTCCAGTTCACCCCCAACTAGGGAGTGCAGTCAAAATTTGGGGTTACGGCCGGAAGTTGAAATCCATGCGGGAGCCTCGGCACGCCCATGATGGATTCGGGGCTCGGTTAACTTTGGGGGTGGTCCGCAAATTTCTAGCCAATCAGAGATCAATCCGAGTCGCTACTCTTTCCTTTCAGGGGCGGGTTGCGAGTCGCGTCATGACGCTGAGCCAGACGGGAGTCTCGCCCAGGCCATGTTACACTATTGGGCTTGGTTGGGTCGTCGTTATCTGTTTGACACCTTGAGTTTTACAGAGTGTGGAATGGATGTCCCTTTAGGTATCGTGTGACGTGGCTTGGACCTTTCACCATTTGAAAGGTCGTTTAGCAGCTAAGACGACTCGGAAAAGGAGCTGTTTATCAGAAAATCTTTAATTAACTCCTATTTCAAAATATAGTAATTCGTATGACTTTGTTTCCCCGTAATTGGACGTTACACTGTTTAATACACGCCTAGCATCTTAAAACATTCAACTCCAGGCCAAACTCACGCTCCGTCAACTCGCTTCTCTCGCTAGTACATGCCTATATTATAGCTCCCTCCTCACGCACTCCCCGAAGCCTCCTGCTCCCCGCTGCTGCCCTCGCCCGTTCCGTTCACCGCCGGTGCGCTTGGGGACTCGGCGCTCTTAGCGGCCATCATCTGCCACGCCGGAATCGATGCCTTGGCCTGCATGCCGCTGAACGGTGACACCCGCGGCGCACTGGCAGCCGGCTCCAAGATATCTTCCTTGGTTTCGGGGACGTTTTCAACCGATGCGGGGGCCGGGGTAACGACTGTGCTAGCCGGAGTTGTGCTGCCGCTGACCGCCGGGCGCATGTAGCTGCTGGTGCTGGTTGCTGTAGCCGCCGGGTTCATCCGCTGCGTGATGAGCGTCTTGAGGCTCTTGAGCTCCGCATTGACCTCACGCAACCTCGTGTCTGTCAGGTCCTTCTGGTTATTCAACCCCCGCGGGATCGCCTCCTTGAGGTTTTGCACGTCGTCCCGCACCCGCTGTGCTTCATCGTCGCGTCTCTTATTCGCTGACTTAAGCTCGCCGATAGTTGCTTCCAGTTCCGCAAGCGCCGCGTCCAGCCTCTCGGTGCGTTCCTTCTCCGCCGACTTGAGAGCCTCGGTATCTTTGGAGAGTTGGTCAACCAGTGCAAACGTCTTGTCGAACTGCTCGTCAATTGACTTCTTGTCTTGCTCTAGTCGCTCTGGCGTCGGCGGCGAAATCAGGGGGTAAACGTAACGCTATGTTGTGTATTAGTTGTGACAGTTCCAGAATAGCATCAAGTAGCGCCGACAGAAACTTACCTTCCCCAAACTGTAAACCCCGTACGACACACCGCTCACCACAGTCGCCATGATGAACCAGTCTCGCCAGTCTCGTCGCGGGGCTGGCTGAGGCGGCGGCTGTTGCCATCCATACGGCGGGTATTGCGGCGGATATTGAGCATAGTATTGTTGTGGCGGTTGCCCCCCGGCCGGCGGTGGTTGTGATGGATAAGCCTGTGCCGGAGCAACAGAGCCCGACCGTGCAAGCGCCGCGTTCACTTCCTCTTGCGTGAGGTTCTTGGCTTGAAGGAAGGCGACCTTCTTCTCGACCGGGGACGAAGATACACTAGGGTCTTGTAAAACTGTATTTCAACACGTTAGCCGCGCTCTACACGCAGAAGCATGATGCCCTGATTGTTCCAACGCCATATGCAGCGCATTTTGCGGCTAGAAGGGAGTCCGAAGGGAACTTACACTTAGCCGCCGACGCGACCAAGTCTTCGCGGATGGCCATTCCAATTGACGTAATTACCAAAATCGCTACGCCCAGACCTGCCCTGAAAAGAATCGATGAGGATGGGAACTCTCAGGCGCGCGTCGTGGTGGGCGCTGATGGTTGATGACGGCAGAAGAATGCAGGTCGAGATGGGATGGCGCATCACAAGCCGAGGTCGAGCGTCGAGCGCCGACAGCCCGCGTGCTCCACCTCCGCGGCTGCCAAAGCGCTTCCCCCCAGGGTCTGTCACGTGCACCTTCTTGGTAGTTTTTGACGCAAAGCCCACTTTAATTCTTGAGCATGGCCCGAGCTCGATTCAACTCGAGCCCCGCAGTTGGCTGAACGAAGTCACTTTGTTTACCTGCACGCCTGGGCAACGGATCGCAACGTTGTAATTTCAGCCTTTGGTTCTTGTTTTGCGCCGTAACCCCCCTCTGCTTGACATTTTGCTGCGTTTGGAACAGCCTGCAAACCACAACGATTTTCAGATTTTCAGACGAATAATTGGCGAGACAAATTTGGCTTAGCTTCCCCCTGATCGGCCGACCTGCCCACGACGGGCGCAAAAAAACAAACCGGTGTCCGGCTCGCACAATGTCGCGAGACGATAACAACCATTGGAGCGTGCGACGGCCAAGAGAGGTAAGATGCTCTAATAACCCACTAGACATACTGACAGCATGATATTGACGCCGTGTATAGACCCTAGGAGGTCTCAACTTCAACACAGGCATCCCACAACCACCCTCAGCGATGAAGCGCACCAGCACCATCGGCAGCGCGAGCCATGGGCGCTCCATGTCCGGCTCGCGCCACTCCCTCGCCGTCTCGCGTCCGAACCAGCCCATGTTCCAACGCTCGTCGTCCGGCACGAACCTCGCCGACATTGGCCTGTCCTCCGTCAAGCGCGCCTCGGTCGCGGGCTATAACCCCAACGCCACGGCGACTATGAAGTCATACCACACCCCCGGCCCATCCACCGACGACCGTCGCAGCAGTGTCTACCGCGCGCGCCCCTCGACCGCTGCCGGCCCCATGAGCGGGCACCAGAGCTTTTTTCAGCAAGCGCCCCAAGCCGCCGGTGTACCACGAGACCCCCGGCCATTGAAGGATAGGTCGTATCAGAACCGGTTGGGACAGGAGTTGATTGAATATCTGGCGCAGCACAACTTTGAGATGGAGATGAACCATAAGCTGTCGGATAACTTTATCAAATCGCCCACACAGAAGGACTTCAACTACATGTTTCAATGGCTGTACCATCGCATCGACCCGAGCTACCGCTTTCAGAAGAATATCGATCAGGAGGTGCCACCACTGCTAAAACAACTCCGCTACCCATACGAGAGGAGCATTACCAAGAGCCAGATCGCTGCGGTCGGCGGCCAAAATTGGAGTACATTTTTGGGGTTGCTCCACTGGATGATGCAGCTGGCGCAAATGCTGGACCGGTATCTACTGAACCAGTACGATGAGGCGTGCATGGAGGCCGGAGTCGACGTGGCGGGGGATAACATCATCTTCGACTTTCTGACGAACGCGTACCAGGACTGGCTCAATATGGACGACGAGGCTGGAGACGAGGACGTCGAGAAAGCCCTGGTGCCTCACGTCCAGGGTATGGCTCGGGCCTTTGAGCGGTCCAACGCCAAGTACATCCAGGAAATGGAGATGCTGGAAGGCGAGCACGCGCGGTTGCTTAAGGAGGTTGAGGACCTCGAGAAATCTACACCGGACCCGGCCGTGCTCGACAACCATTTTAAGATCATGGAGGAAGACAAGGCCAAGTTTGAGGAGTACAACACGCTGGCCATGCAGCGGTCGGAGAAGTACGAAGGCCGCATTCAGGTGCTGCAGGAAGAACTCGATAAGCTACAAGGCGAGTTGAAGGAGGCCGAAGCCGAGCGGCGTCAGCTTAAGGACGCAGTGGACGACCAGGGGATCAGCATGCAGGATATCGACCGCATGACTGCCGAGCGGGAGCGTCTTCAGAAGAGCATCGAATCCGCTGGGCAGCGGCTAGAAGATGTGAAGCGCAAAGTAGCCGAACGTGAAATGGAGGCCAGTCAGCGTCTCGACGAGCTCGAGCGCATGGTTGACCGCTACAACACAGTCGCCTACCAAATCGGCCTCATCCCCGCTTCAGCTGTCAACGCCAAAGGCCAAGACTACGAACTCCAAGTCACCGTCAACGAAGGACCCAACTTCACCTCCTCCCAGCTCCAAGGCTCCTACGGCGCGGGCGACAGCGATCGCCTTCTAGCGGACCCGACCACCGGCTACCAACCAGCACACGTGCTCAACCTCGACCTTCGGGGGCAGGTTAAGAACAGCTTCCTGGGGCTGCGCAAGGAGGTGTCGGAGCGGCGGAAGGCGGCGCTGGACGCGATGATGGAGGACCACGACCTGCTGGATCGGGCCAAGGAGGCCATCGAGGACAAGCGGAACGAGGTGGAGGCGTTGGAGCATCGCGTGCGTGCCGCGGAGGAGGAGTACGAGCGCACCAAGGAGGTGACGACCGCGCAGAAGCTCGCGTCGGACGCGCAGATTGAGAAGATGGAGAAGGAGCTGGCTAAGATGCGTGCTGCGTTGTCGGAGTCGGTGCAGCTTATGGAGCAGAGGGAGATGAACACCAATATTGAGTGCGTCTTCATTCATCTCTTTAACCCCCCAACCCCCCTACCTCAACACTCCGGACGAATCCCAGATTAGCTAACATCTCCTAGGTACGAGCAACTCACCCTCCGCGCCAACGCGCTTCGCGAGGAGCTGCATACCGAAACGATGCGCATGCTCAACGACGTTATCAAGTTCAAGATGCACGTGCAAAAGAGCCTGGAAGAGTACGAGACGTTTGTGGCCGACGAGCTAGAGAAGGAACTCGGCAGCGAGGAGATGCGCGATGATACCCAAGCGATGGAGATGTAGAGGACCTTCTCTGTCTTTCTAGTGCCTGTTTGTTTATGATCGGCTGTCTTTTTTTCTTATTTCTTTTTTTACTGTTGTGGGGGTTGGGGGTCAGGTTGGGTTTGGTGGCTGGGGATAGGGTATGATAACTTGTTATGTCTGCATGATTTGGACTGGGATGGCGCTTGGGAGCAGGTGTTGGTTGGTCTCGATGCGTGGTGGGATTAGGCGGCTGTTTATTTCCAGACTGTATAATGCCCGGGTTTATATGTTTGGGCATGGATTATATGTGTTGGTACGGCGGAATGTGAGCAACGTCAATATCAGGAACTACGACATACATCTTGACCTAACTCAAACAGACCACAGTTGATGCTTTGTCTATTTTCCGTCCCAAACGCCCAAAATACTTGATATCATGGTTAAAAACTCCCCCACCCGACTTCATCCGAGCTCTAGCCCTCACCATTCAGGGTCCTCCAACCTGCGAAACAGCGCGACGTGCTTCGCCCCCTTATGCCTTTCCACCTTCTTCCCTTCCTCCGTCTCTGTCCGCATAATCCCTACACACGGATCCGCCTCCTGCTCAACCTCCCCAACGCGCTCAAACGATGGGTGCGCATCAAAGTGCTGAACCATCCACTCGTGCAGATCCGGCACATCAGTAATGGTATACACAATACCCCCCGCCCGCAACACGTACGCATACTCAGACGCCAGGGTAGCCGAGACAATCCGCTGCTTGTGCTTACGCGCCTTGAAGTGGGGATCGGGGAAACAGATGAAGACCTTGGACAACTGTGCCTTGCGGAAGAAGTTGGGCAGGAACTTCATCGTGTTGGCGCGCAGCACGCCCACGTTGCGGTACAGTCCTGCTGGAGCAGCATCACCCCCTTCGGTTTCGCTCTGGGCCAGGCTTTGCGCCCGCAGCGCCTTGATGCGATCCTCGACGAATTGGGTGACTGACACTCGGATCTCGAGACCTAGGATTAATGTGTCGGGCATGGTTGGGGCTAGAGCTATAAGCAACCCTCCAAAACCGCAGCCTATGTCGGCGACCTCGACGTCCTTGGATATCCTTCTAAGCGCCGGTGGTTCGGGTGTGGAGTCATTGTCTGAGTATACCGGGCTTTCGCCAGAAACGGTTTGTGATGATGGCTGTGATGGTGGTGGCTGATCCTTTTGGTTCTGGGGCTTGTTTTCGACAATGTAGTGGGGGTAAAGGGACGACCAGTCCATTTGATCAGGGTGTGGGGGGCTGTATTTGTCGTCGGTGAGTCTTCCCTGAAAACCCCGCGTGGGCCTAACGCTACGGCGTCGGTGTCTGCAAGTGTGACTTACTAGATCAATTGGTGGTCTGAGAACGGGTTGGCATGAGCCCGCTGGCGGTAGAACTTCTTCCTTGGGAGTTCTGAGATGTCATCTCGCTTCATCGCCGCGCGGTAGTCTTCGCGCTTCTGCCGCTTGTCTTTTTTGATCCTTTTACCACCCATTTTCGCGAATCTCGGGTTATAAACGCTAAAACTCAGAATACTGTTTTGTTTGAGGTGGGGAAAGGCGTATGTGAGTGCTCAATGTTGTGATCTGAGAGGCCAATGGCTTGAGTGGGCTGTTTCTGTTTATGTATGAATTGGAGATCAAGATCCATAAGCGGATGAGAATTCCATGAACGCAAAATCCCACGCTCGGCTCCACTAAAATTTAGCTCCTCGAGACTGCGTGGGGCGTCGCCGGGGGGCTGGACAAGTGCTGCCCCGCTATCGGCACCTTGGAAGGGGATATTTGAGAGCAAAAGAATAAATACCCCGCGATCGGTTCATAACCCATTCATCCCATTGTCCAAGTTACATTTGATACTTTCCTATTTTCTTGAAGACAGTAGAGGGAAATAGAAACATACAATGGCTGCAGCTTCGGTCGGACAAGTCAACATTGCCGTCATCGGTAAGTTATAGAAAGAAGCGCTTTTGAATTAATCGGAAGCTTGAATTGGAACTTAACAACCTCTAGGTGCTGGCGGGGTCGGAAAGTGTTTCCTGGCCCAGCTTGAACAGCTCGCAGCGCGCCGTCCCAGCCCGAAACTTGCGCTTACCTACATCAGCACGAGCAAAAAGGCCATCTACAGCGACGAACACGCCGCCATTCCAATCAATGACGTCTCGTCGACCCTCGCTTCCTCGCGACAGACTCCACTCGCCCTGTCGCAGCTTGTCGACTTCCTCGGCAAATCTGGCGTCAACACCGTCCTAGTTGACAATACGAGCTCCCAAGACGTGGCCGACGCCTACCCACAGTTTCTGGGCCGCGGCATCAGCATCGTGACGCCCAACAAGAAAGCTTTCTCGGGATCGTACCAGCTATGGCAGGACATCTTCGCCGCGGCGGAGCGCTCTGGAGCGCGGGTATACCACGAGTCGTCTGTGGGTGCGGGCCTACCCGTGATCTCGACGCTTAAGGACCTCGTGGACACGGGCGATGAAGTGACGAAGATCGAGGGCGTCTTTAGCGGCACCATGTCCTTCCTCTTCAACTCGTTCGCCCCAACTTCCGGTTCCGGCGGCCAGTGGTCGGCCGAGGTGAAGAAGGCGAAGGAATTGGGGTACACCGAGCCGGACCCTCGCGACGATTTGAACGGCCTGGATGTCGCGCGCAAGTTGACCATCCTTGCTCGCCTAGCGGGTCTACCGGTTGAGTCGCCGACCGCCTTTCCCGTGCAGAGCCTGATCCCAAAGGAGCTCGAGTCTGCAACGAGTGGGGACGAGTTTCTTGAGAAGTTGCCGGCGTTTGACGCGCAAATGGAGGAGACCAAGGCGGCGGCAGAAAAGGAGGGCAAGGTGGTGCGGTTCGTTGGTAGCATCGACGTGGCTACGAAGCAGGTCAAGGTTGGACTCGAAAAGTTTGACCTGTCACACCCCATTGCGGCGCTGAAGGGCAGCGACAACATCATTAGCTTCTACACTAAGCGGTACGGAAGCAACCCGCTCATCATCCAAGGCGCTGGCGCCGGCGGTGATGTGACGGCAATGGGTGTCACTAGCGACCTACTCAAGGTGCTGTCCCAAATTGCATAACGGAGCTTGTCCTACAGTCCTGGGTATAAAAGTCTCGCTAGGATCGTACTGGAAAAGACATAGGGGGCGGAGTTCAAAAGCTGATTCCATGTCTTGAGTGTCTGAAGGCGCCTCCTTTTCCTGTGCCATGCCCCTTCCCTTCCACGCCCGCACGAGGTCACTGATCCGACCCGTCCGGTCTTTCAGTACCGCGATCATGCGGCCCGTTTATATCCACACGTCCAGCTGATTCGTCCGTTTGTGTTTGTCCTTGCGTGGGGTGGTTGCTGTCGTGAGCGTCAGCTTCTGGTGGTCGCCGAGGTCCGGTGCGGCTGCCTGCCGCCCGCTGGGTGCGCCTAGCACGCCAAGTAGCAAAGCTGGCGATTGTGAGTCTCCAGAACCAGAGGATTACATCGTATATGACAAGTGCAATGATCGGTGCGATTGGGATAAGGGCTAGTGTGATCTAAGAACAAGGGGTTCTATTAGTAGACGGTATTGCAGTGAGGAGTGCCGAGAATATGGAAATGGATCTAGTAACCTACAAAAAACGTAGATATGGCCTTGATAATATACTGATACTCCGGATGAACGATTCTCAACTCCAGGATCCAGGTGAACCAGCCCACTGGCTCTGACGCGTGGTGGTCCATTTTTTGGTGGTCGGCCTTGCGTTAGGGGTTGGGGGCTCAGCTACGCTTCAGTGTGATGTAATGCGGTAAGGCTGGGACTAATATTGAGAGGCTCAAGTGCTTCGGTGTTTTCCGTAGATGCGTTCGGCGTAAGCGTTCGGGCGCGGTGGGGAGACGAGCTGCTGCGTTGTCCAGCTGGGTCGCTGAGCTAGCTGTCGGTTCGAAATCGGCGCAGCATATTTTTCCACCGAGCTTCCATCAAGGGCGACGTCACTGAGCAAGCGGGTGCTTGGGCTTGCAACAGGTCAGGGTGGGCGTATCTTTGCGAAAAGCCGACGGGCCTGCGGATACAAAACAATGGATGCCCCGTCTCAAGTGTGTGGGTGGATGGATGATGATAGATGCCGAGGTGCCTTGAGTGCCCACTCAAGAGCCTGAGAGCCCCAGAGGCCACCGTCTCAGCTGTGCATTCGGCAGGTGCTCAGAGCATGGCAAGCAGGGATGGTGCGGTGGGTCCTTGCTGAGCTCCCCACTAAGGCGGCCACAGGGGTGCAGAGAACTGCAAACCATCCATCAACGGATAACATCTGGCTGTTTAAGGAGACACCATCGACGGCCGAACCAACCTACCCACCCCGCAAAATAAAAACAAGCTCGGATATGAGGGTATGACGAAATAATAACGACTGACGTTGTCCCGAATACCCCTGGTTTTGTGCTCGTCGACCCTTCCGCTTCTTCCTCCACGTTACCGACCACGATGCCTCAAGACCCGCACCTTTACGGGCAGCCACCGCCCAAGAAACAGAAAAAGGAAACGGCGCTTTCAGGCTCCTTGTCGTTTACTTCTCAGCTCAGCTCACTTCTCGCGGAGGCACCAGGTAGGACACCCGGCGATGCTCCTGCTAGAACGACGACCGGCCGGGCACGACCATCAAAACTGAAAGCCGACGACCTCTCCAAAACCAAAATCAAGCGCAAAGACACACCCGATGGCAGCGGTGGGGGTGCGAAAAGGGAAAGCAACAAGCTATCCCTTAAATCACCTGTCGGGACAGAAGAGACCAAAGCCGAGCGCGAGTTTGCGCGGCGCAAAATGGAGTCTAAAGCCCGGCTATATGCTGCGATGCAGAGGGGGGACTACATCGGCCGAGAAATTGGCCTGGTTGACTTTGACCGCAAATGGGCAGAATCTCAACAAACGAACAACCCCGAAAACCTTTCCTCTTCCGATTCAAATTCAGAGGACGATGCTAATGGCGGAGACAACGTCGACACAACTCTCCACGAATTCACCGATGAGTTTGGCCGTGTTCGCCATCTCACCCGCTCTCAAATCCTCCGTCTCCAGCGCGGTGCCGCTTCTGCGGCGGAACTCGAGAACATGTCTGCGCGGCCCAAAGCGCCGGAGAACGTTATCTACGGCGATGCCGTCCAAGCAGAAGCTTTTACCGCGCGGGACGGGGTGGAAACGATGGAGGAGCTCGCAAGGAAACGAGACCGCAGCCCGACACCGCCCGAGGATACACACTACCAGGCGGACTGGGAGATCCGAACTAAGGGGGTAGGGTTTTACAAATTTAGCAAAGAGGAAGGGAAGAGGGAGGAGGAGATGAAGGCATTGGAAGAGGAGAGGACACGAACCGAAGGGTTGCGGAAGGAGAGGGAAGAGAAGGCGAGGAAGAGGAAGGAAGAGATAGAGCTAAGAAGGAAAGAAATATCTGAGAGGAGGTCGAAGAAGATGGCGGAGAGCTTTTTAGATGGGTTGGAGAAGGATTTGGTAGGGGGGTGACAGAGAGAATGAAGGATGAACGACTGACCACCACAAACGGGAACCATCCTAGAGCGCGGACATACCGAATCCCCGGGCCACTTTGAACACTTATCGCGAATAATGGCCATCCCTCCATCCCCACACACCGCCCAGGAACCTTGGACCCCTGCTGGTGGCCAGAAGACTGTTCATTCTTTTTCAAGTACAAAGCCAGCGCCACCAGAATGAAGCATAAGCCAAGCATGTCCCTCTGCAGATCGGATTTCCAGTGGTCAAAGCGCGCCACATGTAAGAGCATGTCCTTGGAAGACCGCTTGTTCGTATCTTGGGCTATAGGATTACGAAAGCTGAGGGGGTGAGCATAGTCGATACGTCTTGGCGCAAGGTTACTATCAAGACCTCAACATGATCTTGGACAGAAGCCTCCTCAAGTAGTTCTGAAAGTGGTCGACTGCCAGGTGGCATATCGCTACAGAGAAGAATGCAAGATGAAGAAAGCACAAGAAGTAAAAGCGAAGGTGTAGATACTAAAGCCGAGGTAGCTATTTGGCAAGGGAATTGCACAACTACTTCAAAACTGTTCTTTTTTGACACATATTCTGTTGTATTTCTAGGCTAACATGTGATTGGCATGTGTGTATGTATGTTACAGGTGATATCTGGGGGAAGGGGGGGTTGGATACATATATAGAGAATATTGGGAGCAAGAGAACATAGACATGGCAACACGAGAGGGGGGGGGCTACGTGGGTTGGCGGGTTATACTTAGCTTGCCGCAGGCGGACATGACCGTCGAGGAGTCGAGTGTAGCCTACAGTCTTGTTTTTGTCAGCGCAGAACCATAAAAAAGAATCATCAAGAAACGTGGTTGGAATGACTTTATCAGAGTTAAAGCCGTGTCACCGGCAGTCTCATCAACGCATAAGCTATGTAGACCGTCGTGATAAAATTTAAATCATCATCAAAGTCGGGGTGTTCAAGAAAAAAAGTAAAGCCTTACCGTTACATGTATGGTGAGGAAGCAACGTTGTCGATTCCGATGTCTAGCACACCTGCATCAGTTAGTGCAACGCTCATAAACGGCGAGGAGAGATGTGATGTGACAGGACATAGATCAGACAGGACAGTGTCATCTTCGCGTGAGCTCCGACATATGCTTGTCAATTTTAAAGTCAAGGTCATCATGAAAAGTGGGCAGTGAGGCTGAAACATCAGGACGCAGGGCGCAACATACCGAAAAACTCGTGGTATCGACAAGGTGAGGCGGGGGAGGCCCGTATTATCATAGCTATAAACGGTCAGCCGATGCTTCTGGCCGGACACGTAGTAACAAGAAAGTATTGATAGGTATCAGAGAAGCATGAATGGTAGTTAAAAAGGTTGTCTTCAGCGGGAATCCCGAATCAGACTCGTCATCTAGAGTCATCACAGAGGTAGAAAGTAGTTTCAAGAGACTCCGTAACTTACTACAATGCCATCCAAGCATAATTGGCTCGGGGGTACGCCCATTCTTTAGGCCGGTTAGTTCGAGCGCCTGAAAGGGAGTCGGAATGGAGAATGGCCGGGGTAATTGCTGATCAGTGGACGAGGTTTTCTAGGCCTGTCGCAAAGTGGCGTGTCTGCTCATTTGTTTTCGGAGCCCAGTGCCGCTTCATCATGAAAGCATATGGGATGTGCGGTAGAGAGAAAGACACCGACTTACTCAGACCGGGGAGAGGTCGCAGCTAGCTTTATAACAGGAGGTCAGCATCCATTGATCATGGCAAAACTGATTTGAAAAAAATGGCAAAGGGGAAAATAATCAGAAACAGCCAGTTGTTTTCTTCAAGGGGAATCAGTCGGTAATTCCAACTTGCCGAAGCAAAGAAGAGATCATCACGAAAGTAAAAGAGTAATGACAAGGAAAGAAAGCACCGACCTGAGCCACGACATTACGCCTGCGCCAATGCTTTGGCGAGCTGTCCAACAGCATCAGCCAAAGGATGGCGGCGAAATGTGCCGTTCTATTCTTACAATCGCCGCCTTAACACTCAAGCTTCTGAAACTAAAGCCTTGGTTGTCTGTTAGCACCTTGCATGTTGCAATAAACTTCCAAGAGGGTTAACGCGACGACGACAGCAGCTGTGATCAGACTGACGTTACAATTTCTAGTTTCATGTCCGAAGATCAAAGACTCTAGTTTGCGGTGTTGGGTTGTCATCAGGCAGGCTGCTGCGCATCGCGAAAAATGAAAATGCACACTTACCGGTGGTTGGTGGTGAGGTTGGAAGGAGGAAGAGGAGCCAAAAGGCTTGCAGGTTCAGAGTTTTTGAAGCTGTTTCTGACAGTGGAGAAGCTGGGAAAATTCCGTTGCATGCAGTGGGGTCGCAGGGGCCCGAGGCGCAATTCGTGTTCACGTGACCTCGCACCAGCTTCGCGTCTCCGCAGTCGACCTAATATCCGCTCCTCGGCTCGGACCTCAGCAAACGCGTCTACGGTTGGGCTGTCTATGAAGTATCTGCCAAACCTCCCTCCCTACCTTATCAGCTGTCAACTAAAGCAACCGCTTTTGAAGAGTTAGCTATGCCTGAAATTGCAGAAAGTAAGTTCAAATGAAGAGCCGTTTCTCTCCGCCGCTAATATACGCCTAGTCGCCCGTGTGGTGCACTACCTTCGCCTGCATTTGGTCGGAAAAACGATCAAGTTCGCCAAGGCAATAGAGGACACTAGTGTATTTGGCAAAGTTGGGACATCCGGAGAGGAGGTTGAAAAAGCATTGACCGGCAGAAAGGTGCTCTCAGCAGGCACGCAGGGCAAATACTTCTGGTGTGTAGTGTCCACGATTTAGCTGCAAGGCGTTGTTCATCGCGGCTGACCTTGTGAAGGCTTGTGCTAGACAAACCACCACATCCGGTGATGCATTTTGGAATGACCGGTATGATCTCTCCGTCTCTCCTTTTATCTATACCACATGGTCTAATTGTCACAGGATGGATGCACATCAAGGGCGATCGCACGGCGTACACCAACTACTACAAGAAGATGAAACCTGAAGAACTGGACGCTTGGCCGCCTAAGCACTGGAAATTCCACTTGAAAACCGAGCAACCGGCGGTTGAGGTTGCCTTTACCGATCCCCGGCGATTTGGTCGCGTCCGTCTGGTGGATTGCCCAGGCGAAAGCATCAGAAAGTTCTCGCCACTCGTTGAAAATGGGCCAGATCCCGTCGTCGACACGGATGTTTTCACGAAGGATTATCTCCGAGGTAAAATGCGATCACGGCGCGTGCCCATCAAGGCTCTCATCCTCGACCAGACAGTCATCAGCGGCGTCGGCAACTGGGTTGGGGACGAAGTTCTCTACCAAGCGAAACTCCATCCCGAGCAGTATTGTGACGACTTCAGCGACGAGCAGGTAGACAAGCTGTTTGAGGCTATTCGATATGTGTGTCAATTTGCCGTTGACAAACTCGGGGACTCGGACCAGTTTCCGCAAGATTGGTTGTTCCATTACCGGTGGGGCAAGGGCCAAAAGGGGGCTGCGGGCCATTTGCCCAACGGTGAGAAGCTTGCTTTCATTACTGTTGGAGGGAGAACGAGCTGTTACGCGCCCGAGGTCCAGAAAAAGAGCGGTCGCGTTGCCCCAGGGGCCAAGGAAGAGCTTGTGGAATCCGATCAAGAAGAACAGAAACCTAAAAAAACCGCGAGGGCGAAAGCAGTCAAAGTTGAGGATGAAAAGCCCTCGAGCAAGAAGCGGAAGGTCAAGGAAGAGCAGTCGCCGGTGAAAGGGGATCAACCTCCACCCGATGGACGTCCGGCGAAGAAAGGAAAGACAACGAAGACGGATGAGACAGCCACGTCAGACGTTCAATCAGACGAAACTCAAAAGCGACGTTCGGGAAGACTGCAAAACAAGGCGGCCTGAACACTCTCGGTGGTTCAAACCCTTGGCCCGCTTGGCTTCGTATTTCTGGGCCAGCAGAACTGAGTTTTGGACCGGTAGCTACCTATAATACGTGGTCAAGCACGACATCCCAGAATGTTTTTCGTTCTTCCTCAGATCTCACACCTCTCTGAGTTGTACTCGCCCCCTGGCTAGGGCTCCGACTCGACACTTGGTGGAAACGTTCCAAACAAGGCCATAAAATGTTCGACTTCAGCCGGGCCGAGCTGGTTGCCAGTTTTCGTCGCCTTGGATAACATCCGGAAGTCTAAATTTTCTTTCGTCAGCACGGCAGCTTTTTTTTTTTTCACAAAAGAGAGCGACTCCGAAACCTTACAATCCACATAGTGGCCTGTACAACGCAAATATTAGTACCTGGGTCTTCTGGGTGGAGTCTGTTGGGGATATTTGCCTGGCGTAGCAGTCATGTAACACTCGCAGGCCTCCGTCTCGGACGCGTTCTTGAACGTGTGCACAGCACCCGGCGGAACGGTCATGAGATCTCCCGCTGCGGCCGTCACTTCGCCATCTGGTGTAATAAATGTCATGGTTCCTAGACACAAGCCGCCCCAACGATACGATTAGCACTGAGCCCGTTGGCCACCCGACGCAAAGAGCTGCGGTTCCACCAGGAAACATCTTCACCTCCATCAAAACGCGACCAATACAACTAATTACCTCCGCCAGCTGTCTCACAAACCCAATCTTGAGGTCAAAACTCACCTTTTGTCACCAAAAACAACTCGTCATGGAATCGGTGCCAGTGCATAGGCGGGCCGCTCGTCCCGGCTGGTAACTCGAGCAGTACGGCGCTGACCCGGTTTTCAGTCAAGGAGCCGTCTTCATAAACACGGATCGTCAGGGGCCCGACTCGAAGGGTCTCGGCAACGTCCTTTTTGTAAAGTTTGGTTGAAATAGGGCCGCGGATGGGCATTTTTGGATCCTAAATTGCTTTTCTTCTGTTTCTCTTGCCTACCTTTTTGATTGTCGTTTTCACAATGTCGCCTTTCTGACCCTCCGTGTATCTGATTGCTCGTCTGTGAAACCCGTTGCAAGTTTGCGTGATTGTTGAGCTTGGGGGTAGTGTTTGCCAACTTATTACTAACTAGAAACTAACTGACAGGTTGATTGAAGGGAAAGCTGATTTGTGTGGTCGCAGTTGTTAGCGCCTGCCGTCATTGATACGATGTTTCGACGTAATGCCTCGAATCTCAGCACAGACAACTCGAGGGACGTTTCATGGACAAGTGTATGGTAACACATTCAGCGTAGCTGTAAGTACCCTGTACCTTGACGAGCGCGGAGACGTTGTGGGACTGGGACGCTTTACATTGCGTCGCTAATGTTGAATGCTTTGAAGAATTATTATCCGTACTACAAAGCACTTGGAAGTTCGATACAAACTTGAGAAGAATGCATTCTACTCCGCAAGGCGCCCGGCTTTCGGCGCTCGGACTCTCTTGTCTCTCCTTTCTTGCCAACCGTTTTCAACCCCTTCGATATCTTCCATCGATATCACGGTCGCCCGGCATGGAGCCGCCCCCTTCCCTGCTTTCATGGCACCCAAACAGGCGAAACGGGAATCATAAACCGGGTGCGACGGCTACGATAGCGTTTGCTCTCCTCGGATTACCTTCAAGACGTCAATGACGGTGTTGCACTCCTCACTCACCATTTCCTGCCCGATCTGAATTGCTGACCTCCGTGCCGAGGCGTGTGTTGGCCGACGAGCCCTCACCGGCCTAGGTTCGTGACGTGAGGGGGAGGGAATTCTTGCGCGCCCGATACGAAGGGCAATTGCTATTGAAGTTGTGATTTGGCCCCGAGACTGCAACTTCAAGCAATTGTCTGAGCGGGCTTCTTGCCGAGTTCCCTCACCAAGTACGCTCCCCTCAGACGAAAACGGGAATCATCTGCGGTCGTGAGGCATTGAGAAAGTAACAATCCTGTATCATGTCTAATCTTTGCTCTGTTTATATCGGAGGTCAGCATCCGTGCCCAGCACAGGTTCATGCCAAGACGTCAAAGTCGCAGCAGGTTGGACAGTGGAGGAAAAAGTAATGCCGGAAATGCCCCCTCACTTGGGGGACCTTGCGGTGCAAGCTTGGTCGAGTGGTAAGTCGGAACCGGCAGACTCGGTCTTGGCGGTGCGTTTGGAGATGAACCACCACTTGGAATGCTGTTTGGGTAAACGCAAGCGGGCGTTGCTAATCTATTCTCGACAGGCCCCTTTTTTCCGACTCGGTCTCTCATTCGTCCGCGCTGTTTCCCCACGTAACGGCAACGGCTGCCACCTCGGGACTTTTGGTGACGAAGTTGGGGAAGGCCCCAGCTTTGTGCAGTAGCGGATGTCGGGGTGCATGGGAAGGGTGACCCTGAGCGCTGGCGCGCCCGATCACACCCAGTCGCGCCCGCCCAGCTCTCGCCAGTTCTCGCGCCGTGACGCTATGGAGTAAGGCACCGTCTTCCATCGCCTTCCAAGTAATTGCCCAGCCAGAAAGTTGCGCGACGATTGGCTTTAGAATATTGGCATGTAATAACGAGCCCTCACTCCCAAGACTTGTCCACCACGATGCCAGCCCTTTCCGCTCTGGCGGTGCTCTTGGTACTCGGCGCCCAGAGTTGAGGCTCTTGCCAAGCAGGAGATCCTCGCCTTGTTTTGAACGTTTGTTCAACTTCATCATCAACAACAAGACGAGGATCGCAGCTTTTGAGGGGCGCTGGTCCTCAGGATCAACCACGCTTCGTTCTTACTCGAAGACTAGGCGAGCCCCCGCGAATATCCCCGACTCCCACCACGGCTTCCCCACCATGCTTTAACCGGCACTCATGGGCACGGCTGGTTTTCCCGCACGGCACCATGTGGTCGAAGTGGGCCTTCCGTTTCCAAGCCGAAGTCGCGCCAACCCGTGGCGAGTGGCATGGGAACGCCTTTGAACGGCCAGGATCAGCCTGTGATCAGCAGTCAACCATCCTATCGGCCGTCCTCCCTGCGAGGCTGCCTCATTCACAGACGTTGTCGAAGGAGTTCTCCGTCATTACTCTGCTGTCCCGGCCCATTTCTCGCGCTGATTCCTTTCTCCACACACATCTTCGGCCCTGCTCTCCCGTCCCCTCGGAGGATTGAAAGGCACGGCGGCACCTCCGCTCCCGTCTGCGTTCGCCCTCTCCACAACAACAATCTGGGGAAGGCCCGCAGTCGCTTGACTGCCGACGGAGAGTTAACTGACGCAAGAAGCGGGCAGCAGGGGGGCGAGGTGGGGCGAAGGGGGAACGACTCTCCCCTGTTTACAAGTGGTCTATCAGAGTATCCTTGAGAGAGTGTGTCTCCTTCGCTGCTGCGACTTAATAGGCAAAGGCAAAGGCTGAGATGATGTTGTGTAAACTCTGGGTTTAAGGTGAGAAATAGGGGGTCAGGAGTCAAAGCCAGAAAGGGCCACAAACGGCCACAAACGGCCACAAACGGCCACAAATGGCCACAAGCAGGTGTGTGTCGCCGGGATCCGCGCAAGTGCCTACCACTGCTCTTGCAAGTTGATAGGATGGTATCTTCGACTGACCGGAAATAGATCGCTATGCCTGCTGCAAGCGCCAGTTGTGGTGAGATCTGCACTCGAGAAGACAACCCCCCCGGAAGCGTAGACCAAAGAGACCCGGACCGTACCTGCGGCGAGAATAAATTGCAACCAATGCTGTTGATGCAACAAGACAGGGCACTGCTAATCATTCATAGTATCTCATTTACTGATTCTCGATCAGTTCCGTGCTGATCTGTTCCAAGTTCGGTTTTCCAGAACAAACTCGCGCCGGCTTCGAGGCCCATCTTGCCGACGAGCTCCCCTGAGGGCACCGGCGCAGTGTGAGATCTCTCGGGAGGTTATCTCCATGAGGACGATTTAGATCATGGATCTTCTCGATAGCCAAATGGAGCACCCAGGACATGTTATAAAAGGCCTCGAGTCCTCCCATCTCTCCAACCCGAGCTGCTTCCATCCTCATCCAGACCTCTCATCCAGAAGTCCAGACCATCTATCCCTTCCTTTTTCAAGACTCTACCCATCATGATCGCTAAGATCCTTGCCCTCGCGGCCCTTTCGGGCGCCGCCCTCGCCCAGCAGGTCGGCACCCAAAAGGAGGAGTCTCACCCCAAGATGACCTGGCAGAAGTGCACCGCTGCCGACGCCTGCACGGATGTCGACGGTGAGGTCACTGTTGATGCCAACTGGCGTTGGGTCCACGACACCGAGGGCTATACCAACTGCTACACTGGCAACGAGTGGGACACCACCATCTGCTCCGACTCCAAGACGTGCGCCGAGAGCTGCGCTGTCGATGGTGCCGACTACTCGGGGACCTACGGTGCCTCGACCAGCGGCGACGCTCTTACCTTGAAGTTCGTCACCAAGGGCTCCGATTGTAAGTCTTCTTCTCTATGGGGTGAATCGTTGCTTTGACCTGGTGCTAATCTCTGCTATACAGCCACCAACATTGGATCCCGCCTATACCTCATGGCCGGCACCGACAAGTACCAGATGTTCGAGCTCCTCGGCAACGAGTTTACCTTCGACGTCGATGTCTCCCAACTCGGCTGCGGTCTCAACGGTGCCCTGTACTTCGTAGCCATGGACGAAGACGGTGGCATGAGCAAGTACGACGGCAACAAGGCTGGTGCTAAGTACGGTACCGGCTACTGCGACGCGCAGTGCCCGCGTGACCTTAAGTTCATCAACGGTGAGGCCAACTCGGACGGCTGGGAACCCTCGACCAACGACCAGAACGCTGGTATCGGCCCGTACGGCTCTTGCTGCACAGAGATGGATATCTGGTACGTTGTCCCTCGGAGAATTCGTCTGAATGAGACAAGGAAAAAAAGAAAAGACTAACCGTCTGAAACAGGGAGGCCAACTCCATCTCGACTGCCTTCACCCCCCACCCCTGCACCACCATCGGCCAGGAACGCTGCGAGGGCGACTCCTGCGGTGGCACTTACTCTTCTGACCGCTATGGCGGTACTTGCGACCCCGATGGCTGTGACTTCAACGCCTACCGCCAGGGTGTCAAGGACTTCTACGGCCCCAGCATGACGGTCGACACCACCAAGCCCTTCACGGTCGTCACCCAGTTCATCGCCGACGGCGGCACGCTGTCCGAGATCAAGCGGTTCTACGTCCAGGACGGCACCGTCATCGAGAACCCCCAGTCGGCCATCGAGGGCAACACCGGCAACTCGATCACCGCCGATTTCTGCAAGTCCCAGAAGGTCGCGTTCGGCGACGAGGACGTCTTCAACCAGAAGGGCGGCATGGCCGGGTTCAGCGAAGGTCTCGCCACCCCCATGGTGCTGGTCATGTCCCTGTGGGACGACCACTACGCCAACATGCTCTGGCTCGACTCCACCTACCCGACCGACGCTGGCGCCGACGAGCCCGGCAAGGGCCGTGGTACCTGCGAGACCAGCTCCGGCGTGCCCTCCGAGATTGAGGACAGCCAGGCCGACAACCAGGTCATCTACTGTAAGCTTTTTTCTGCCTTCTTCCACATCTTATCTAACCTCATGCTAACCCGTGCCCGCAGCCGCCATCAAGTTCGGCCCCATCGGCTCGACCTTCAACGCCCCCGCCGCGTAAGAAGATGGCATCGTTCTCTAGAGGTTTCTTGTCTGGGAAGCCAGCAGCGGCTCGCGATTGGGAGCAAATGGCAGTGACCCATCATCACTAGGGCATCGTCATGCATCGGTCGAGTGGAGAGCGCGGTTTCATGTAAATACATTCATTGTCTGGACATAACACTCAGAATGATATATATTTCGGAGTTCATATTCACTTGAGCCTGAGCTTTACTTTCCTTGTGTGTTTTGTTCCGCCTGTTCGTGCGATACCAACAATTGGTTGGGTTATCAGAGTTCCTGCATGATCGTGATGTGAACTGAACCGTTAACAGTCCCTTGTGGTTTGACCTCCGCCGTTTTAATGGATGATTTTTTCCATGCCGTGTTTTATTGAGTGTGTAATTTACTATTAGGCTAGGAAGCAAAGGCCCAAATATCCCTTCCCACTCCAACTTAATCTGGACCGCAAATAAAACACATCTATCTATTAAAGCATCTTACGAAGGAGAGTCTTCAACACTCCCACCTAACATCGCAGCTGATGTCATGTTGTGCTCACTTTTTTATATAATGAAAAAGAATCAGCCAAAAAGCTCACCGCCTACTTCTCACAGTCCCCCTTATACAGGGGGCGAGGCATAATAGAATAGCTACGAAAACGCGCAAGCAGATTTTACAAGTGCAACAACCGGGGTCGAACCCGGGCGCACAGATTCTGTGGTGTACTAGTTCAAACATCCACAGCCTCCCCACTACGCCATCCGGCCGGGCCGCTGTTGGTTTTGGGGGGGCGGTTGGAAGGAACTGCCGGAAGGTGGGTTATAAAGCGTGGGCGGTGGTGGGACGAAAAGAGGGAAGGAGCGACCGACGTAAGCACGAGCCAACCGTGGAATGTAAAGGTCCCTCAGTACCTCAGGTACCTTACCTTACCTAACGAACCATAACTGTGTGATGGACCATGCTGAAGTTGTGGCTTATTGTCGGGTATCATTGTTGTTGTTGTTATTCAAACAAAGTAGCATCTACATAATTGCCCTTTTCTCTCCCAATATGAATATACACGCCCAAAACGCCGCCCAAGTCCAAGCCCAATCTGTTCCTATCCGTTTGTCCTTACCCTCATTCCATAGCATTGATATCACACAAGAACCCCACAGCCAACGTAAACGAACCACCACCACCACCACCACCACCACCACTCCCAACATCTGCATTCCCACTCCCACTCCCATTCGCACTCTCATTCCTCCCCCCAATCCTCCCCTTCCCTTTCCTCTTCCCCCCCTTCACGCTCCCCGCTCTCCCCTTCCCTTTCTCAATACCATTCCCACTGCTACTCGTACCACTACTCCCACTACTCCCACTACTCCCACTCCCGCCAACAACCCCCGTCCCCGCAATCGACCCACTCCCCGTCCTCACAGGGATAATACTAACCAAATTAACAAACGGCTCGCCGGATTTCTTGTAGTTGACTACTTCGACTTGGACCTCGCGGTTGGTGTCTACGGAACGGCGCATGCGCTCCACTACGGCCATGTCGACGCCGAGACCGCGGGTTTTGGAGTTGTGTTTGACGATTTCCCAGGGGGTGGTGTTAGGAGCGGGAGGGTTGGTGGTGTTGATGGGGGGAGGGTGGTTGGGGGTGAGGAAGTTTGTTGTTGTTGTTGTTGTTGTTGTTGTATTGGTGTTGGTGGGGAGGGATGATGGGGCTGTGGTACTGTCGAGGCTGGAGTTGGAGGAGTTTGTGGAGGGGGTGGATGTGGCTGCTGTGGTGGTGGTGTTGGAGGAGGATGGGGGGTGGAGTTGGTAGTGCTTGTTCATGGTGGCGTTGTTGAGGGCGTTGAGGTTGGTTTCGGAGACGGGGCCTAGGGGTCGGTGCTGCTGGTGCTGGTGATGTTGATGGTGTTGCTGATGTTGTTGTTGTTGTTGTTGTTGTTGCTGCTGTTGCTGCTGGTGCTGGTGCTGCTGCTGCTGGGCTACATGCTGACTGAAGTAGGTATCGCTCGAGAAACACTGGTCGTTGGGTAACGTGGGCGTGGTGATGCTCACATCAAGCAGACCCGGGATGATGGCATCAGACGGGGAGAGGACGGATGGCGGGGGTGCCTGCAAGAAGCGGCAGTTCCGGCCGAGAACCTCGGCCGGGGTATAGCCCGTCAAGGCGGTGAAGGGCTCCGAGACGTAGATGATGGGCTGGTCCGCGCGCGTGAGGTCGCACACGACGATGGCGCACGAAGCGTCGACAGCCCCAAGGGAGATAGTTGGGTTCGGACGGGTGTGAATGTATCCCTGTGTTGTTTTTGTGGTTAGTTAAGATCGAGTTGTGGACTTGGTAAACAATAGAGAACGACAACTCGTTACACGTACAAAGATCGTCAGCATGTCAAGGCTGCTTGGGGAGTAGAGCCCGGGGTAGATCAGGGGGTCATGGATCATAGGGTTATAGACCCGCCGAGCGGCCGCGCGCTGTTCATTGTGTCAGCCACACCATCGACAAAGAAGATGAGGGCATATACGGACAGGTCGTACCCTCAAGGCTTGCTCTTCCCAGGTGTTCATGTCGGTGGGCGTGGTGGGATACGAAGGGTGGCCCTGGTCCAGCAGCTTCCTGGCGCGCTTTCGGTGTAAAGGTGAGAAAGGTTTTACCAACATGATGGTAAGCTAGTGGTGGGGGTGATCTTGTTGCCGTGTCGGTGAGGAATGAGCCCTAACTGGTCGGAAGGGGAGGGGTGTTGTTGTGGTGGTGGTGGGTACTATGCAATCCTGGTGCAGCAGGTGGGCGACAAAGGGAAACACGGGAGGGCCGGCCGTTGATCTAGGTACTGTTTCTGGAATAGTGCCAGTGGAAATGAGGCGTTTGGCGAGGTTACGATGCAGAGAAGAGTGTTGATTAAGGCAAGCATAGACTACAGCGGAGGACGGGGAATCCAACGGAATGGGTCACTATATAAGCCAAGATGGCTTTTCTAACAGTTTACGGTCTCTATCCACAAATCCCGTCCTTCACTTCGGGATCGAGATCGTGTAATCGATCGGGCACTGAGACCTGACCGTGGTGGGACAATCATACGCAAACAGACGTAGGAAGGCAGGGCAGGCTGAGCAGGAAGAAAGACCGAGCCAGCTCGGCGGGTGAGAAGGGGATCGATATACCTTGCAAAACTGGGCAAATGAACGGGACAGTGAAAAGGCTGTCACGGTCTGTACCCTATCCGCTGCTGTTGCGCTGCGATTGATGAGAGATGATTCGGTGGATCGGTTGATGGACCCCTCGTCGCGAGGGGATCTTCGATTTCGAACGATTTCGAAAGGCGCCGACGGAGACCTCGATCGATTGTCGCTCACGAGAATCAGTCTCACGCAATCGAGCCCAAGGGGCCCAATCAGCCGAATCGTGGACCGCAACGGGCGATGCTAACGGCGAAGGACACCCCACCCGTCAGAGTCCGATCGTGCCGTTGTCGTCCCGATTCGGACGTTTTGCAGACCGCGCTGGGATCGGTCACGATCGACGGCCGCAGAACGAATGGAAGGGGTTTGACAGAGAGCCTTGGGGGCTAGGAAAACGAGTTGAGGGATGTAAAAAGCCCTCATTGTCCCGATTCACCGTCGGCATTGCTGGGTACGCTATCTAAGGGGCTTCCTAGGGCGGCTGGTGAGCAAATATATTTGCTCCCTACTGTCGTCGGTTATCTCGAGAGCAATGCGATGCCAACTTTGGACCGTCATGTCGGCAGATTCCTCGCACGGAGGAAGATCTCACTGTTTCCATTTTAGTGTATTGAGTGACCGTCACCTTTCCCAACTTTTGGAGGAAAACAACATCAAAAAAATGGCCGATATGGTCTGAGTGTGAAGGTGGCTGCGTGCTGGAGGTGCGGTTGTTCCTCAGATCCCGACTTCCGAACGAAACTTCGATCCCGATCGAAGCCAAGGCCTCTTTGGTCACAGTTCGTATCCACAGGGCAGGGGTCCCTGTCAAGTCCATGCTCTCAGAAGTTGTTGTGGCTTGCATGGTGTTTGTGGCTTGTGTGGCTGTTTTGCCTTCTAGGTAGTCAGCCACAGAAGTGCCGCTGGTCTCAGCTCCGCGGCCTCGTCTTGCCCCACTTCGCGCCATTCGCGTATCGCTTCGATTCATTTTCAAACGCGTCGCTCATGGAACATCGGGTGCATCGAACAATTGCACGTGTTGCGGTCGCAGTCACACACATTTCCTCCATCAGGCCATAGGGCTGAGCTAGGGTGCCTTTTTTTCCCGCACTTTTTGAACCGGGAGAGATCAGCCAAACGCGGGGCAACACTCAAGTTTCTTGCCCACCGCAAACCGCGACCCTCTCTCGAGGAACGTCGTGTAGTTGCCAGCTGAACTTCATCCAGCACCCACCATGTCACGAATGCTCCATCGGCCCCGCCGGCCTGATGCCCCAAGGGCGTCTGCCCGGCCTCGCGCCGCCGACGATGATGCTCCCCTTGAGCTCCCGGCTTACGAACCGCCGACGTACCCCATGGACGAGACGAGCAAGCAGAAATTGACCGCCCTCTACGAAAACCGGGCAACTGACACGGCCCGGCGCACATATGAGGAGCAGCTCAGCGTGTCGACTACACACTTGTTCAAAACCATCGGAAGCATCAACGACGTCATATTTGCCAAGAAGCGGACGCTTCGCAACATGGCGCAGAAGCGGCGCGCCCGGGGTGATGAAGGGGCTGGCCAGGAAAAGGACGAGCAAGAGTTGTCGCTGGAGGAGTATGTTGCCGGGCTGGATGCCAGAATCACCGCGTTGACAGAGTCGCTTGAGGAAGCACAGCGCTGGGTCATCGATAGTCGCGCGGAGTTGGATGATCAACAGCCCGTGCTAGAGAGCGTGGTCGCGGGGTTGAATGCTCAGCAGCCACGCCCGGAACCTGGGCCGCCAAAAAGGAGGAAAAAGGGACCGAAACGCGAGGCGGCCGGTAGCGACGCTGAAGATGGTGATGCGCCTGCTGACGAGGAGGGAGAGGTGGAAGATATGGAAGAAGATGCCGATGAGGCCGAGGCGGCCGAGGATGTCCCTCCGTTGATCGGGGTAAAAGAGCTGCTCCATACCGCCCGCAAAGCGAAGCAGGACGAGTACGATGCGCTCAGCGCGTATGAAAAGTATGCACGGCACAACGATTACATCTCGTTCAAGAAGAACTGGCATGACGCGTTGCACCACGAGGACCAGGCCCCTCTTCCTGACGCCACGACCTGGTTCGACCGACATGGCCGGCCAACTATGGGTACAGTGGCTGACCAAGACGATGATGACCTTGTCGTGGAGCGCGAGATCATCGACCTCAAATGCCCGCTATCGCTGCAAACCATGAAACAGCCCTACAGCAACCACCAGTGCAAGCACACGTTCGAGAAGATGGCAATCATGGAATTTATTCAAAGTAGCGGTGGTGTAGCGAAATGCCCCGTTTGCTCTCAGGTACGGCAGGATTGGCGATTTGTTTCTTGGTTAGCCTTTGTTGACCCGTATGTTGCAGCATCTTCGCATCAAGGACCTATACCTCGACGAAGTCATTCTCGAAAAAGCCAGGCGGGCAGCGGCCGCGGCCGCCCTGCAGCAAACCGCCGACACGTCCGATATTGAGCCCGACGACGAAGCCCACGATGCTAGCATGGTTGTTGGGCAGTCTGTCAGCATCAAGAAGGAGAAGGGCCGATCATCCCGCCGCCACTTGGAAGATATTGAAGCCGATGACGATAGTGACTGCTAATCATTAGGAAACGAACGTGTACATTTGCCAAGCTTTCTTTCTGCTTGGTGGTTTCGCCCCTGATACCCTCTCTCAACGCCGAATTATAAATACCACCACCACAATGTCCACCAACCCCATTGACCCATTGTCTGTGGTGAACTATTGCACAATAACGTAATGGTGTTCGTCTCGCCTGCTTTCGCCTCAGTGAGTGATTTTTGGACTCATCAGAGGGAAAACGCACGCACGAACCTTGTCCACGACTACACCGTTGCTCTGATCCAGTCCCAGCCGCCCGGCTAGGACGTAATCCCCTACCGAAGCTCGGCCCGAGGAACCTAGTTAACTAGAAAGAAAAATGGGAAAAATGAGGGAAACCAATAACGGGAAAAGTAGAAAAAGCATCGACGACCACACCACGCGTGCAGCAGCGAGCCATCCAATACAAAACATCACCACCTCCAAAAAAAAAACAAATTCAAACGCCTACTCCCGCCCCGCAAGGAGCCCGAACGAGTATCCATACTCGCTCGACATACCAGCCATCGAAACCCCGCCGCCCTGGTGGTGGTGGTGGTCAGGCCCGCCCATCTCCGAAGCCATCATCATCACGCCCCGTAGGTCTCTGAGATCCTGCCGATATACCGGCACCGAATTGGATGACTGGGGGTGGTAACAGTTGCTCATGGGGTCGTGCGTGCTGGGGTGGAACGATGTCGACATCCCGTACGCGTGGTGGTTATGGCTGTGGTGGTGGTGGTTGTGACTGGGGTTGTGGTTGTAGTGCTGGTGGTGGTGGTTCAGGGGGAATCTGGGGCTGTGGTTGTTGTGTCCGGCATTGACGTTGACGGTGGAGGCCGGGCTGTGCGATTGCGTGACGTGGAGGTAGGAGAAGTCGGCTGCTGCTGCTGTTGGTGCTTGTTTGGTGGCGAGGGATAGGACGCTACAGCGAGAAGCGTAGTGACCCGGGTTAGCCTTCCTTCCTTGGTTGGTACTAGGGGATCCCCCCTTTTTTCCCCAGCCAGCACATTGGCTCACCACCATACGTACCTTCGGAAGCCCGCACTCGTTGTGCCGGCGCACAAACCAGTGGGAGAAAGCATCTCGGCCGTCGGCATCGTCGTAACCGCCACCATGGGCGGTGGGGAGTCAGCTTGCGAGCCACCACTGCCGCTGCTGCTGCTGTCCAAAGCGTCCGGGCTCATCTGCCGCGGAGACGGGTGGATGTTACCGTTCCCACTGTTCTCGCTGCCGCTGCCACTGTTACTGCCGCTCTCGGAGGCCGAGTCCCGCTGGCTGGGACTGTGGGACCGCGAGTGTGAGCGCTGGCGCCGAGAGTACTTGTGGATGCCCCAGCGATCGAAACGGGATCTATACGCGCGGGTTCTGGACAGACAGACGGGGAAGATTGTTAGATATGGGAAACCTTGGAGGAGGGTATCACGCCGTGAAAAGGGGTGGATTCTACACGTACGAGGCTCGGAAGCCGTATTTCTGGGCCATGAACCGCTGGACCTCGTGGAGTGGCTTGTTTTGGTCTTTGTATTCGGCGGTGATGACGCCCCGGTACTTATCCCATTGTTTCGTCATGGCGTGTCGGTTTCGGCAAGGTCAAGAAGGATACGGTAAATCCCAGGGTCTAGTGGCCGAAGTTGAAGGTGTACTAGAAAGAGGTCAAGCGTCGGCTCTGGAACTAGGTATGGCGCTCTTCACGAGCGACTAGAGTAGCAGCCGAGTATCTGAAGGTAAGGCTAAGGGTGAACAACTAGGGGGCCGCGGCGTCGTCGAAGCAAGGAGTGATCTATCCAAGAACAACAACAACAACAGCTACAAGCCTAGGGACAGGAAAGGAATGACGAGGCCTAGCTGGGTAATATATCCTATGCGATGATCGCGGACGCGGCTCTGAACTGCACAGCTTCGGGATTGACGTGGTCACGGTCCGGTTCATGTGAGCCATACACACTTACATACGTCTCGATACATATGCGTACACATAACACCCCATGTCTTCATAGTGTCGCCCAGCTAGAGATTACCGCCAACAAGGACGCGCTGTCATCGAACGTTCAGATAAGGCGGCCAATGAGCGTCGGTTCGGAACGTGAGGCCGGCCTTCACCCGACGTGGCCGCGAAATGGGGGAGGTGCAGGGGGTGGGTGGGAAGCCGAACCTCGAGCCCTTTCCCGAAGGTAGGCTGGTCTCGCCGGCTGGCCGAGGGGTCCAACATGGTGGGCCGTGAATTTGGCCGGTGATGGCGGTTGTGGTGCTTGACCGGTCCGGGTCGAGTGCCCTGTCCAACGATCCGCCCCGTTCCGTATGATACACAGCTGACTGTCAAGGGTAGTAGGATAGATCTTCGACCGCAGATGGTGTTCTGCACGTGTGGAAAGAAAAGAAGTACCCGGTATGCAGGGAAGAAGCGCCCGACGGGGTGAATCTTGAAGGGGG